TTGATGTCCAGTTTGAGACAAGGAACAGATGAAACTTAGAAGATTATGACGAAAAAAGACAATTTTCTGATAAAATAAATTTAAATTATTCACTGAATCACTGAGCGAAGTTTTTAAAAAGAACAAATTGTGTAGATTTTCAGTGAAGTTACTAAAATGTGGGCATGCTATAACACCAAAAACATTGTAAAACTTGCTACTACATGGCACTATTGTCCTAATTTTGAGTTCTTAAGGAATGTACCAGTATTATACTGGAATGTCCAGAACTGGCTGTGCAAGAATAAGGTACCGGTAGGCCCTATCTGTTTTATTCAGTTTTAAATTCTGCAGACAATTCTGCAGATGTTTCACCACATTTGTTATGATTACAGTGTACATACCGGTACATGTACATGTATATATGTGTAAGTTTTTGTGTCAAACTGAATGAAATCATAGAACTGTGGTAAAACCTAAATTGACATGATTGAGGAAACTTACCTGGGATCAGATTGAGTTTATAAAAGTGTGTACATCCCTTCAACCTCTCCCCCCCCCAAAAAAAAATGTAAAAAAAATAAAAAGGGTGTAGCTATAACCATGGAGGAAGGAAATAATGTTTCCGTCCTCCATGCTAACCTGGTTCCTTGATTCACAAAAGAAAACAAAGTAATTTTGACTTTCATCCACTGTATTACTTAGTACAGACTTGCTAAATGATGTCAACAAGTGGGTTTGATGTTATTCGTTCACTCATTCCTGTACACCACCTTGAATCTTTTCCATCATTTTCCTCCTCCATTCTACTCAGGTCCTTGCTTTAAATCCCTCTGCCTGGGGCATTTCACATTCCACACACTGTTCCCATCATTGCTGTTGTAGACTTTTTATCCAGACAGGCAAAGACCTTACAAGTTCACTTTAGGATTTTGAGGGCTGTTTTTTTTTCTTCTTTCTCAGCACATTGCTCATACAAGACTTGCACAGTACATGCATGTATACAGCTACCCCGTACATGTACATGTACATGTACATGTACATGTACATTATTTTATTGCAGGTAATGTATGTATGTAAAAGGTGCAGAAAAACTTTAAATCTACATTGTAAATTACTTGTTTATAAGAGTTGTGGACAATACCATAACTTGCGGTAAACCCTACCTTACACGAGGCGTTTTTGTTAATAATGTATGAATAAATAATGTATGAGTCTTCCTAATTTCAGTAAGAAAATATGTAAATTGCACATTCTTTGCACTTTAATTAAATTACTTTTCTGAAAACAAAAAAGTTAAGATCCTGTTGTGTACATGTCGATTGAGTCACATGACAGTTGCTAGGATGATCAGCAAAACAGAAAAGAAAAAAAGCTGACAAAATATTACACGTATTACTAAACAAAACCTGAACCCCAGGTGTATTCGCCTGTTTACTCTGAAAGATGCAATCTTGATGTCAACTCCACCATTCCACAGAACATAAAGTGGTTCTCTGGAGTGACAGGTATTTCAGGAACTTCGCACTAAGCTTGATCATTGTAGGCTGCTGTGTAGTATACATGTAGTATTGCTGTATGCCTGGGCCAAGAATGTTGGCTGTCTAAACCATTGATGACAGCAGGGTTTTGCCTCTTGCCAGCAGAAGCTCTGGATTAAATGATTGGAATTTACAGGCCTTGTACACGTACATTTTTCTCCCATGTAAGTTTTGTCTGAGATTTAGAGGCCTAAAACTGCAATTCAATACAAAATACATGATACATACTTGTACATTTGGTATATTTTTCTCTTTTCTTCATTGACTTGTTTACAGTACATGCACTTTCTTACAAGTTACATGTACACCCATGAGCTTGTGGCTCTTGTCACCACCTGGCTCCCATCGGACAAGGCATGAGGCCATCATGCCATAGGCCCATGAGATCCACAGTGCCTCCTTTTTTGGCACCCTACAATTAAATCATAGGGCTTGTACATGTACCCGTAGTTGATCGGAAAGAAATTCACACAATTTTTTGTAATTGGTGTTTTGTTGAAGTGAATGCTTAAATACTGGTATATACTGTAAGTTTTCAAGGATATGCAGTTGAAAGTGTCTTTTACTTTATGCCCAGTAATATGCAAGAGAAACAAACTGAATATTTGCACACACATAAAAAACTTTGCCAATCCAGCAACAGCTGAGGTGTGAGATCCAATTTATTCTGCTCCAGATTTGTGTGTATCAGAATCACTCTTTTTACCAGCTGTGACCCTAGGGGGGAACACACAATTGGTCTTGGTGAAAGGTCAATCCATTTTGGCAGTGAACCTCTGAGAGCTGAGACATGTCGGCTGCTCACATGGGGTTAACTGGGAATTTGATTGCCAAATTTGGGGGCGTTTGTGCACCAGGCCCAGCCTATGCAGCAGAATCAAATTGCTTGTACTGCAGCTTGATTTTTACAGGGTTTTGAATTTTGTTGTTTTTCCAGTATTTGAGGATTCTAGAAACATGTTGGATTTATTGAACCATTTGATAAAAAAAAAGAGGATTTTCTTTTAATTCCTTGACAAGTTGGAGTTGAAAGAAATAGTTTCTCGTCCGGACTTTAAGGTTTTAAATGCATTAGGAAAAATTTTCTTGAATATTTCTGGAATCTGTCTCCCTGAAACTGCACTCAGACATTTTCTCACCAGTCTCAGCAATGAGCTTGGTATCCATGGAGATGACATGCACATTGTAATTCGTTACCTCCACATGTGGTGGCTAGCTATTATTGTGAGCCAGCACAGACAGGTTCCCAGAGGGAGCACATGGGTAACTCAAACCCCCTGTGTCTTTGACCATGGAGGTCAGCTGAAAAAAAATTGTTTGTCAGTTGAAACATGGAGCTAGTTTACTGTCTGTTAGATTTCTGTTTCCCTAAATCAAAATCTGGAAGTGAAACCATTTTGGTAAACATACAGTAACCATTTATTAGGAGAAAATAATGATGTGTGAATGGATTTTCACTTTTTATAGGAAAAAAAGTACATCATAACTTGGTAAAGCCTACTTTCAGAAATGTTTTGAAGATTCCAGACCTTTTTCACTTTGTGAGAAAATATGTTCTCATCCTGTAACACTTCTAATGGATGATTTTGAAAACTCTGTGATACAGAAGATTGAAGTGACCACATTTCTTTCCACCTTAAAAATTGTTGATTTAATTGTTGAATGTTTTGTATCTTTACGTATTTTGATACACACTATCAATATTTTGTTTTGTGACACTATAAGTTGAATATCTTTTTCGTATAGGCCTAAATAAATTTACAGATAAAATATTAAATCGGCAATTTGAAGGAAGAATCCCAATTACTGTACAAAACCATGTATGTCCCTCACTGTAATAAGTCAATATTAACTATAAAATGCCATAAAGTATTTTTGTTTATTCCACCTGAATTAGACTCAAACCCAAAACCATTATCACGAAGAGAAGGATGCGAACCCAGGACAATGAAATGGAAGACAAGAGTCTGGGTGTACCGGCACACGTACATATACTTCTAGAACTAGAACGCAACCGTGTGCCTTCTTACACTTCTTTTTGGGTCACCATAACGCTGGTTTCCAAAAACAGTGATGATACTACTTGAGACTGATAGACAAATTACTTGCATCCAGAATATGTCAACCAGGTCTGGAGGAGTTTATGAATCTGTGCACATTCGTCACGTCGGAAATTTGATGTTTGTGAGTAAAAACCGGTATGTACCTGTATGTCTGAAAAACCATCTCCCCCAAATTTGAAAGAGATATCAGTCAGGGCTTCTTTTTAGAAAGAGTGTGAGAGAGTGAAATTCTGGATGCAAGTAATTTGTCTATAGCCGTGTTCCCATTGGACTTTTTCTTCAGCGGCCACGCGGAAAGTTATCGTGACTGGCTTTGGTGTAATTCTACCGTGCGTTCCCACCTGGACTTATATTCCGCGACGGAACGGTTCATTCGCTGTTCGAGACTGGCAGAATGTCACACATTGCGGGCGCTGTGCACAGTCACCTTTGACCTATGCGGGATATGACGTGCCTGTGACGTATTTTTCACGCGCTGAATTTAGTCGGCCACGTCAACGTCAACACTGACGCGACGCGACGCTAGCACACAAAGATCATGGTACTACAAACAACTCAACAAAGTAGCGAAACTGCAGCAGCTGGACGAGATTGAAAAAAGCGCTGCAGCTGAGCGTAGTGCATGCTACACACGCTGTGTACGGTACGATGATAATATCACACCGCCATCAGTGCAAACGAGACAGGGAACCATACTACCATTTTCGCGCGAATTCTGTGTATACAGGAAGTGTTGTTGTTTGCATAGCGTTTTACAGCGTGGACACGGTAGGTTTACAGCGCGGAGCGTTCCCATTGGACTTTTTAGCGGCCCTGTTAAGTTACCGTGGCTGCGCGGAAGTCTTCCGCGTCCTCTTTCGGCCTATTAGTTTTACATCACGGTCACGGTAAGTTGACAGGGACGTCAGTTTACCGTGTGTCCCCATTGGATTTAATTTTGTCATTCTACAGAAAAGTCGTGGTACTTTAACCAAAAAAAGTCCAATGGGAACACGGCTTTAGTCATCGCTGTTTTTGAAAATCCAAGGTGTTATTGTGACCCAAAAAGTGATTCACAATGCACTGTTGCCTTCTCTTGTACATGTGTGTATGCATGTACAGTGTGTATGCATGTACTTCAACACTACAATCAATCAATCATTCTCAACCTAAAAATAGCAAGTGGCTGGAAGTCCCTGGCCGTTTATATTTTATTACCACTCACTAATTTCTTAGAGCAGTGCAAGTTAGCAATATTACTTCCTCCATTGGTTGATGACATCCGTTGCCGTTGACAAGCAAGAGTCAAGTGGTTGGGAAGGATCATCCAGTGTTTAGGAAACAGCCTGTTCAGTCTTGACCTCCAATCAGATGAACTTTTCATTAGGAATGAATTACAGTGATTATAAACAGGAATGAGGGATCTTTGAGACATCTGCAAGCTTTCTCGTCAGTTTTATTTCGTCTGTGCCACACTTTAACGAAAAACTCAAGAAGAGTACCGGTATGTGCATACATGTATGTTTAACTTGGAATTCAAACGATTAAAGTGATCAAGGTTTGTGTTTGAAAACCAAAGTTCCAAAGGAGAAAGAAATGATTAGGTTTTTGCCAAAGACATGATTTTGCACCATAAAAGTATGGCGTACTTAACCGTGTGAATGTGTGTTTTACATGTTCTTGGTTCATATTTCAATTGTCAAATTGCCTGATACCGTAAATTACAGGACGCGATTGGAAAACCCAGTGCACTTTTATTGAATTCTTCAATACAAACATAGATAAATCAACAACAAAAAATTGGGGCTAAATTTACCTGTTTTTTAATACAAAATATTGAAAAAAATATCATTTAAGTCTCAAATTGGATGGTGAATTCCCTGTTTGGTCTGCTCACAAAGCCGTGGCACCAAAGATTTAATGCTCCGTCACCCTCTGTTAGAAATTTGCTGCCTCGCCAGCACCCAATAGAATCTGACACTCAGGATGTCTACATGTACATGTAGGTTGAAACCACCGCTGACTCCTGATGCAAAAACAAGAGCGTATAAGATGTTTAAATTAAGATGCAGAGTCCCAACTCCCATGACACTCAGCCAACAAATGTTTTTTATTTTACCATCTGGGGTTTTGACTCTCATCTGGCCAGTTCAGAGTTGTAGAACCAGCAACATCCATGACACCAGGACGCCAAATCTTTGACGCTCTATCACCTTTAGTTAGAAACGTCTGCTCCTGTGGAAGAGAAACAAGTATGAAACTCAACAACTGGAGTGAGGATTAATTATAGTTGGCTTATTTGAAAGGACAGCCGGGAAACACAATTCCCAAGATAATTGTCACTTTTCTTCTTCTATTTTTCTTACTTAAACGTACACTATTCACACAATGTGCCGGGGGTAGGTTGTACTTTTAGCTCCTGGAAGAGAGACTTCATGAAAATGTTTTTTTTTTAAATAGACTTCTAAATTCATGGGACTTTCAGTAAGTACGTTTATCCAGGCTTTCAAAATATAATGAAAAGGGGCAACATGACAAAATCAACCAGTGTAAATATACTGGTACATCATGTACAACAGGTGCATGTTCAAATGTTCAAATTATCCTCAGATGAAAAACAAGTAAAAGGCACATGTAATTTAATGTACATCAGCCCCTGTCTACATGAGTCATGTCACCAGTGGTCCATTCAAAGTCAGACCATAGAGCTACATGTACATGTAGGTCCTAGCCAATAATAACACCACTCAAAATCCAAAGAAGAATGTTCAAAACCTACAATGTATCGCTATGTAGCCTGTTGAAGTTTAAGTGAAAAACCATTCACAACCTTTTTGATCGCGAAACTTGATTTTGTTATGTACCGGGGTAACTCTCTTCAACAAATTGATTGATCTTTGGAAATTACCTACATTTTTTGATTTCTTGTAAATGACAGTGCAAGCAAGGTGGAATAATTTCACAGGGTGTTTAGTACCAGTACGATCTTTTAATCCAAATAAGCTTTTTGATAATACATGTAATTCGCTAGGTTACTTTTGGGATAAATGCAAATGATCCTATGTGCCTTTAAGACATCTATACTTTAAAAAATAAAATGTATTTAAATTCTATTCATGTATTCATGCTGACAAGGCCTATTGGATGTACTGTACACATAAGTGGTAACATTAGATAAGTTGCAAAGGAAATCAAATCATAAATTAAATTTGGAAGACATTATTTTCAGATACCGTAGATCCAAAGTGTCAGCAGAGGGTCAGTTGAAGCCAAAGGGTTTCATTCCTTCCATGCCCCATTTCCTATAATTAATCACCATTTGATACATACACATTGTACTTGTACGGTAGTAACATTAAACATAAATGTACGGTAAAGACAAATGACTTATTAGGCCTACAAGACAACAATTAACAACACAATACAATACAAGCAACAGGAGATCAGACCATTTTAAAGCGGAATTGAGTTATACGATGTTTGTCATCAATCAACTTGGTTTTGAGGTTATGGATTTGATACAGATTACTTCGAGATGAACTTCTTGTTTCCACCGACAAGAAGTTCATATTCAAGAATATGAATTGAGAGCTCATACTTAGCTGATGACAGACTCGAACCTTATCCTTGGTCACCTGAAGAGTGACTTCCTGGTTTTGCTTTGCAGGGTTTCCTAATTTTCTGCTCTCAAGGTCTCTGGACTGACTGTGTTTATGAACAGTCAACACCTTTTATTGGCTGTTGTGGTTTCTGTTTGTCAGCATTAAATTTGGATTTTTTAGAGTTGCTATTCTCAGGACTTGTCATCCCGATTCAATCTCGGTTCAATTTCCTGTGTCCTCAGTCAACACAGCTTGGGCTCAGGGTAAAAAGATTCTAAATTTAGTTCGGCATGTTATGTTGGCGGTCTTATTTCAGGAGCAGCTGAGCTCATACATTATACATGTACATGAAATGGAAGAACGGGGGTCAAAACGAACAACTTTACCATAAATTTTTCAGAAATGAATTAATAGGCCTACCGGTATAGTATGTATTTGCTTTCCATTTGCATGCATTTAGTATTGGTTTTGCAGGTTCTTCGTATCTTTCTCCAATTTGGCCTTTTAAATTGCCTCAGAAGGTGGAAGTAATGAATGGGAGTAAAATATTTAAAATTCTAAAAAAAAGAGGATAATTTTGTTTGTGCCTTTAAGAAGTGGTTTAGCACAGCTTTATTACACAAATTGGATTCTTTGTCATTCCCCCACCCCACTTTTGGGATACATTGTACTTGCTGTCCATTTGCATGCGTTTGCAGGTTCTTTGTATCAGAGTTAACATTTTCAGCATTTCTTGTTACAAGTTGTTTAACTGTAAACTTTGGGGCTGCAATTCATAGAAATATAATGTCAAAAGTCTTCTACAATTGTGTTACATATGTACAGTACCTTTTGCTTTTTGCAACACCGCATCAGACCATGGAGGGCTTGTTCCTCCATGATCTGTTCCTTGCTCTACATGCATGAGAGAACAGAGTACCACTACATGTACATATACAATTGTACTGATTTGTAGGCAGTTCCCAGACCAATTATCACCCAGTTGACTACTGTAACAATAATCTGGTGAGTTCAAGTGTTTGCACAGATATTTAACAACTTTAGCAAGCAGGGGTCTTATCTACAGTGTACCTTTCCTCAATACACACCACAATACCAAACATTTTGGGATAATTTCCCTCCCCAAATGGACTCTGTTACAAAACATGGATCAGACACTGACAAAAACACACAAAATCCCCTTTGAGAGCAATCACCAATCTAATGCAAATTTCTGGTTCATTTATGGAAACTGTTTATAGAATGGTGGAATCTCATTTGAATACAACAGACATAGTGAAGAGTTTGCTTATTGATGTGGAATAATGGCTGATAAAAGCTGTGGATTTGTCTGATGTGTGGTCCTTCAGTCCAGTTTTGTTTAATCCTTTCCTGTTTAGCATGGTCTGACGTCCTAAGCTGTTAATGTCGGGATTGTTGATTTTTTTCCCATCAAGTAATGCTTTTAAATCTAAAGACTAATAAGAAGAGTTTGCAGGTGTGCTTAATTTATTCCCTTTGTTCTAAAATTCTGTTGATTAAAAAAAGCACTGTATTTCTACATACGAGTTTGAAAGGAAAGGAAGTAATTCGGTACATATTTGTCCATTTTGAAGATCCATTGGAATCAACAGGTTTATTTTTGGCTCAAATACATGTTTATGTAGAAATTAGGAAATTGAGACGAAAGACGTAGTTCAAGTACGAAAAAAAGTAGGTTCGTAGTTAAACAACAGTTGGTGACAAAAATATGTACAACTTATAAATGTGTACAACTGTGTGGGATGTGTACACAAGCATCATGCTTGAATTATTCGGAAGTACATCAGATATGGTGTCAGTAAATTCCATTCATTTGTGTGAGTCATCAGCTGTCCAACACACACCTGTGTATATCCCCCCCAGTCTAGTGCACAGGTACAATGCATACATTGCATGCCATATCACCTGATAAGGTACACAATGCGGCAAAAGCTGTTCTACACATACGCAGGTAGCTGTAGCAGCAACCAGTGATAATATCCTACTCTCGTATGCATTGAAAAATTCATCATGCACCTTCATTTGCATTGGATAATTGTAAAGCCTGGCTGGACGATCTGTATGCTCAGGCCAATTTCCAAGGTGAATTAAGCGGTTGCTGTCTGGTGCGAGATAGATGTTATAAATTACCGCTTTGTTGCTGCATGCATCTAGAGCAATGAACAGGAGGAGTTACGGCGTGTTTTGATATCAGACAGTGGGAATGGAGATGTATCAGGTATGTATGTGTGAGATACCGGTATGTCACTGCCTCTGATCCAGCAGTTAATTTGTATATATGTACATGGTAGTTGCCTGCAATTGACATTGTGATGAGCAAAATAATGTTTGGATAGCATGCCTACCGTAGTAACAAATAACATGTATTGTAGGTACATAATTAGGCTTATCAAGTGTTCTGTAACAAATTTCAATTTTTTTTGTATCCATAACAGAAAAATCAAGGATTTATCGGCAACATTTAGCCTAGTGATGGAAGAAAGAGAGCTTTCAGATTTTGTTCCAAATCCAACATTGCCATGAACCAAATGGCACACAAATTTTGACATAGAGCCCTGTGAAAAATCACAGCGGCTGTGTTAAATCGTTAAACCCAGCAAATGTTATCAGGCACGAGATTTTTTGGTACATGTACATGTATGGTAGAAAGAGTAAACAATTTGTTTGAACAATAAGCCAATGTTTCAGCTTGCAACATTTACAATGGCTAGAGATGGAAAGCTGATTATATTGTCTCATCATTGTGATTTATTTATATACTCATAAAAAGTGATCCGCTACGTGTACCGGGTATGGTACATTTTTCTTGCTCTAATATCTACCATACCGGTACCTGTACATCTTTGAATGACAGTTTGAACTACCTAGTTGTGGAAACCATGTACATCATTGACAGGCTCCCATTCTCCTAATGGAGCAAAATGTGTAACCACAAATTGCTTAGACAAGACATTTTGCAGGTTCATTGTAATTACCTGGTCATGTCAGTAGGCTGGACCAATCCAAAACCCCTGCCCAATCAGCCATCACTTAATACCACATCACGGGTCATGTGCCTCCCCATGGGGGTCAATAACCTTGCCAGACACCCACTGCCAAATTTTCTGAGAAAACCCAGACTCAGTCAGAGACATTAGCAAGAACAACATTTGGTTGTGTAAGAATGCATTCAGCCAGCCAGTTATAATATAGTCTTCTATTTTATAACAAGCTTTTAATTTCAGACTGGGATGTGTCAGCATTGTGGCTGATCTGATTCTTGGAAATGACCTTTGTGTTTTACTTTATGGTGATTTGCCAGTTGTCATGTCCAATTAGAGAATACAATGAAGACTGGTTTAGTCAAGTTTCTTCACTGAAATCCTAGGTTGGAATGGTAGCCCAGATTTTAAAAATAGAAATGCCTGGAGTGAGGAAGTCAATTGACAAACGATAATCACACTTTTACAGCACAGCAGGCAGCCCACATAAGGCAGCACTGGAGAGTGCATTTCTCTGCAAAATGACAAGCTGTGAAAGCGATAATGAATTGTGAGCAAGCAGTTTTTAAACTATGTAAAGAAGCCTTTTGAAATGATGCGCATGTTATATGTTAACCAGTAAGGTACGTGCAGTGCCATGGATTTGTTTTGGTTGCTTGATATAATGGATCATGGATTGTTGTCAAAATACCAAGCCCACCCTCTCCCTCAATAGTCCCCACCGCCCACCCACCCCCATTACATGTATTTCTATCAACATACCAATTTGTGCGGACACGGCAACATTGCAAAATGTTGATGCTTTTTTTTATGTTTTCAAACTGAAAAATAAGTTGATACATGTAAAGTAAACCTTCATAAAGGCTTCAATGGAATAGTCTACATTTGGGAAATTTATTGTTTAAAAATCGGAAGATAATCCCAGAGAGGTTCAAAACTCAGCCTGCAGTGGAACAGCAAACAGAACTTCCTATCCGTTTGGCCGTCACAATGCCTGTTAGCTAGGCATTATGTGCTTTTGAGAGATTTTAAGTGGCCCATGCTCTCCCCCAATATAGTGCATGCCTGTTGTGTCAGGGGTCAATGCCGTAGGGAGTCCTTACACTGCGCGTGAGGAGAATTTGAGCAAACAGTGAATTGGAAAGGAGAGGTATACAGCTGGAGCAGAGCGATAGACTCATTCAAGACTTGGATGTCCCGATCAACAGGAATGTAATGAGAGGAGACTACCCAATCATCCAAAGGATTGATATCAATTTGAGAGAGTGGTTACTCTTTGGAGGATAAACTACCCAGACTCTGAATATTGATAACACTGTTTACAGCTTGAGGATCTTGAGTTGAGGATACAAATTTTGTTCTGTCTGAGTGATATTTCTGCCTTAAGCTTGCACAGTGGATATGGTGAGCACAGCAAGATTTTGTGTACTGAACACAGCCAGTGAATTTGTGATATGAAATTTGTGACTCCCTGCTTAGAAAATTGGTGATGAAATGTCGGGGATTATGGCAAGTATACCGTGTGGTTTGTGGTAAGATTGTGGTGAATATGTGGGAAATTGATGTTGATTTGAATTTTACGAAGTATGCCAGGGAAAAAAATGGCTATAGGCAGGCATTGTGAATTAGTGCATGAAATGTATACATATGTGATTGTTTCAACTTTTTCAACAATTGTTAACATTTGGTCTCCACAGGTATGTACCGGCACATGTACATGTAAGTTGGTACAAAAGATAATATCAGATTGAACCATTAGTTAAGTTACAAATGTATTTTAGATATTGAATGCACTTTTACTCAATTGCATTGTACCCTGACTACCGGTACATTGTACGTGTACATACTTCAGGATTTTGAAAAGTGTTTGAAGAAGGGAACACATACAAAACCCAAAGAGAAAATTCCTAAATGTCTATTAAATACATGTACATTGCAAATGTATCAAATGAAATAGGTGGAAAATCAGTTTTGAATTAGCAAAGGAATTGGGAAAAAAATGGTTTGCACATATCGTGGAAATTAGATGAAAATTTGCAAAATCTTCACCATGCTTGTCCTACCGGGATAGGCCTACTTCTTATTATGACCCCATTAATTGTGTAATGTTTCTTTATTAACTGCATTCATGTGCATGTACACATATTTTATCCCAAACAGTCCTGAATCCTCCAATTTCAATATAATTTTGCACACCCCCTAGGGATTAGGGTTAAGTACATGTTCATTGTTGATAATACTGAAAAGCTAACAAATTGTAAGGTTTTATGATCATTTGATAAAGTCACAAATTTTGACAGCGTACCGGTACTTCGGTATACTGTGCACAATGTATATGTCCAAACACAGGGCTGCCAACTTTGAGTAAGAGCTGAGAGTGAGAATTTGGCGATGGAGCTTGATCAGAAGTTGCAGAATGAATCATGCTAATGCGAGCGCAAAGCACGAAGCCCTACGGCGTGGGTGCGGGGCCCGCTTAAGGGCCCCGAAAATGTTTGGATTCTAGACGCTCTGTGGTGCGATCTGAGGCAATTTCTGACCACTTTAACCATTTAAAAAAAAACAGATCAGATCATTTAAACATAATTTTCGAGTTTCATTTATTAATTTTTTAGTGTGAGAAATCCGGTGTGCACGTGAAAGTGTGAGAACAAGCTGAAATGCGTGAGTCTTATGTTCAATCTGTGAGAGTTGGCAACCCTGCCTGAGGCCAAGATTGTTATTGTGTACAGTATCACTTGCATTATATGTGTGCGTACTCCTGCACAGTAATCAGTATGAATGGTCAGACGGAATGCGAGCATTTAATTGAAGAAATTGATGCCAAACAGCATTCATCGGGATATTCTGCTGGATTGTATTACAAGCTTCGGTGGCTGGCTAATGGAGTGAATGTGTTTGTGACCCAGGTGTCACATCGGTTTACGCACATCGACATGTTAAATTACGCTGAAATTTCCCCACTGATATAAAAAATATGTATGATTTTGCTTTTGGAGGCCACAAATAAATGACATGTATACAGGCATTTACCTCTGGAAGGTTTGCTTTGTTGACCAACGGACAGTAATTTTGATTTAGCTTGTTTATTTACATAATTTCCAAGTTACGTAAATTCTACCGGTATTACGGCCATGCCTCATTTGTGCCATGGATACAACCATACACGTACATTCTGTACATAAATCCAATATAGTCATGCTGTATCATATTACATGTAGGTCTAGTCCCTGTGGGCATCCCATTACTACAATTTGACTCAAGTTGATGGCTCAATTAGGACAAACCAGTATCTGTGTCGGGGTTATTTTAAGAATGCGCTTATTTCTGTATGGACTGATGAGATTTACTGTACTACACACGCGGGTACTGTATGTGTAGGCCTTCAAAAAGTGTTCACTGATATTGGATTATTGTACATATATGGGCATATATTTATGACCAAAATTTTGTGTCACTCCGTGTGATTGTAGGCAACAGTTTGTATACTATACGTTTATCTGAAGAACAAGTACATTTAGCAGATTTTAATGCGATGCCGAATGTTGGGCTCCCTATATTATTAGTCTGCCAAAAACAATTTTGAATAGATTTCACAATTTTTCACAGGAAACTATAATTTACAAAGATTTTACAGTTTCCCAGTTCAGTACCGGTAAGTACGTACATTACATGTACAGTATGTACTGCATGTACCTGTACATGTATGTATATTGTACCAGGAGCTGAAGTTTCTTTCAACACATTTTTTTGTAAGCATCCTTCATTAAATATATCAAGTGCTGGTGTTCCTTGAATTCAGAACAAACCTAACAAAGATGTTGATCTGAAGTGTGCAATTTTCTCCAATAAAATACATGTAAAAGCAAAAGCATATATGGCCTAATAATCTGAGATGGTGCAAACTCTCAAGATCACTAAAAGTACTGTACATCTAGATAAATGTCAGCGGTAAATTTTTATTGCACGCATACCACTTCAGGTTTGTTTTACGTCAATTTGGCTGTCGGTGTACATGTACGTGTTCGTAGGCGAGCTTATGGCGTCCGCAGCTCCTACTTGTGATACTTATGCGTACACAGAGACAGTCATTTTGTAAACAGGCTCAAACTCAAAGTCTGCAGAAATTCCAATCAGACAGATCGCTGTTGACTCTGTCACCAATATTGCAGCGCAATTCTCCGCTCGTGGATGTTGGATGCAGTTCAAGTGATGTCGGCTCCCGTTGCGGCGGTTGGATTGATGGATAACCTTTAAGCCGTCTTCAATTTTTGGGTGTTTTTAAAGACAAACTGGGGCTGTTCTTCAGACAGATGTTTGGAATCAGCTGTTCATTATTTGGTACGCTGAAATTGTCAGGCTCATTACACTTAACATTTGTTGGCAAATTGATTTTTTTTTTTTTTTTTTACATACATACAAGTATGTATGTATCCCCCTCTACTCTTTGCTAATATAGTGACCTGGAATGGCATCACATTGAGAAAAGGGCCAATGTTATGGGTAACATGTAATTTTGTCTCGAAAACAAAAGGAACAATTTAAAGGGAAAATATATGAATAACTTAATACCTATACATGTATGGGGAAAATCTGTCATTGATACTTTAAACGTGTTCATTTGTCTGCCAGTATTTATGACTAACTAGTAACAATTTATGAGGGAAATGTGGAAGTGGAATTTTGCGTAGAGACAATTACATCTTGCTTGCAAAAATCAGTATTGTGAAAGTCACTGTCTACTCATGAACTCGCAAAATTCACAGAGTGACATCAGAATAATTGTGCTTCGATAATGAAGATTTGGAAAGTTAGTTGTTCAAGTGAAGTTAAATTTTCAAAACCAATGTGAGTGCTGTTCTATTCTACTTCTTCTACTTCTTCTATAGAGCTACATGTACTCGTTTACAGCCTTTTCAGCAACTTAACTCTTTCAGTGCCCGCGAAATTTGAAAAGTTTAACCCTAAAGTGCCCAACTTCGAGCGTTTTTTTTTTAATTGTTCAAAATACTGTAAAAAAGAAAAGAAAAAGTTTTACTCACTAAATTGAGAAGAAACTTTGGCTGTCAACATTTCACTGTTCAGTGTTCATCTTGGATAAAAGATCATTAGCAGCAAGATGAAATTATTGGCAGCAGCGTGAGAAAGTGGTAATGCCATCAATTGATGTTGATGAACACTCTCACCCTAATATTATGCCTCTAGGGAATATTGTCACTTGTTATGGAAAATGTAACCTTGTTTGGTTTTTTGCTTTGGGGCATTTTCATGGTTTATTTTGATGTTGGAGCAGCTCATGATTCTGTTTTGAGTTTTGATACTCTGTACATTGGTGTAAACACTTTGAATGGTCTGGGTAGAGGATGGAGTTTGGTGAGGTCTTGTTGCCCAGGTCAGGTTCAGGGTCACAGAAAATCGGGCTTGGTTGCCCTCTGTTGACCTTGATGAGAAAGTGGCAGGCAGGAAATTTAGTCAGGTTTGGTGGATATGTGCTGCCCTCTCTTGACATTTATGAGACAGTGGCAGGCAGGAAAATTTACAAGACTCGAGCCTTAATGCCAGACTCGGAGATACAATGTCCCCCGTGTAAAACCATGCAAATAACACAATAGCAATGATCATTTTATAATGCCCTGTACATACCGTACCGGGGTACATGTACCTATTTTGTTTATATTTTTACAAATTTGTTTTTAATTCAGATAGGCCTATAAACCCAACAATTTTTTTAATACATGTACCAGTAATTGTAATGATTTGCCCTTTTTTTCCTACTGCTTGCTGCTTGAAAGCATCGTTTTTTAAGAAAAAAAGTCTGAAAAAAGTTTGAAAAAGAAAGCAACTTTTAAATTTAAAAGTACAATTTCTCACTGCACCTATAATGAAGAAACTGATAATTTAACTTCAACCTACATTGTATTTATATAATGACTTGCTAGTCTAAAAAAAAAATAGAAGAAAGATGTACCGGTACACAACTGTGCTTTGAATATGCTGTTTAAAGTTGAGCTTCCCTTGCTATTTTCAAGTTTCATCCCCAAAAATTGATTCCTTTTCTAAACTGATTACGTTACTCATTTTTGAATGAGACATTGAGCCAACAAATCAGCCCGAGTTTAGTTATTGAACTATTACTTTAGAATTTGGAATTATTGGCTGCCAGACAATAATTCCATTCTCATGGGGTAGGCCAGTTCTCCCCCAAAATTCAGTCTCAAAAATGTATGGACTGGGAACCAGTCTGCTCCAATAGTGGATCTGTTTGTGCTCAAAACAAAAACCATTATTTTGTCCAAAAAAGGACAAAAGGATGTTTTTGTGTGGTAAATAAAACATACATATTGAAAAATTATTAATAGAAAAAGAAATTGGAATTTTTGAAGAGTACAAAGTACCATCTTTAACACATAGTAAATTTGTCTGTAGCTAGCAGAATATTCTTGAAAATTTTGTACACGGGTACTTGACTGAGCCTGCGACTGAGCCTGCGGTCACATAACTTGCCAGCAATCAGAGTTCAACTGGTTCCTTCCCCTCTTGTGTAAATAAACACGGCAGCTAGTCAGTTCATTTCTGTCCCAATATCCATTCCTTGGGAGTGATTTATGTCTTGTGTATAGACAATGAATGAGAAATGCCCTCCTTCTAGGAAACGTGGAAATATGCTCAATGATTGCATCTACATGTGTAACCATTAACAAGTCCGCCAACAAAAATGTGCAGAACATGGTGGCGAAGAATTTTTAGAACTTGTTTATTTTAATGTTGTTAGGGATCATGTAGGGCTGAGTAAGATAAGAAAAAAAGTAGTTTTTCGTCCGGCTTTTTTTTTTAAATGAAGGAGGAGAGCGTTGTTGTTTTTCTCTTTTCCCCCCAAGATGGCAGAGTTTCCAAGATGGCGGATAGATTATTAAATTTTCTCAACTATTTTGCTGATAATTTTGCCAAAAGGCGCCATAAACGTTTATGCATAGCTATAATTTTGTAGGAAACAAATGACAGTGCAACCTTTCCTCGGAAAAGTGCACTTCTTTAAACATTAAAAATTTTCTATATTTTTGGACAACTGAGGGTGCTGTTGCTACATACATGTATGATGTCATTTCAGGAAGACACTTTTAAGTTTAGTGGTTTTCTGTTCAGATTGTGAACCCAATATTTGCTCATTGAAACTATTTGTGAGAAAGGGTTGCTCATCAGTGATCATTGAAACAAGAATCTGAAAGTGAAAGCATATCTGCAGCTGATCTGACCAATGTTTTTGTTTTGTGTTGCGATAAACAATGATGGCATTTGCCATTAGAAGCTCTATTCCAGCTCTGCAAACTGAATTATCTCAGTTGCGTGCATCACTTTCAATCTGATCAACTCAGCCTTACTTCATGCTTTGAAAGTTAAAAAAAAATGGTAACCGAAAACCCTCATGGCAGATGGTATGACGTTGGCGACTGGCAGGGGGCCAGCAAGTTGTCCCCTCGCCTGATTGGTCAGGAGCTGGTGCCTATGGAGAGCCCCTACCATGGGTCGGCCGCCGAAGGCCGGTACCCCGCGGGGGCAAAATGTGTACGTTGATGCAGTCGGCACCAGATGAGAGGTGAATGTCAATTATGGGAGTCATAACATCATAGCATGGCTTGCTGTTATGCACATCCCCCCCCCCCCCCCCCCCCCCACTGCACTGGTACTCTGTCTCTGGTTTACGGTTCATGTGCATTGAGGTAAATATGGTTTAGCATTCCAAACTGTTTGTGGTACCATACCTGTACTTAAATTTTTGAGTTTCGAGTTAGCTTTTCCAGTTTCGAGTTGACTTTTCGAGTTTGGAGTTGACTTTTCGAGTTTCGAGTTAAGTTTTTGAGTTTCGAGTCAGATTTTCCAGTTTCGAGTTGACTTTTCAATTTTTCAGCTCGTGCAGTGGGCAGGACAGAATGGGAGAAACTGGGGCTCTGACTAAAATATCACTAAATGTACCATGTATCTGTTTTTCTTTGGAGCAGATTAAATATCTCTGCTCTGTGTTTCCTGGTTGGGAGCAATGCTTGATGAAATTCTATGCTTTGTTTTCTGAGCTCAAATGCTTTGAGCCAGAGGCAAGGTTTTGCATTTCAGGCCTGAATTTATTAAGATAAGGCCTTGTGTCAATATTATTTTGCAAACGTGATACTTGATTTCAGAATACAGAAAATAAAAGTGCTAAACCTGAGAGCAGTTTAGTCACTCTGTGCTCATTACACACAAACGTTATTATTATTAATTACCCCAGCTCACCAGGATATATTGAAACATTCCAAAGAGCACCTCAGTTCCATGGAGATGAGATGTTTCACAATTTTAAACCAAACTGAAGGATCACAATGAATGGTAAAGTGTCTTGCCTAAGGACACATGTTCCTGAACCATAACCACAGCATGGACTCAAACTGCTGAAATACCAGTATGCACAAAACCTGAGGCACTCAGACAATTAGACCATGGCACTCAATGCTCACTTAAATAGCAACAATCTTGTAAGTTAGTACCTGTATGTTTTAAGTGAAAAGCATGCCCATGTACAATGTACAGTACATGTTTCATCAAAAGTTCCTGTACTGTAAGGATGCACATGGACATGTGCATCATGATGTGTACACGTACATTTTGTACCCGTACATTTTGTACATCATGGTTGTTCATGTACACGTGTACATTCATCTTAATAATCCTCCTCATGATATACAAACTTGTACAAGTACATGTATGTACATGTATACATGTACATACCGTATGCCTTGATTAACATACAATGTCCAATGCCCAATTTTCTGTACACCTGCAGCACTGGCCTTGTTTTTATTTCAAGAATGGAAACATCTCCCCTTTGCCTTTGCATTACCCATACATGCACATGAGACCCTTGTGTGTTGATGCATCCATCCCAGTCCCCTGAGGCTGTTGTTGGAGATCCAGTAACCAGGAACACTTAGCTGGCGCCTTCACCATTCATGCCATGCTCCCTTCCTGGCATACTGGATGAAATAAACATAACATTCCCCAAGCTTTCTGCAAACAATTTTTATCTTGTGCCCCGGGTGATATTCTGGCCCTGTGTTTGAACAAAATAAATAAAATGTACTGGTAGTTTATATTCAATCGTATTGTTTGTTTAAAAACTACTGGTACCTTACAGGAGGGTGCGGCTATTTGGTGATTCGTTAACCCTAACCCCCTAAGAGTACATTTGGAGTACAGTACCACATACTACAAAGTACTACAGAAATTATGTATGCAGGTACCCAAATACTAAAAACTACTATGAGTGCTGTGCTCACTTATATGCTGAAGTACTGCATACTACAGTTTACTAATAGTAGTATTTTGTAGCGTTAGGTGCGGTTAGGTTATGTTTAATACTTAGTGAAGTTTGTCCTGGTAAATGCATTAAAAAGGGGATGGGAGGTTTTGTGGTGATACTAGAAATTGGTTCGTCGTCAAGGATATGGAAATCATCCAGCTTTCTTCTTGTGAATTTTCCTGATGCAGTTTGTCCAATTTCCTGCACTTTGTTTCCTCCTTGTGCTTATTTTCCTAAGTTCCTAAACGGACTTTCACTTTTGGACAATAGGCCTAACAGGACATGCTTTTGAAGCTTGCTGGCATCAGATTGTGGGACTTGTGATGCACATACATGTAATGTTTGTGTGATGCAATCTCTCGAACGATGGAAATAAATTTAACCTCGTTCAAAATTGTAGGCAATTTGGCAAGGTTATGTAATTTTACACAATCCTTTTTCAAATATAACTACTTCTCTAGTTGGCAAATTTTTGCAAATTAATGGTATGCGTTTCATACCGCAAATGAAAACTGTCTAGACTCACTTTTCATTCAATATAGGGTTAAATAAAGAATCGAAAGGACCTGAACTTGTACCGGTAACCCCCAGAACAATGTGTAAGTGCTCTAACTGTGGCACTCAGCCCTATGTTGGGCCATGTTTCAAGGCCATGTTTCAAAACCATAATACTGTATGTGTATCAGCTTTCTCTAGTACTTATTCTTTTTCCTTTTTGGTTTCGAAATTCTCTGTTATCTTGAAAATCTCATACATAGTGTTTAGTTTCTGTTGTTGGTCCAGTCAGTTTTCATGTTTTGACAGCATGATGCAACTTGTTTGCCTTCATTTGGCAGGCCAGACAATGTCCATTAAAATTGATCCATTAAAACTAAACGTTTGTTTTATTTTTCATTTGTTGTTTTGCTTTCGTTTTCCACAGGTCGGTCATGTGATGTGGTTTATCAACAGACCCCTGGATTGAACAAGCGGTAATCTTAGTAACAATCTCTGGATTCTGCTGTCTGGAAACTTAGTCCCTGCACTGGGAATATTTAGCCAGGAGAGTTGCTCAGCACCACCAAGAAAGTTCCTCCATTCGGAACATTGTGGAGAAGTTGTGATGCTGTACATTTGTTGCACTGATTTTAATATGAAGCAGTGTTGACATGACTGGTACCATGAACCGTCGCAGTATGAATTTGCACAGTTTCGTGAAGGGAGCCTGTCAACCTGGGACACTCAGAATAGCCATTGTTTCGTCGGGTGCCTGCGTTTTGTGGAAGCTGTAAAATATTGTTGAATTTACATATCCACAGAGTTTTGTATGACTGTTTTTGTATGTTGAGACAAAATGACTGTAACAGTACAGAAGATGAACGGTAGAGCTTGGGCGTTGATAGTGTGGATGTTGCTACAGTGCCTGTGGAGGGTGACAGCACGGCTGGATATGCGTAAGTATTGTTTTACTGGTTTTTTGTATTAGTGATGAGCTGGAAGATTTAAGGATTGCTTTGAGTCCATATCCCAAAGAATAAAGTATACATTTTATTACAAGTGTATTTTAAACAGATTTCTCCCCCCCCCCCCTCCTCCCCCGCACTTCCAAGAGGTTACAACAGAAAGGTCATTTTTGCAGTGCATCTTTGGGAAAAAATAAAACACGGAGTAGATGTTGATGTCAAATGAATGCTCATTTTGTGTTCACATTCCTTTCTAGCCACTTGTCGTTCGGCACTTGGAATGAACAGCAAGGAGATCACAGATGACCAGCTGGAAGCCAGCTCTGTCTATGAGTATGACTATGTGACATATGGACCACAGAACGCAAGGTGAATATTGCTTGCAACTTCTTATTGAGTTTGGTTCTGCTGTGCAACTAAGAAAAAGCTCATTTCCTTAAAATGTTTCTCTTTTTGTTTCCTGAAAGTTGAACAAAGAAATTTACTTGGCTTTGAAAAGTATTATAATGTAACTAGTCAGTTTGCCTTTTAAAATGTGTAATAAACAGTTGTATCCTCTCAGAGTGATCCCCGTTTGCTATTTTCCGGGTTTACAACATTGATATTGTTTTTGGCATACATGTATGGCTTCTAGCATGATCCTTGGCTACCGTACATGACACATGCAGGTTTATGGCTTCTGACTGGCGCCTCTTGAACAAAGTAATCGACAAATTGGGGAACCAACGAAGGGCTGGAAAGCACAGTTGGTAGAGCACTGGAGCGGCAATCCAGAGGTCTCAGGTTCAAACCCCACTCCAGTCAATTTTTTTGTTCAACTTTGAGAAAATTTGACAACAGCTAGTCCTTTTTTATTGAAGAGAAATCACCTGACTGCTGTTTCCTTTCTTTCTACCAGATTGAATCTGGAGCAAGGGGCAGGGGCCTGGTGCCCACTCAGTGCTGCCCCCGAGTCCGATGGTCGGTATGAATACCTCCAGGTCAACTTCCACAATATCAGCGTTATTACGGCAGTGTCCATCCAGGGCCGCTGGTACTCCGGCTATGGCCAGGAGTTCACCCCCAAGTTCCGTTTGGAGTACTCGCGGGACAACCAGTGGAAGCGGTACCGGGATGGCCTTCAACAAGAGGTTGGATAATTTTGTTTTAATTCATATGCTGCAGTAAAACTTTACTAAGCAAATGCAGAATACCAGCTAAGATGTTTTGCAATGGTTATTGGTATTGACTGATTCTCTATAAGGCCAAACTTAGACATTTACCTTGTAAAAAACTGGTAATCAGTCAAGCTGTTATGTTGTGGGTGTTGGTGTTGACTACAAGGCTACAGGACGGATTGGCAAAGCTGTGGCAGGTTATACCAGTCAAAATGGCATGTAATACATATTGCTATTCACTGCCTTGCAAGAAAGGCTTTCTAGTTATTCAGTGAACTTTGCTATGACTGGCCCTCTGCAGTTTTTTTTATTAACTCAAATTTTCTTAGCTCCATGAAATTGGCTGAGACGACTAAATCATTGATGCAAGTTACAAATATCCAGCTGTTTATGTTAAGTTCAGAGGGACCAATGCCAATTTCTTTTTTTATTATGAATATTTGTTTGTGTCTTAATTTGCAGATATTCGATGGTAATAGGGACTCCTTCAACATAAATACGGTGCACCTTTTTCCTCCAATTATTGCCAAGCAGCTCCGAGTGGTGCCCGTGGTAGACAGAATCACATCGGTCTGCCTGAGGATAGAGCTGTACGGCTGCCTGTGGGCAGGTAAAATTGAAATATCTTCAAACAAATTTTCAATCTAGCTTTCAATCTAGGGTCAAGAGGTGATTTATAATCTTGTATTCTGCAGAACCCGTAATCTTCCCAAACCTTGTCTTGGCCTTTTATTTTTGCCACTTGGACTCCATATGCGAACAAAAGAGGGCGCTATATAGTATTGCAACAGTTAGGGCACTTGAAGGACCCTAAATTGGTTCACACTCTCTTTCACTGTTATTCAAGTACGTATACAGTACTACCAGCTTGCACAATACAAGATGACGGCCAATGGTCCTTCAATACGGGCATGGACGTGTTTCTCATCCATCTTTGATCAAATTTGTTCTTGTTTTAATACACAGACCATCTTGTACGCTACAACATGGTTGAGCCTGATATTCGGGGAGAGTATGCCTTTGATGACGACACCTACGATGGCTTTGCGAGCGAAGACGGTCGCCTCATCAACGGCCTGGGGCAGCTGACCGATGGCAACCTGGGAAGCTCCAACTATCGTCTCAGCCCTGTCAACCTGCACCAGGGCTATGAGTGGGTTGGCTGGCGCAACACCACCCACCGCGACCCTGTTATAGTCTTTAAGTTTGACTCACTGCGCAACTTCACCAGCCTTGAGTTCCACACCAACAACTTCTTCAGTAAGGACGTTGAGCTGTTCAAGTCCGTCGAGGTGTACTTTGGGCTGCAGGAGGGCCACTACTCCACACGGACCATCAACTGGAATGTCAAGCAGGACCTGGTGCACGAGGACGCACGTTGGGTAACGGTTAATCTGCAGAACCGGCTGGCTCGCTTTATCAAATGCCGGCTGCGGCACCGCAACAAATGGATCCTCATCAGTGAGGTCTCATTCGCGTCAAGTGAGTGTGCCATGAACATATCTTACCATCTCCCAATGCGTTGCTATTCTTCTCTGAATCGACAGACGAATGATTCAAGTACAGTAAATCAACTTCATAAGGCAAACAAAATAATGGTTGTGTTTCCCTCACCCGACCAACCCAAAAATCTATTTCCCCTCTTGAAAAAAAAAATTAACAAATTTTAACCTTGCCGTTACTGTAAAACGTACAAAACATACATACCCGAATGGTAGTACAGTTCGAATTTACCGTATTTTGTACGTTGAATTGAGGCCGATGCCCAGGGCATGTCGTGTGATGTACCGGTACTGCATACAAATTTGTCCATCGTATTGTATATTGTATCACATGTGCATATTTTAGTTGGCACATACATGCACAGTACATACATGTACATGTATCTGCATGTTTCATGAACATTGGTAGAGGGGAACTGGTTATCTGAATGGAATCTTTGACAGAATATCAGTATTGGTCAAAATTACCATGGAATCTTCACGCTATGGTATATTCCCCCCCCCCCCCCCCCCAACGCCCCGGAAAAAAAAAGTAAAAAGAAAATACCCGACCAACTGACCCTCTTAATATTTTTATGTGGGGGCAACACAGCTTCTTCTCTTTTGGCCTTTAAGGTAACAGTCTTTTTTCCAATATTTATAAAATCAACATCACAGAATCAATAGTAACTGACAAAGAAAAATGACTTATTGGGAGACTCTCATTGTGGGTCTGGCTATGTCATTGAAGGTCTTCTAGATCTGGAGCACCGATACAATTATCCAATAGTCACAAGGTCATATTGTTTGTCAGGTTCTCCATATGAATTTTTTTTTTTTAAACAACCATCAAATACAAATGAAAATTAAACAAAAGTTTATTTTTTTTACATTGACTAGTTGACATATTACATACTAGTGTATTATTTACAACACCGGTTACTGCCGGTACTGTGAACTCTTTCTCGTTTGCTTTTCCAGATTACAGACAATAAGACAATGTGAACCCTGTACACATTGATTCATTGATCTCTTACATGTACATATTTCTCTCTGCATTTGTGTATGCGTATTTTTCTCTTTAAAGGAAAACCAAGACCTGTAAATGACAAAAGCAAGTGCATTTCTCATCAATTATTGTAATGTTCCTTCCATCAGAAACAAATCTTTTTGTTCTATTTTGTTGAAAAGATTTACAATGTATGTAATATACACGTACATGTATGTATGCCTAAATTTTGGTTATTTATTTTCAAGGTCCGTAAGAAACCTGCATTTTGTTGTATGCGTAAGGCATGTTGCTTGTCTGACCCAAGTCGGTGATTGAAGTTGACGTTGCATGCAAGGTCGTCTCTAGGGGCTGCTTCAATTGAAGTTTGCAATTATCATGCATGAAATGAAAATTGCACCTTTCTATGTAAATGTACATATGCATCTCCAAATATCACATTCATTGTACATGTACATGTACATGTACAACTGTATGTTGTTTTGAATATCAACAAAGTCACATGTAAGTTGTACATGTACAGTTTCTTTAGTTATTATATTGCATGAAGAGGGCCCTCTAGAGACAGCACCCTACACAATAGTACTTTTGTAAAAGGTTGTACAATGTTTGCGTACCCATGTTGTGACCATGTTTTGTTATGTTCTTTTTGCCTGTGCATTTGTCTTTCCTCTGTTGTTTGCAGATCCCGTAGTAAACTATGTGCAACCTCCCCTGACGCCCTATCCAGCCTCACCGTCCACCACCCCGCCAGGTGGGTGTCTCTTTTGCTCTGTGGTCTGTCAGGGTGTCCGTCACCCACCCTTGCCCCATTTTTGTGCGCCAGTTATTGTTGGGTGTTTAAAACACATTTTCTGTGTTGAACAACAGTGCTGGTTTGTTTTTCTTCAGATTTGACAAAACAGATTAGAACAGATATGAACTGATCATTCTGTGCTTGTTCTGTGGTTGCATGGACCTCAATGCTCATGAATTATATTGCATCCTTATTTGTAATTTTTGTTTAATTTACATGTAGCTGCATTTACACTTTTTGGAGCCTTCTGACCTGTCAGAGATATTTTCAGAAATTTTCGTGTCAGTGAACAAAAAATCCTGAGAAAATTTCTCTGTGAAGGCTCCTCGTACAAAAATCTTCTTCCAAAGTCACATAGATAATATTGATATTGATTCGGATAAAATTGATTTTTTTTTAGTGGAGCATGAAACGACCACAGAGAGCAAGCCCTCTGGCCCCCCAGACATCAGCAGAATACCCATCGGCAACACCAGCAACACCAGCGATAACAATGACTTAAATGGTAAGTGATCACGTTATTAACCCAGCCCTTATGTAGTCGAGTCCATCACAAGTCTCTGCAAGTCTCTGCAAGTCCATCACAAGTCCTCCAGTCCCATTTCAATTCACAAGCTATTCAACTGAGATTTGACAAAGGCATTCCTTTGTTATTGTTTATCCATTGTTTCTTGTGACTGGACTTGTGAAAGGACTTGTGAATTACTTGTGACTGGACCTGTGAGGGATTCGACTACATACCTGTTTCTACATTGTGTTTATAACTTCTCTATCTTTCTAGAGTGATGTCTGTTTGGCATTGTCATAGTTACAGTCACAGTCATGATAGATAGTTCTTAACCTTAAAATCTGCCCTCTTCAGGGGAGAAGTTTTTTTTTTTTGAAACCCAGTGTCAAAATTGAACTTTGAAAGAAAGGTAAGTTGGAATCTTGCAGAATTGATGTCAAGAAGTCACCAAGTCATCAGTATGTAAATTTCATGAGGATTTGGTAGAGATTAATCATGCAGCAGTAATATCAGAAAACTTTTTGACAGGGGTGGGGATGGATTGTCAACCCTCCCCCCCCCTCGCCCCTTATTTAGTTAAAGCAAGCAAGAGATAGTGCTACATGCATTGGTTTCTTGCATATCTGAAGATTATGGTGAATTCAGGATGCTCATACTAAATATTATTTACCAGGTCCTGTTTTTTTCTCCCATCCTACAGCTAAACCCACTAGAAACGTCCCCGGAAAACCCTTATCCAACAACAGCACCATCATCGCTGTGGTGGTTGTCCTGCTTCTCCTTGTGGTCATCGTCTGCACAATCTTCCTCTGTCTCTACCGACGCAAGTACATCAACCTGAAGCACAGCGTGCCAGCCGTCTTCTATGACAAGAATGGAACCAATGGGTGCATGGTCAACAATTCTATGCCAAGCCGGCGCATGAACCCGACCTACCAGATACCACACCCAAATGACGAGCCGCAGTATCATGTCATTGACAACATGCAGGAGAGCGAGGACGGTAAGACAAAATCGAAGACAAGTTAATCTTTCATAAAGTTGATGTTTCTCCCAGTGAGTGGGGAAAACTCCACGACTTGAATGAAAGTATTGACATAGAGTAGAGCTTGTTTAACACCGAGTACTTGCTTACTGAGAACGTCTTGAAGACAGCTGAGGACAAGTTCTTCACTAAACCATTCCAAACTTGCAAACAAGATTATGTCACACATTGAGTCACTGCAAAGTTCTACTGATTGATTACCCCACCTTCAACACAAACCTTCTTTATATCCAGTTGACATTTTCTTAAAAATTGTGTATATGTTTGTATCCCCTTTCCAAAAAAATCAGAATGCACAGGTATTTATGCCGAGCCAGAGAATATGAACCCCACCCCCAAGAAAGGGGGCAGCCAGAGTGATCTCTTGACCCACTACGCCGAGACTGACTTGATGGTGACCATCCAGGGTGTGTCCGGCAACACCTTATATGGCGTGCCCAGCCAGGCCATGGAGAAACTCAACAACAACCGGTCACCGGTGCCAGAGTTTCCAAGGGAAAAACTCAAGTTTTTGGAGCTGCTGGGCGAAGGCATGTTTGGAGAGGTGAGAACATTATTTTGTGTCTGTATTCATGAGTGTATGAGAAAGTGTTCATTTTTTGAATATTTTTCTGTATGTACATTTCATCAGAGATTCTCAACAGCTTGTATCCGAGTTCCCTTTAAAAAAGACCCTACAGTTTCTGGGGCTGCTAGCCGAGGGAATCTTTGGGGAAGTGAGGACAGGGGCTTTTTGTGTGTGACAACATTTCAATATTTCTTTTGTGGACTTTTTATTGGAGAAACTCCACAACACTGAACTATTTTTGATGGGTCAAATTGCTTGTGAGGACTTGTTTGAAGACATGTTGTCATATGTATGCCGATGACATTCAACTTTACATAACCTTTAATCCCAACTTTCCAGGTGAAGCTGTTGTTGCTCTGCATAGGCTATCGATATGCGTAGATGACGTTCGGCACTGGATGACTGCAAACAAGCTGAGACTAAACAGCTCCAAAACTGAGTTTTTCATATCTGCATCTCAAAACAATCTCCCAAAGCTCATCAATTACACCTTCCAATCGATAATGAGTATGTGTCTCCATCTATTTCAGTGAGAAATCTAGGAGAAACATTCGACCCATCCATGACCATGTTCTCTCATGTTACATCCCTCTGTCAGGCAATCAATTTCAATTTCCGCAACATCTTTCAAATTCGTCGCTTCATTGACCAGGAAAGCTGTACTCATGCCTTGAGGGCCCTGATTCTGTCTAGACTAGACTATGCCAACTCTCTTTTGGCCGGTTGCAGCAGCTCTGACATCTCAAGACTACAGCGTCTACAGAACAGGGCTGCTCATATTATTTTCCAAGTTCCTCGTCGACATCCCTCTACTCCACTATTACAATCTCTTCACTGGCTTCCAATCGAACAACGCATTATTTTCAAAATCCTGTTATATGTATGCAAGTCAATCCACGGTCTCACTCGCATATACCTCTCAAACAGCATTTCATTCTACAAACCTTCACGACCCGGATTACGCTCTGCCACAGACACAACCCGGCTCGTGGTGCCTAGGGGCCAAAGGATGGTTGCAGAGAGTTCATTCTCTGTCTGTGCCCCTAGATTGTGGAATGATCTCCCATCAACCATCAGACTGGCTCCTAGTAGGCTGTTCCACGCACACTGCACTTCCGTTGCCGAAACACCACTCCCCATACACTTACGCACAGCTACTGTACAAATCCTTTGTACACACACAGCTTTGGGTAGAACTCTGCAGTTGGCACCACATTTCGGCACAGACCCAATTTTGGCTTATCTGATCGTAACATTTCGGGAGCATTTTGGGGAAATGTGATTGGCCAAACAGCTTCGCAAACGTCATCATCGGAAAGAAGACATGTTCGGCTATGTTCGGGGGAAGTTGCGTTAGAATCTGATGGGATCTTCATGGTGATCGAAAGCATTTTTCAAATCATCAAAACTATCACTAAAAGTTTGTAAATGCTCACGCAACAAGGCGCACAAGTCCACTGAACATTCAACATGAGAGTCAATACCTTTAATAGTCCATATATGCCACCACTTTTCCCAAAACATGTATTTTTCTGAGTGTACATGTATGTTCCACAGCTTAGCTGGGCTGTCGTTCGGGCCCACACATGCACTCATGTGTGGCAAGTCTGTGCACAATCAAGTGACCGCAGTGGACAGTGCAGTGTACAATACACACAGGCACACAGCATGCACGTCGCTGCGGCCATGATGTGGCGTCGTGATGATTTTGTCACGAACTTCGGTCCTTTTGGGTATATTTTGTCAGTATTAATATCACAACTGATGTTGTCTTTCTTAACAATGCCAAATCAAGGCTTCAATTTACAAACTATTCACTATGATGTGCTTTGAAGTGGAAAATTTGACTGCAGAAAAATGTAAAAAAGATCAATGCCATGATCTCACATCGCTATATTCGGCGATACCATTTTCAGAATAGGGTGGACGGTAAGTTGTTAGATTGTATTTTTATGAATGAAAACAACATATTTCCGACTTTTAAGGCAATTTTGTTTCCATTAAATCATGAAACAGCTTCGGCTTTTGTTTTTATGATTTTTAAACTTTCAGTGCAATCGCTTGCATTTTGATGTTTTTTATGTATCATTTCTTTAACCCCGCTGCTAGCGATGTTGGATTTTGGAACTTCATAGCAGAGAAAAGTTTCCTTCGTTCTTGCGCTATATCATCATTAAAAATTTTCTCAAAAAAGCTTCAGCATTCAAAAATGAAGAACCCCACCTATAATACTGCTGCCTTCTGTAATTTTCTGTCATTTAAAAATTTGAAAAAAATGGAGACACCTTGAAGTGTACTGACACGATTTGAAGAAGTGAGTTTTCCTTTTCAATTGAATATTAGAGCTTTAAAAATTAATACAAAATCTACAAATATTAATACCGGTATAGGTTTTAATGAAATAGTGGTATCCTTTGTCATTAAAGAGCCTTCAACACATGACTTCATTATTGTAAAAGAAAGATGCAGTTTTAATAATTTTTACTGAAAATATGTGAAATTTCCCCTTTCTAAAAATACTTTGTGTTAAAATATGCAAATATGTAAATGAGGTAATGGATAACCCATTTCTCTCTCTTTGACTGCATGTAATTGCACAATTTAAACATTTCATTATTTGAAGACACTGATATGAAATTTTTCTAATGCAATTACTTGTATTTTTTGCCTGAAAATGTAAAAAAATTACTAATTACTATGCAAATTAGGTAATTAATATTCAATAAATATAAGGATGTTGTGTGATTTTCTACCAATAACCATTTAGCACAAGTTACTTCCACATAGACTGAATGTAATCTAAATTACAATCATATGTTGCACTATGATGGGCCTGTCTTGGTGCCAAATTGAAAACAAAGAAAAACATACCAGGTAGGATAACCTTTGACTTCTTGGCTAATTTTTGACCCATACTTGCGTCATAAATATGAACGTAACTCTGCAACACAATGTCCTATTTGGAAAATTCAAACTGATTTTTCTTAATGAAGATCCATTCTTTCAATTGATTCAAGTTTTGACAAACTGAGAGCATTAAATAAATTTGGTGTGAACATCCTAGCCCACAAACATTCAGAAGCCTCCTCAAAATACACCTATTTGCCTGATCTCTTATGTGATTTACTCTTTCAATGTATCTGTTTATGTTTCTTTGTTTTTGTTTGTGAAGTGCATTGATCATCAATTTGGAACTGCGCTTTATAAGCACCGGTATTATTATTATTATTATTATTATTATTGTGAGGACTTGTTTTTGTGAGGACGTTTTCTAGGTGAGGATGTGTTTGAAACATCTTCTTTTTCTCAATCATCTTCTGCCCAGGTGCATCTGTGCGAGGCTGAAGACATCCATGATTACATCCGCAATGGCTTCCCCTTCCAGAACAAGAACAAAGGCGAGAAGACCCTAGTGGCAGTCAAGATGCTCAGGAAAGACGCCAACAAGAACGCAAGGTATTCATAGCATAACCTTCTATAGTTCTCATTAGCTAAGCGGTTATCCTGCACACATTTTACAAATTTGAAATTCAGAGTAGACAACATCAGTTTTCCTCTTCTCAAGCAATTTTCTTAATAAGGAAAAAATGTGAGTAATATTAAAAATTTAGTTAACGACCATGCAAAGGCTCTCATAACATTGAGCATCTTTCCTTGTTTTTTAATCTTCACAACAAAGGGATGTCAATTTTACTCCTACCGGTACATGCCAGCCAACCATCATTTGTTAATGGTATGAAATGTTAATATCTGATATTTGGGAATAGTTGACATGCAATCAGTTGGAATGAAATTGATATTTCAGTTTGTATTTTGTCCATAACATGTGCATCCTACAAAGCAGTCTTCTCTATAAAAGCTCCCAAATCTCAGTTGTCTATCTCCAGGAGAATCCTAGACACCCAAAACAGACCTCAAAGTAAGGTTTTAACCCAATCACATCGCATTGGCTTAGCTGACATTGTTTCCCCAGCTCCCATGACCCCTAACCCTGTCTATTGATCCAGACCCAGACACCTGCTGCCAGTCATCACAGTGAGGTACATACAGCCTTGGAATAGGTCCCTGGACTCCCCTGGGGGCTGGGATATGTCTGGTTTGCCTGATTGATGGTGAACATGTGGCTTAGGGTTGGCCAAGTTCAGGAGGAAACTTATGCCAAACCTGAACTTTGAGATTATGAGCTGCGTATCAGTTCCAAGTTGTTGTGCACTTTCTTCCTTTTTACAAGCATTCTTGTCTTTAAATTAGAATATGTGTAGTGTACGAAGTTGAATCTGACTTTAAAAATTCTTTCAATTTACTTGGGGAAATGGAACAGGGAGTCTGGGAAGTGGAACAGGGAGTTTACGTTTACAGATACCTTTTTAGAAAAATATGAAGCTTAGGCAGAATTGAAAGAAAGAACTACATTTGTACTTGTAATGTAAGGTTTCATTTAAACTTATGGTTACTCTTTTGAATATTTTATGGCAAAGCAACCACTTTACTACTTTGTTGCTTCAATTTTGTATTTCAGCTGCATTTATCAGTGAATACTAAATGGTGGTCTTTTTCAAGAAAATGTGTATATATATATACGCAAACAAATTTCTTCAATCAAAGGTTTATGGATGATGGGATGCCCTGTGCGCAAAATACTGCATTGGTCATTGATAATGCCGACAGTGATGCGCAGCCCCAGGGAAAGGGAAGATGCCAGCAGAAAATTAAATTCCATCAGCTTGTCAAGACGTGTCCTCCCAATCTCAGTGGAGCATTTAAGATGCTGTCAACACGGGAATTCCTCCCTCAGTATCAGGTTTAAAACAAGGGGGCTGAAACCGCTACTAGATACAACAGCGAACGCAGTCGCTTGCGATTTATTACCGCCGGGCGTTGGTGACTCAACGTAATTAATTGGAGGGGATGACGAGAAAAGAAACCGATGAGTGTTGTTGCAAGGAGAAAAACCTCTGTAATTTCTTTTTACTCCTCTGGCCTTCCTCTGGGGTTGGTCCGTAATATCAACAATTTGCCCGAAGACTCGCTCCGTCAAACGCGCTCTTAAAGTATCATCTTTCCGAGTCATCTTAGACTGGAGTTGATTGAATGCCGCGGGGAGGTGAAATGAGGTCGGTCACATTTGGATGCTTTGTGAGCTAGTTGCGGGTATGGAATGTACAGCTATGCATTAGCTGTGATGTATTGCTAGAATGTTCAAGTGCATTGCACCTTGCACTGTGTTCATCATCCCCAGAATATCTGATAAAAAAAATGATTTATACAGTGAAGTTGTATTGAGAGACATGTGGAATGGAATGTTTTTTTGTAATATGGTTGACATGCATCTGTGATGGGTGTTCCTCAAGAATTTATGCTGAACATACATGTTTAACACATCACCGTGGTGGATTTTTCTTTCTTCAAAACATGGCACTGTCTTTCACATGAGCTGTGTCACACCTTGTTGGGTTCATTTTGGTTGTATTTTACCTTTAGGCAACTATGACAAGTGGACATAAATAATTAAAACAAATGAAGTTCGTGAAGTCAATTAATACAACAATAAATATGCACGAGATTTGTGATCATGGATTTTTTCATTTGCAAAGATTCTTCATGACCTATCGGTACATGTATGCTTCATGGTAAGTCTTCTGAGACTTGCAGCTAACTTGGTGATATTGTCAAGTTTATCCCCCAAAATTTAAACTTTCTGTTTAAATTGCTATTTTTTATAGCACTGTACAGTAGTTATTCTTTTTGAAACAAGGCATGTTTTGCTACCCAATTAATTCAGGTTGATATTTTTGTGCATAACAATAAACTATTAAAAAGCCCCAAACTAAAGCCTTTTTTCCCCAGAGGGTTACAGATGCCCAAATTAGAAAAAAATGATATAAGAATCAACTATGAAGTTTTCTACCTTCCCTTTTTGACATCCAGGACTGATTTCATGAAGGAGATGAAGATCATGTCGCAGCTGAGGGATCCTAATATCGTCCGTCTCCTAGCAGCCTGCACTGAGGACGAACCACTCTGCATGGTGGTGGAGTATATGGAATGCGGGGACCTGAATCAGTATCTCTATGAGTCGGAGGCTCAGTGGAACGTGGCCCCGACGGGTGCCACCAACGTCAGGGTCGTCACGTAAGTCCAGGGATTGAATTATAAGGAGTGGCTAAGCAGAAAGTATTACTTAACAAATATATGCGCTTATCAAAGGACAAGTCACAAGCTGAATACATTACATTACGTTTTGGCTGGTAACATTGTTTTTGTGTTTTGTGGTTTTTTTTTTAGCAATTTTTGTTTTTTTTTGCGTAGCACAATTCTGTGTTTAGGAGGGATGCGTATAATATGACGTGCTTGTCTGAAACTTGAAGTATTGCGTCGGAGAGGTGTATATGTTGTTGCCCCGCTGTGGGCGGGGCTTAATTACTTGGTCTTTTTTATTCTGGGTAGTTGTGAAGTCCTCTACAACACCCATTTGACTTTTAGCAAATAATAATATAACAATTCTGGTGTATCTCAGTTTCTTATATTTCTTTTTACAGACTTGGTGCGCTGATCTACATGGCCACCCAGATTGCATCAGGCATGAAGTTCCTGGCCTCCCTCAACTTTGTCCACCGCGACCTGGCCACGCGCAACTGTCTGATGGGCCGTGGCTTCACGATACGCATTGCCGACTTTGGCATGAGCCGCAACCTGTACTCGGGCAACTACTACCGAATTGAGGGCCGGGCCGTGCTGCCCATTCGCTGGATGGCATGGGAGAGCATACTCATGGTAAACCCTTTTTCTATCGAGTCACTTCCCTTTGCACTTTCTGGTTGAGTTCAACTCTGTATAAATCAAGGCATTGCAAGTCATCACAAGTCAATCCTATCCCATGTAAAGCAACAAGGTCCTTGCTTTTAATGTTAAGTCATTAGTTACTTATTTCCTTTTTATTAATCAGGTCAAATATAATGATAGTTTATGGTATCAAAATAATGTATTGAGTGGGCAAAAAACGTTGAAATGTTTGTGCTAGAACCACACCTGTCCTACATTGTACCTGACCAATGCTGACTATGTATATTCAACCTTTTTTCATATACATGTATTTTATTTTTTGAAAGTTGAAAAAAAGATTTACTGGAGTGAGGTTTGAACCTGCAACCTCCAGATTACCATCCTGGTGCTCTACCAACTGAGCTCTCCAACCCGATGTTGGCGGCTTTCCATTCTGTCAATGTCTTTGTTCAAGGGCGCTAGTCAGAAGCCATAAACCTGCATATGCCATGTAGTTAGGGATCACGCCCAAAGTCACAATGCCAGCAACATTAGCAATGTTGGGAAATAGCAAACAGGGATCACTCAACTTCTTTTTTTGGACAATGATGGTGGATTTTTTTTTGTTTTAACTGCACAGGGCAAGTTCACCACCAAGACAGACGTGTGGGCATTTGGCGTGACACTGTGGGAGATCATGACACTGTGCAAGGAGCAGCCTTACTATGAGCTGAAAGATGAGCAAGTTATCGAGAACAGCGGCCAGTTCTTTGAGAAGAATGGCAAACCCACGCTACTGGCCCAGCCCCCGCATTGCCCCAAGGTCAGCCCACAGTCGTTACACTTCTTGTTATTTTTTTTAATGAATTACTTCAATGTTGGAATTGGCCAGTGGACCCAAGTAAGTACTCTGGTCAAGTGGTTAAGAAATCTGTAAGCAGGGGGTCATGGGTTTGAGTACCACCATGAGGCCCCCTTCAATGGGTAAAGCGTTGCGCTAGGTATTGTTTAAAACAATTGCTCCATGACAGATTATCTGAACAATAGCTAGCATGATGCTTTCCCCATTGAAGGGGCCTCTGTGACTTCACAGTGACCATGGTGACAGCATGCTTGCTAAAAGTTTAAAAAAGAAAGTTAGCTCTACATTAGATGTGTCCTTTTTTCTCACTTTTCCAGGATATTTATGACATCATGCTGCGTTGCTGGCGAAAGGAACCAGCCGACAGACCATCCTTCAAGTATCTCTTCACCACGCTACAAGCCAAGAACCTGGGCTACGAGCCACCAGTACCCGTCTAAGACTGGTACCCAACCAAGAGAGACCGATAGTGATGTTAGTGCTAATAAAAGCAACTGGTACCCATCTTTTTCATTGCATTGGAGTGGTGATATAACACACTGGTACCCATCCAAGAGAGGCATTCATTGCATGTGTGTTGTGAAATTGTAGGTGGTGGTTTTCCCTGTTAACTGTATCCCTGATACCACATGCGGGAATCACTTTTCAAAAATGTGAATGTTTTTTTAAAAATGTGATCGGTGATTTTTTTTATGTTTTGAATATCAGATTAAAGCTGAGAGGTGTTTTTTTTTTCAAATACTTAAAAAATCATGAAAACAGCATGGGTTGCTGAGAAAATGCCAATTGTGTACTAGAAGTGAATTTTCATCCTTTCCAGTGATGCTTCAAAAAGTGAAACGCGTTACTGTAAGCCCACAAATGTCTTTCATTTGTGCAATTTCTTTCATATTTGACACAGTTATGATGCTGAAAAGGTTTAAAAAAGGACTAGAAAGGATAAGAGACCTGTTCAGGTGGAGTGCTGTGGCCTCGTGGTTAAGGGCACTGATTCGTGGTCTGCGGGTAAAGCTGCAGGTTGTGGGTTCGAGTCCTGGCGGGGTCATGGTGCATGCACCCTTGGGCAAGGCGCTTTGTCACTGGTTGCTTCTCTCCACCCAGGAGTAAATGGGTACCTGTGAGGGCAGAGATGGTTATTGTGCATGGTTGATCAAGCTTCCTTGCGCCTAACAGGCAGCATCGAGCTGTATACTCCCCAGGGAGCTGAGAAGGTTTCAGGAGTGTTTGCCCGTTGAAACAGGGATAATAATAATTGTAAAGCGCTTTGATACCCCATTGTGGTGTAAAAGCGCTATATAAATGCCTGTTATTATTATTATTATTATTAAATAAAAGGTACATGTATTTCCATCAAATTAATCTTATTTTGTGCTGTGGACACAATGCGCTACATGCATTTCATGCATTTCATGGACAAATAGGTACAGTGTAAATCCCTTAACCGTGGTAACGCCATTGGAATGGACCAAAAAGGAGTTGTGTTACAAAATTGGCATTTTCTCAGCAACCCAAAGTGCTGTTTTCATGATTTTTTTTCCATATTTGAAAGAAAACATTCTCAGCTTTAATCTGATATCAAAAAACATAAATAAGGCCAAAAAAAAAAATATTCGGTCTCTGGTCAGACCAAAGTTCCGGAATTGACGCGGGGACGCGACTTTTTTTTTTTTTTTTTTTTTTTTTTTTTTCAAGCTTGGATTGTACAGACAAGGTGGGCTACTATTTTGCTATTTGGTGTCCTCATGTACATTGGTGTCCTCCATAATTTGCCTTGGTGCTCTCGATCATTTGCCTTGGTGCAATTTCCCATTCCTTGGTGCTCTTTGGTAATAAAAATTGAGGAGGTGCGGCAATAGAGGGCGCTGTTGGAGCTACCGCGGAACATTTTGGAAAAAAAAAAGATTGACGCGTATGATTAAAATCGACGCGCGCGCTGACCAGAGACCGACTTATTTTTTTTTGGCCTAATCACCGATCTCATTTTTGAAAAATAGCAAATTTTTCAGGATATCATTTTTTTGGGGTCACCCTGTACAGTACTTATTTGGGACAAGTAGTACTATGCAACCCTCAATCCAATAACTCTTGTGTGGTATGGATGAAAATTTTTAAAAAATTGATGGACAACCAGATTGGGTCTTCAGTAACAAGGATGTGTCCCTGTATGATTCTGTAATAAGGAGGTTGTATAGCACCCTCAATAGTCCATACACATAGCCAATACTCTGTGAGGATATTATTCAGGGTATTGGCATTGTGAAGATAAAGATGAAGTCCTCTATCCGCTCCGTTCACAAGCACCCCCTCACCGGCAAAGGAAGTACAGTTGGGGGTGACCGACTGACACCATCTTGCCTGACTGCAATTCATTTGCCGCAAAGCGCGGCCACTGCGCGTAAATAGAACAAATCCTCTGGTGTACGTGCGTCACACACAAGGAACGGTGCGTGTCAACCAGTGAAATGTCCCGCCCATGGGGCGTCGTTGTTAGGTAAAAGGGCGCCCTCTTTTGGTAGCGCACGGAGCTCATAAAGTGTAACCTAGTGGTTGGAGTTTGTGACTCGTGAACAGAGGTATCAGGGGTTGCATATGTTGTGTCATTAATTATGAAGCAAGCCACTTCACCTCCACTTGCCTCTCTCCACCCAGGAGTATAAGTGGGTACCGGCCTTAGCTGGCAAGTAACCTGCGATGGACTGGCATCCCATCCACATTGGCTTGTGATAGACATTTACTTTACAAGTAGACATTGGAAAAAATAAACCTTTTTTTTAAGTGACGACAACTTAACCCTCCTAAAAACTAACAAGAAATCCAGTACTTGGTTTTTCAAAGTATTCCAGAAAAACTGAAAAGTTATACGAGAACGTGTGTGTTTTTGTATTGAAGTGTAAAATAATAATGTAAATACCATTTGTACAGCGTGAAATTTGACTTCAAAGAAAAGAAATGATCATCAGCAATTTAAAATAACAGTTGAATTTTCTATACTGATTTTATTGTCGATGTTAAGAAGAATTCGTAGAATTTTGTATCAGTTGTTGTGTGTACCTCGGAACTTGATTTAAATGGTTGATATTTTTGTTGCCAAAAAAAAACAGGACGTTTTGAAGTATACTGTTTTTAAAAAAAAAATGAGACAGTTCTATTGATTTGAGACCGAAGAAAATCGTTAAAAAAAAATAAACATTTTCCTATTTTATGATATCGTGTCTCTTTTATACCCAAGCTAAAGCAAGTTCCATTCATATCAAATAATTGAAATTATCCACAGCTTTTTTTCTCTGTTAACTTTTTCCTACATTTTTATGTGAGTGGATAGGTGACTTATGATGTGTTTTACACATTTGTAAAAATGTTAACTGAGATATGTGAAGACTCACTACTTTACAGCAGTCAGTCGTAATTTTGTACCACAGGGTTATCTGTATATCTGTACGCAAGCAAATGGTTTTATATTCTTGTTAAAAAAATTCTAATATTGATACTTGCTGTACATTGTGAGCACTGTAAAACAGAAAGCTACATGTACATGTAGTTTTCTCAAAGATTTTGGAGTTATAAAAAAGTTGGTATAGGCTTTGCTGTAAAGGGAAACAATGACCTATTTCAAGTTTTTTCCCCTCATTTTTGAAGTGATGGCTAGATGCTCACATGTTTTAAATCAAAAAGTTATGATGTTTAGCTTGTTTTATAAAGCTCAGCCTTGTTAGTCATTTACAACACTAATTTGAAATTCTGTTGGATGTGATTTGAATCTGTTGGCAAATTTGGAAGTTTGTTTTATTAGCAAAGCCAACCATTCCTTAGCAGTGTACATGTACATGGTTCATCCTAGACACATGCGTAACAGATCTTTTGCATTGAAACCGCCTTTGAGATGCGTTCTTTTGTTCCACGAATTCCCACTCGTAGACAGACATCTTGTGCATTCATTGTACACAACATTTCAAAGATAAAGGATATATAGGTCTGTATAGGAATGACATGTACATTTAGCATTCCAGTAGACTTGATCTAGTCTCATGTTGTTTCATTGACTTTCTTCCAGTCCACTGTTGAAACCATTCCTCATTTTTCAAACGTCCAAAGTTTTTTTTAAATTTTTTTTTATTGTTACCATTTGGGAATCGTTCAGAAGTACATGTACATGTACTTATTTCTCCAAAAAGAAGCCCATCACAGTACTAGTAATTATGAAAAAAAATTGAGTTATTTGATTCATACAAAACAAATACATTGTATTGTGATCCATGTAGTAATTTTATATGCTTGTGATCTCATGAAATTACATTGTGTAAATTGTTTCTCTGGCTTAAAAATTTTGCATTTTAAATGTTTATATATATTGAGACGTGATTTTTTTTCTTCTTTAAGCCAAGTGTTAGGATGTTACTGTTAATTTTTGAAGTGAAATTGTACATTGTTTGGATTTTAGGCAATGTTTTGAAGATCTGAATATTCATTACATGGAACCAAAAATTATTGGTTGATTGGTTATGAATATTCACATACATTGTGGTTGATTTATAAATGTTTTAAGTTGAATTTGAAGAAAAAAAAAATATCGCTGTACAGTATTGTTAATTTTCTCATTATTCTTACGCTCAAACCAAATATGTTATATTGTTTTTTTACATGTAAGTGGCCAGTTTCATAGCTGTGTATCAGAAATCATGCTAAGCAGAAGTTACAGTAAGCAAGGTGTGTTGGAAACGAGTTAAAGCTGCTGTAATCTGCTTTATTTCTGCTTTAATGGTTTCATGAAACTGGCCAAGTCTACTTGTATATTTAATGTTTTGCTCTTTTTAAGCAAGCACAGCTGGTCTGTATACGTTTCAAATGCTTTTTATCTGTTTCAGAGTTTGTTTTTAAAATTAATATCGTTTAAAAAAGCTCTATAAAGTTAGTCTAGAGTTCCAGACATTGTTTAAAGGTGCTTAAAACCTCTTAAAAAAAATTTTATTATAGAAGAGTTGAACGATACCCACCAAATGTTGACGTTTTATTTTCTTCTGGTGTTAAGATCTTGTTTAAAACCTAGTCCATTTGAAGTACCATTGATAGGCATTTTCCTATCTGATTTCTATCCTGCATTTATTCTCCTTAGGCAAGTGTTCTGGCCTTAAAATGCAACCTAGTTGTGTGCCTTTTGAAGGAGGTTTTTTTTTTAATTCTATTATCATTTTTTTTACTATTTTTCTCCTTATCAGAATTTTTTTAACACAAATTTTTGATGAGGATGAACGTTGTTACTGAGACTATTTTACAGTTTAAATAATTTTGAGAATTTGATAACCGTTTACCCTCCAGTCACACACTTTCTTGGCCTTCAGGTTGTGGGAAATGTTACCCAGAATATCCTAGGTATAGGACTGAAAAAAAGTTCCAGTACTTTAAGTCTGTTAAACAAACTACATGTAGTACTTCTGAAGTGGCATTGAAAAATAAACAGTAACACAATTACATTGTTTATCAGACGTTACTAATATGAGATGTATCACAAAGCACAAGTGAAATAAGAAACTCGGTTTAATAAATGCAAAGTACCCAGAGAAGATCCTGATTTAATGTTCTCAATTCATTCTTTAAATGTTATTTGTTAGTTTCTATCTCTAAGCTACATCATCATTTTCTGAGACCACATTTGGTCGCTTGATATTAAACTACACCCTTTCATAACAATTCCACTCCATTCTGATTTTTGGGTCTTCCCCTTGACTGTAAAAATAAAGTTTGCTTTCTGAAACCTTTAAATACGACCAATTGAATATTCTTCGGTGGGAATTCAATGATCCCTACAAAACATTTCTGATGTCAATTAACCCTTCCATTCCAAACAGCCTCTTCAAATACCACAGTAGAATGTACATGTACATTTTGTACCAACTGTTACCATTTCCAGCAAAATGCAGACCACACATTTTTTTTCTAGCTTCAACAGGTTACCAGCCAAAAAGTTGTATAGCAGGACACACATACCAACAGCCTTTGATTGGTACCCTGCATAAGTGCCCTTCAATTTACTAAGAATATTCTGTGTCTGATTCCCCAACACCAATAGGATGTCTTCATGTGATTTCTTATTTGAAATGGAAAGTACCAGTCTCTCTGCCTTTGCAAAACTCACATTGCTCTTCAGCACAGTAACTAATAGGATACTTATGATGCTTAGATCAGGATTTTCGACCCTCAAAGCTGAATGTTGTTGGCTTTGGTTTAAGTGTTACTTTTTTGCCCGAGCTTTGACAAATTTGTTCAATCATTTGTGGCTTCAAATTGGCGCTGCAGGAAAAGCCGAGATTGTGAACCAGGAGGGATGAAGAAATTGCCGTGTACCAATTGTTGCAGGGGAAAAAAAATCAAAGATGGCTGCTATGGAACACAGGTGTGATGTTTACAATAATTAAATAAACTTTGAAATGTTTTTCACACTTTGACATAAAAAAACCTTATATACAATTAATGCAGTTATAATTGTTAAAAATATTGCACAGAAGTTACCTCTTATTTTCTTGTGGATAGAGTGCTGTATCCTGACGCCACTTTTTACATGAACCTCAACAATGGTCAGTTGTTGCAAATATTAAATTAAAAAACCAAGCATTTTGGACTAAAAAACAGATTTCCAAATGTCCAAATAATGAGAATATTTTAATGATTCCCCACAGACTTCATACACAACCATTGAAGTGGCATGAGAATACTACATTCTTTCCTTTCTTACTTTGCCAAATTGACCAAACAATTACTTTCGGACGGCACATGTCTCAGCACTATCTATCTAGTCCTATCAATTCCTACTATTAATATATTGTCTCAATTAAGTGTTTCTATTAACATATTATCACAGTCATAAACTATCAAAAATGTCTTTGTATTCTTTTACATCTTTGTTCTTTGTATATTATCTGTCACACACACATACACACTGTAAAGATTTTAAAATGTCCAATTTAGATTTGGTTTCAGAAAGATGACACTCCCAAATGTGTTCAAATATGTGTTCTTGGTGCTAAGAATATTAAACTGATTTAATATCCTGAGCACAATAATTAAAATTATTCCAGAAATCCAATTATTACAGACCGATTGTCATTTACGTGGTAATTCAAGTTAGAGATCCACTTACATTTGTGTAGGTCGGCAAATACACAGTGCTTGTGAACCAGAACAATTCTAGGTGACTTCTTAAATGTACATGTACAAAATGTAGGTTCCATGAAATAGATATTTTACTCTAGAATGCATGAACGTCATGAAGAGTGGACAGGTGGATTTTGAAAACATAAAATGAAGATTACGGAGTTTAGTTTGACTCCTGATTTATTTAAGAAGTATTATGAGGCAACAAAGTTTAGATTTCATCTCGACATTGCAAGGCACAGTGTGCACCAGTCCTGACCTTTGTGATTTCCTGAGCTAGAATGTATGTTCCTGGCAGAAGTGTGGAACACATTGTATGTATTTCAAGGCATGAAGTGTTCATAACGATTTTTACACCATCATACCAAAGACTTAGAGGTAAAAAAAAATGACTCAGCCCATGTACATGGTTCACATAAACAAACAGAGGAATATACTGGTACTGCAACAATTTCTAGAGAAACACAAAGACAGACAGAGGAACAGGCTAACGACCACAATCACAAAACATTTTATTTCCCCAAAACACTGCAAGTCAGCCACATGCCTAAAAAAGACATCTTGCTTCAACTACAACTTCACACTGTTCAAGACAACTGAATTGTTGGAAATAAAATTCTGGAATAAAGAGGCCAGCTAGTTTCTGAACACATACAAGAAAGTTCAGACTCTAAGAAGCACGCATAATTTACTGCTGTGGAACGTAAAGTTTCAGAAATTTGGGAAAAATGCACTTTTATGACAGTCAAACACATAAACAATGCATAGCTTGGTTTGCTGTGAAAAGTGTAGTGCATTAGTGCAGTGTTTAAATCTCCCCTTGCATGTACATTGTACATACATATTCACGTAAGACAATAATGTCCATTATGTAACTCTTAGTGGGACTTGGACTGGCAATTACGCATTACATTGTATAACATTTCAGCACCAGTGACTAGCATGTTTTATCGGCCAATGCATAGCTTTTGTTGCTTAAGTATGAAGACCTTTAAAATGAGGTTTTGCCCTTCACTAACTAATTTTATAAACACTGTACTCCTTGTGCATTCCAACAGTTAGGGAACGTCTCAAAAGTCGGTCGTCATCAATTGTGACATTGAAGAAAATAAAGTATTCATCAAATCTTTAAGTACATTTACTCATGCCATTTTCTGAATATTGACGTGGAGCTCGCTTGCAGTGAATTTTTTTGAGAAATGATTTTCATGCTGCATCCTTCCTGCAAGCAGTTTATCTGGAGGTTTTCTGGTAGTGGAAACAAGTTTGGCTTTTGGCATACATGTTCAATCTATGAACATTTTTTGTACAACAGAGTTTTGGCATCGACCTTATTTCATAGCGATGATCATCGCTTAGCAAATTAATGACACCCAGTCACAAGAATACATGACATGATAAACCCATTTGCTAAACACATGATAAGCTGTATTTCCTCAGCAAATAGTTTTTGTGCTTAGCACATTTCTATGCTGAGCAGATCTATGAAATGGACCACAAGCCCCGCCCACCTTTGCTTTGTGTGCATTTCTCTCAGTCATTAAGATTTAAGTTAGACTGAGCTACTGTGGTCACCTGACCAAATGTTGTGATCTAATTGGTTGATTCCAACTGATTGGCAGATGTCACCAGGGTCGGTTGGACCCCCCACCACGGGGTGTCCTGTGGGCCATTCCGTGCTGCTGTTGGTAGCTGGGTGGGATACCCATGACGTTCCATGAGGAGTGCATGGTTTTAGTAGGCGGAGTCACACAATAGTTGCCCTCGCTGGTCAGGCCGCTGCTAGGGGCGGAGCTAGAGTTGTAGCCGTAGCCGTTGGGGTTGGAAGGGGATCCAGTCACGGCTTGCTGGGAGGTGGCGGCACCAATGCCGGGAAGAACAGGACTGCAGTGTTTCAAAAGAACATTTGAATATATTAACTTGAAGGGCCAAACTCCAATAGTTTGGCAAATGTGAGCCAAAGCATCAATGCTGACACAAGAGGGCCTCCTTGTGTGTAAAAAGAAGGGTCCCAATCTACACCATATGGACGCTGTGTATTAATAGTAACTGGTGCCATGCGACCACTTTCCAGAGCCCCAGTGGGAGGGGCATACCACATACTGAGCACAAATCAGTAGCGTCTTTGTCTGGACGTCAGGCATGGTCAGCAACCCATTCAAATGTCCCTCTCAGTGGTCACCCCCTACTCTCCATTTTTAGCCATTGAAGGGGTTCTTGTGCACGGAGCCCATACAGGGAAACAAGGGAGACAAATGAATGGGCATATCCCATCCACTGTCAATGGAATGTGTGTGCTCTTACAAAAAATGTACAAGGTCGCGCCAAAACTCATGAGCATTCGTTAATATGCATGCCTGTACATGTAAGTCCTAAGTACCTTAGTCCTCAGGAAATAAGACTGATACAGACCTTTGCTTGAGAGTTCCACCAGGGACAGTGGAAGTTGCAATTGGAGACAATTTCAGATGACCGTCCCGCGTCTGGGTTGTCAGGTGGCTATTTAAACCAATGGCATCAGGTCGTCCGAAAGGGGGCGTGGCATCCCTGATTGGGACACGCCCCCCATGTACTGGCGATCCATTGGGCACTATTTTTTGGAAAAAAGAAAATAAGTTATTTAGAGTAAACTTCCTGTTAAAACTGAGATGTAAGTCCAATTAGCAATCAGTTTCATGATAAATAACTCTTACAAGTGATTTACCGTAGACTCGCCTTTCAACACATGGTACATACCAAGTGACACATTTGCTGCCACAGGAGAATTCCTTGGCCTCAAGGCAGTTCCACTTGGAGATGGGGGTGTTCCTGTCAGAAGTTTGTGTCTGCTGTAGTTGTTCGCTTGGGCACCGTTTCCTGTCAAAAGCGGACTGGATTCAAACGAGAAAAAATACAACGTTAAAAACGAGAAATACATTGGATATGCTGATACTGAGCAGCCCCTTGAAAGCGAATGAACAGTTTTTGACCACAAAAGGCAAAACTCTTTCTAATTTCTTCAACAGAGCCCATTAATGCAACTCCCTGGTATAATTCCTAATTCTTTAGGTGTTAAAGATGAAATAATGTAACCTACTCTTTTGTTTCTGAAGTGCCCGGCGTGTGAGGACTGCCACCGGATCTCTGGGAGCTGATGGAACCAGCCGAGCCAGACCGACCGATACTTGGCAGCGCGTCCTTGGTCAGCTCAGCCTGGGCTGTAGTGGGATTGTCTAGGGAGTTACGTCTGGTGGAGGCGTTGGTGGTGGTGTGGTGATGGTGGGACCATAAGGCAGCATTGGAGGCATTGCGATAACCTGAGTGAGGGACTAGATGAGGGTGGATGGGGGTGAAAGTATGTCAAAGGTCAAGATCAATTGCAACAGGTGTCATTGTCTGAAAGTCTGACGCACAATCTCTCACAAAGAACAAAGTGGATTCTCTACTTCCAGCTTAGAAAGATTTAAGCCCACCTCCTGCTCAGCAGGTTTAGATGTTTTTGGACTGGTCAGCAGGATTTGGTCACACCGTTTCCTGCAAAGCAGAATGTGAACACACTACCTCTAGCCAAGAAGTTCTTCAACTACATGTACTCAGCCCGATTTCGATGCTCAACATCCACCAAAAGCAAAATTGAGTCTGACTCCTACTTAGCAGGATCAAAATCCATTACTTCAAGCCAAGTAATTCTTGAACTGCAAAACAAGAGTTTGAACATAAACTCCTGCTTAGCTGAATAATAATTATAAATCTACTGTTAAGCAGTTTTGAACTGCTTTGCAGGGAGTGTGTGAAGCCACAACCTTCACCTTAGAATGTGAAAAACCTGATTTGCAGACAGCCTAATATATATTTCTCATTACAGCCTAATATATATTTCTCCTATTTCTCTTACTCTCTCTTTTATTAGGCGCCAGCGGTGGTTTCCGGTTTCCAGCAATCCCCGATCGTTTTCTGACGAAGCTCTCCTCTGGTTGTCCTCTGAAGAAACCATCAAAGATGACAAAATTGTTGACCTGAAAATGCCAAGATATCCACACACAAAAAATACAGGTGATGAGAAATTTCAGGAAATTAGATTTTTTTTTTGACAGATTGAAGTGAGTGTATACAAAGAAGGTATATGTTGCATTACAAAAAAGGAGATTTTGTGAAGAGAACAAACTGCCCCACAATGCAGTGCAGCATGTACCTTAACTGCACATTTGCGGTCTTGCGGCTATCCGTAACAGGTGCCGTGTTTTATACATATATGAGAACAAATACCGGTCAATGCACTAAAATGTAGTGCACAATACATCTCTGACTTGAAAATAGTCTCCCTGCATAACTTTGACCTTAATGGGTAAATGTGATTAATTAAACATGAGTATTGCTGGACACTCAATTCAATGTTCAAAGAAAGAAAAAGAACCTCTAACCTGGTGGATTGTTGCCCGCAGATTATAATGCTTGGTCAGGAAGGAAGTAAATTTGTGGGAGGGTCTGTCGATGGGTAGGTGCTGAGCCTGGATGCCCTCGTTCTGAGAGAGAAGAGGGAAGACATTGAGCGGTGTTTGCACACTCTTAACAGTACGATCAGTTTTGTGATAATTGTTTTTGCAATGGTGTACAACACAATGTTTCTTCAAAACCAGGCAGCAAGTAGCTGATTTGAAATACCAGAGTTGGAAACGACAAAAAAATCCTTTAGCAGTCCGTTACCAACCTGGTTCTTTTCAGAACCACACACTGTCATAAAAGAGATTACTACAAGGTGCTACCGCAAACCTTACATCTTTAAAATAAAGATCATCATCATAAACTTTAATCAAAAGACATCCTCATATAAAACAAGAACCAATTTTACTCTGATAACAAAACCATCCCTAACAGAAGTAAAAAGCTTTTTTGTTCATCTGCCCCAAGTCACTACCACATTTATACACTAAATCCTGGTCTCTTGTTATACACTAAATCCTGGTCTCTTGTTGGACAAGGCTTTAGCCCTTATTGAATACGACTATGACTTTTCACTATAGCACATACATGTAATTGGTAATAGCTAAAGCCACAGCCACGAAATACTCAATCCAAGACACAGCTTTAATCAACTGCTCTAATTTAAGCTGTAACCCAACCTGTTACATTTGTCTACATGTAAGTTTTCAAATAAACCACAAACGGAAACAAAGAAAAGTGGAACAAAGCAATTGACTGGAGCGGGGTTTGAACCTGCAACCTCCAGATTGCTCTACCATCTGAGCTTTCCAATTTCTTTGTTATTCCTGAACGGTCCCTTACCCCCAGCATTGCCTGGAAGAGCCGTTTGCCACACCCCCTCCTCTGACAAGACTCGTGGACATAGAAGTCTAGAACACACAGTGGCTCCATCTCAATCTGGTTGCCATGGGCATCCAACACAAACAGCTTCTTGCGTCCAACTTTCAGAATTCCAACCGCAGCACCCAAACCTCTGCATAGAAGATGTTTGTGAAAAGTTTATTTATAAACATGAATGGAATTTTTCATTTTAAGTGAGAATCACTGATATTTAAAACTCCTCAGAAAGCAATTTACACAAAGAATGCTCAACAATGCAATTCATCACAATCTCTTTGATCATATAGAATATAAACATAGAATATAAGAAATTACAAATATTGGTAACATATAGATCTTTTTATTGATAATTGTTTATTTCTGAGAGGACAACTAAATATTTACATGACTAGCTTTTTTGGGGAGGGGTGTATAAAAGTATATCATATTTAACACTGGAAAGCCATATTTTTAGTAAATGCATTTAACGTTTTAAATAACGAATTTCATCAATGGACATTTTACTGATGCACTTTTCTAGCTTCATGGAAATGTTACGCAGAATACAAAGATGATTATAAAGATTTGGACAAGTTCATTATTGGCAGTGTAATTGACGGTAATCCTAATGGCTTACCCATTGGCAGAAGCATCTTTCATAACATACAGATGATGATTGGAGTAGCCAAGTTTGTGTGCTGAAGTAATGGGCCCATGCAATCCTTGGGCCTGAATAAAGAAGTAACAGGAGAAAATGGGAAGTTTTCGGTTACTTTGGGACAAATGTATTGTAAACAAATTTAATCATCTTCTTGCCCATTTGTTTCCAGAGGCTACAAAAATGTGTATAAAAACATGAAAACTCCTCAATTTAAAATGTACCACTGTTCAAGTTTAATGTAGCCCTAGAAATTCATTTCATTACAAAAGCAAGATTAAGCCTTTGACAAGGCTGAACTTGTTAGATTCTTGTACAGTGCACAGATTGTGCTGTACTGTAATGGGCCAGATGACACTACATACAATATCCATTTGTAGCGCAAACTGTCCAATAATGCAACACAAATGTATCCTTCACTGAAAACTTCTGATCTGTCTATTTTGGCATCAGAAAGAGTCACAGCAAGAGAAGTATATTCTTCCTTTACCTGAAAAAGTAAACAAATCTTCCTTCGTATACTACTGAAATAAGTCAAGTCACATTTTTTTTAACTCACTTTTGCTGAGGCCTGTCCCATTTCATTGATGACTTTTTCCATATTCAGTCTGAGATTCTCTCTGAAGATCAAAATTGTAAATTATAAAGTTGTAAATATTTCTGCTCGTCAAATGTGCATGGGCCTAACAATCATGGACAAAATTTAAAATATACTAAAAGTAAAAATTAAATAATTCCCAGACTAACGACACTGGCACAAGAAACCAGATGTGGGATCTCTCAATCAATGATTTAAATAACCTAAATGTTCGAGCATGTTGATTTTTATTACAAGAATTTTGTACGAAAGATGAAAAACAACGTAGTAGTTATCAACAGCAGTAGCACAATTTTTACCTGCTATCGTTAAATTACTAAAACATGTTGCAAATCTAGGTATCAGATTTATAACTGCCCATCCAACCAGAGTGCTTCGGTAGCTCGATTGGTAAACTACTAAACTATGCTGAAGGCTCCAGGATCAATCCCTGCGTGGCGCTTTTTTTTTTCCTCCTTTTAATAGTTTTCTTTACTTTTATGTTTATTGTTATTAATGTTAATGAAATCTTTTTTTTTTTTTTTTTAAGTAGATTTAATTTCTACTTTGTATTTTTGTAATCAATGGCTTTGGCAGATTTTTTTAAATGGGAAATAAAGTCCAAGAACCACTCGGTTGATAGTTATGTTCCAACTAGCCCGACTGCGTCTGGCCGTACAGTACTATCGCAAGCTCTGTAGTACGGCCAGACGCTGAATGCTTCCAAAAAGACTGAATTTTTTTGGCCGCTGATGAAGCGATTTTGCTACATCTTTCGATCGCGATTATCTTTTCATCCAGGACACAAATTTCCAAAGTTAAGGTTCTTAGTCGTAGAGCAACTCATACCTTTTCGAAAAAACGTTCTTTGGTCTCAATATTTTTATCCATCTGGCCACAAGACGAATTTCAGTCATCAGATTCCACAAATATACTGTACGGCCAGACGCAGTCGGGCTATGTTCCAACAGTCAAAGATCCTGACGTTATTACTATAGTATTAGGTCAGGGAACCAGACGGTTGACTGCTATGCCATTGTCATATGAAAATCCGACTCCTATGAAAATGGTCACTCTCCCATTTTGATCCTAAAAATAGCATATTAATTACACATGCGCAATATCATTATCAGTCACCAATGTTGAGTCCATATTTCAATGGAGTCGGATATCCACGCTACAGCCATGTCCACGACAACAGTTGAGTTAAAAATCGTGTTACGGCTGCCAATACTAGCATACATGATACAACACGTGCAAAAACAACCCACACAAAACACTATTGAACTAAGTAAATATTTATGCAAATGCTAGTGCATGTAATGTTGTGATGCAGTGAAACAGTGAAAGTGAAAATAGTGAAATTCTTAAATCTGAATGCAATGATCAGCTACGTTATGTCAGTAAGTAACTCACCCTGTTGATCTACATGGCTCCAAGCGACTATCAACCACGGTCACGGTCTCTCCAAACAAATGGTTGATGTTGAATTTGAACTCCATCCTTTTTTATCCTAAATTACTTGACATCAACATCTGACAAACCCATTCATTTTCGTGACTCTTTCGACATGTTCGATTACACCAGTTAACGTTCATCATCTACTCTAGACCTCATCGTTTCTAGACTGTAAATCTGAGAAACAATTTGGAATGGTCCACTATTTCGGGATAGTATATCTCCAAAATAAAAGTTTATGACACATTAATATTCAATCCAAACGTTATTTCTTACTTGTATCATCATCCTCAAATACATTTACATTTTTATAAAAAATTGAGCCATCAAACTTGCTTGACAAATGTTTAAAAAAACTCTCCAAATGTGTTTTTACACAGACAAGCATTTTACACACCCCTTCATCTTAATAAAATATTCTGTTTTGAGAGGTCATTCATAATAGATTAGCTGGTAATCTGTATCCTGTTGGTGTACGTAGCGTACAGATCACGCACCAGGCCCGAGTACCAGCAGCCTAGCCTCAAGTTAGATGTCAGAAAACTAGTACTTGTAGGGAACAGGGCAACAGAAACTCATCAAAAACCTCGGTAATTTGCATTTTTTTTGCGGCATACCAAGGCAACTTCAAAGCCGGGATGCCGAGGAAGAAGCCGTTCAGTGGAAAGCAGAAGAAGAAGCAGATTCAGGAGAAGCGCGACCGCAAAAAACCGGAGGGTTCTGGACAACGAACAAATGCAGGTACAGTAAATGTAACATTTCACTAGAGGGCGCTGTTTTTTGTTATTAATGTATAAAGTTAGCTGGCTGAGCATGCAGTGAGCATTTCATTTTGATAGTGGATATTTTGCCGGAGGTAATGCCGGCAAGCTAACGTTTACTAAAGGTTTGCCGGCGGCAATCCATATCAACAGAGGGCTTGCAATCATTATGTCAATGTCAAAAATTTTCTTTCCATTAATTTCTTTCCAATAAGGCAAGTTTGGGAATTTCCTTGATTTTTTTCAAGTCTCCCACGTTGGGCAACCCTTCACTAATTAGGTCAATTAACAGACACCTCATTTTTCCCCCTTTTTGTTTGCTAGGCTAAATATCAAAACGTTATCATTGTTCACATTATTTTCCATAATAGGGTTACCAGTCCTTCTGATTTGAGGCGTGCGATTGCACCCCCACGCCATCACACGCCTAAAAGCTTCCCGAGAAGTGCAAATAATCGCACGCCTGAATCCCTCTGTGCTGCACACCTCAGCAACATACATTTACGGCATAAATACTTCAAAATTTATGAAAAAAAAGTATGGCGGTGAAGAGAAAACGGCTTTAATTTTTAAACCAAGATGAATAGAACATACAACAAAAATACAAGATTGTTCAGTCCCAGCCTGGATCACAGAATCACTCGCCTAGAAAAATCACACGCCTAGAAAAAACACACGCCTAGAAAGATCACACGCCTAGAAATATCCAGGTGTTAAACGGATGATAAAGACATGGCTAGCTGGTCTTAAACACTTCTCCAGTGTCACAATAAAATGTGGACTCCTAAAAATCCAGTGCCTCTTACCGTTTCATTGGTTGAACGTTCACAATCCTCACGTAGGCATGCGCAACACTACAAGCGAGTCAGAATTTTATAGTTCTAAATTCAAAACGCAACGCCCCAGGTGCGTTCTGCGTGACATCGCGCAGAACATGTTACGCGCGCGTCAATCTCCATAAAAGGGTTGTTTACATCTTACTCGCCAGCTGAACACTCCATTATTTTGCTAGAGGGATGTTTCAAAAAGCATGAAGTGAACTTGTTGAACAAAATCGGGATTTTTTGAACGAATTATTTGAAATTTTTTTACGGATAAGGTATTTATGAATGGGAATAAATATGTGCTCGGTCGGTATTTATCACTCGTTTAATACCGCTTAGAGTCTGGGTGCTGATAATTACCCTCGCCTAATTATCAGCACCCAGACTCTAAGCGGTATTAAACGAGTGATAAAAACCTCCGGAGCACACATTTATTCCCTTATTAATACTGAATTTTGGCAAGACTACTTGAATAGGCCTATATCTGGAGACAAGGACAAGGTAAATGTGCGCAACGTTTGGGTATGATAGTAGCCATTTTGGATCGTTATTATGTCATCTAATTATTAAACATGTTAAGCTTTAGAAAATGTTATTGAAGTACATGTACATGTAAGAATGTGTTAGTAGAATCACCAAAATACATTTTTCAAAAAATGAAAAAATAACAAATACCAGTATACCCAAGTATGGGGGAAAATATATTTAACGGCAGAGATTAATGATTTATGCAAATGTATTTAGGGTCAAAATTAATGATGGCATCCACCCACATCTTGTTTGTTACATGTGGTTCAAAGAATTGACCTACATGTAGCATCGATGCCAGCTATTACCAAAAAATGTTGTGAACTTATTTTCTGGAGAACTTCTCCACATTTGGCTCGCCTACTATAAATATAGCACCACCAAAAATAACTACATTTCCTTGCATGTACTGTCATGACTGTACATGTCATTTTGACGTTGACCATACAATGTACCTGTATGCCCCTTCCAGCTATTTCGCATCGCTCCCGCCAGCAGAGCTACGAGTTGAACAGCAGTGAAGAGGAGCGCGGGTCAGGCTCGGACACGGAGTGTGCTGCCGGGGCCGGTATACCAGATGTCAACAAGTTGAACCAGCAGCCAATCAGCAACAAGAAGCAGCATGACCCCAACAGGTAAGATTACAAGTAATTGATATGGACTCTGAACAAGAACTATAGGGTGTAACATTCTCGACAGTAAAAGTTCAGTTGGATAAACGTAGTGCAGGCTGAGCAGTGATTGGAAGTGTCTGGGAAATTGGCAGTAAAAATTTAAGCCAGGCAGATTCCTATTTAACAAGGAGGCCTGCACTTTGAACACTGAGAGATTCCCTCTCAGTGAACACTGTAAACTCTTATCCTTGGTGATGTAGGGCTGTCCTATTTTGAATAATTAAGTATTCGATTATTCAAAACTGCTTTTGGTTGAAATCGGACTAAGCATTTGGGAGAAGAAGCATTTTAAAGGATCATTGGAAAGAAAAAGAAGAAGAGGAAACGGCAAAAATACAGTACGCCTTAGTCGTTCCGACTTGTTATGATACCTTTTTGTAACCGGATGTTGAAGGCAAGGCACAAATTTGTTTCTTTTGTACTTTTTTTTGGGGGGGGGTCAGAATATGCTTTTGTACTTGGCAACTTAGCGTCAAATTTGAATTATTATAGATATGGTATGGAAGATGCACAATAAAGGAAGGACTATTGCACCGGTAGTTTACAACTTATATGTATGTGTTTTGTGAACACAAGACGCCCACGTACAGCCACACCCATGATTTACGCATTCCCTACATTGTACATGTTCAAAGCATCGGAGGACATTCAATGTCGCGGTAACATTTACATACAGCATCAGTCATGAGTCCAGTGCCCAACATTATTCCACATGTACCATGTATAGACAGCTGGGCTATCAGATTATGCTGTGCACTGCGTAATTGAGTACGGCATAATTGGATGCACTCAACTGTGTATCTACTGTAATCAAATAGTGTCATGTTCACACTGCATCACAGACTTGCGATAACTCGCCATTCTATCCTTACACATCAGCCAAGGCTGTGTGTTACAGCCTGCATAATATTTCATCAACCATCATTGAAATTTGAGAGAGCACTACCAGTGCATCAAATACATCATGTATTTATGCATGTGTGTTTTACATTCCTGGTATATTTTTCAGGGTGTAAATCGTGGGTCGCACCACGAAGAGATATATCAATGTGTACAAAATCCATCCACCCGTCAAAATTTTTAAACAGGTGAATTCTTTTAAAGGTGCACTACATGTAGGTCCTGATATCCCCGAAAATTTTATGTTTTGGATTGTTTGCTTAGCCTATTTCAAAAATCTGGTTGAAAGGAAACCAACCTAATGTCTTACCGTTCCCGAGAAAAGAAAAAAAAAACCCGCTTGTTTACATCGGACATGACGGAGTACGAATACATTTTTCGTGTCGTTCTCGTAGCTCAGTGTACGATATACACGTTGTGTGTCTCGGGAACAGGGGTGACCAATCACCATCAATGCAAAAAAAGGGGTTTCTTCAACGTCCGCAAAAGGCGAACACTTCACAAATGAAATCACAACTAGCATCCAAACAGCTCGAATTTATGGTGTCGCAAAAGTGGACCCCGAAATTTGTTCTCGCACGCATTATACAGGAATAACACAAAAATGCCCAGTTTTGAAAGGATAGTTGTGTGGATGTTTATATCCTACTAATGTTATTTCCGATTAACATCATCTCGTTCAAAGCACATTTTGTAGCCCAATTGGGCTGTTCCAGGACCTAGTGTCCCTTTATAAGAATGTACATAGTCCAAAGTGCAGAGTGACATCTTGTGAAAATGAGCTGTGAAGATAAAGATACAGAGGAAAAATCTGGAGCACAGATTCTCAAGTTGAGTACAGTGTGAACGACTTCAAAGAATCTTGCAAGTGATTGATTTCATTCATATGAAACTGGATCAAAAAGGTCTCAGAAGACCTATCACTATTCTCTGCCACCTCTCAGAAGATTTTCTTAAAGAAGCAGTGCCCTCCCCATCTATTTTTTTTCCCCCGCAAACTCTCTGCGAACTCTCCCAGAGGCTTTATTGACGTCCATGTTCGGTGAAATAACATGGCAGGTTCTGTGTGCATAATTGCCCTACTTATAAAAACCCTGCATTCAAGCACAGGATATGAAATGAGTTGCAAGCTGCTTTCACAACGTTTCTCACATAAGAGCCCCCACTTTTTCCACCCCTGGGGGATCGGCCGGTTTTTAAAGGGAAAATACAACATTTGCAAACATCGAAAAATAAAACTACCAAGTTTTTGCGAAATACCTTAATAGGATGTTGGTAAATGACAGTCTAAAGCATCCTGTAAAATTATAGCGCCTGGTATACTGTCATTTTCAAGAAAAGTGGTATTTTTGTATCAATTTCCAACGCTGATCGGCCGATCAGCGTTGGAAACAACTGGCTTTTTTTCAAATACTGGCCCCAATTGACCATTGCACTTGTTTGCAATCGATTACAAACCTATGAACGGGTACGAGCCAGCTTGACTGGTTCCCTGACCTTACAATTCCCCAATGTATGTAAACTGCTCTGTTTCTTCTTATATGGAGTCAGGGAACCCGACTACAGGAAAATGATCGTTTTTCTTGGTTTTTATAGCATTTTCGAACCCAAAACCTCCAAAAAGTCAGTGTAACTATATTTGCTTTATATTTCGAACCCCCCAATTCCATCCATTTCTGAAAATTACAGCAAAAGCAAATGATGTATATTCCCTTTAAGTGCTTAGATATTTGTGGAATAGAATTTGTTTTACCCGGGTTCAAGTACAATGCGTACAATACCGGTATACAGGTACATGTACACTGTATGGAGTGAATGTAAGAGTTGTACTTTGAAAGGTAATGTTCAGTCCATCATTTGCAGCTATTCAAAATGTGACTGACAAAATTATTGCTGAAAAGCATGTATTAGTTTAAAGATAGTAATGGGACTAAACGTCCTGAGAAATTATTCTTTCTGGCATGCTGTCATTTTGAAGAAAACAATGAAAGAAGGCAATTGCCAACGATGCTTCAGAGGACGCGTTTTTGGAAATTTTCTGTTTGCAATGCGTTTTTAATGTGGCAAAGCAAGTGCAAACGTTGACATGACGCACATAGGCCTACTTCGCGTACATGTAGCCTAGCTACAATCAGCTGAATGAGAACGTGTCCCAAACACTGAATTTGCGGGTGCAATTCAAAACATGACTCTGCAACTTTTGATTTGAATATATACATTATGTACATGCACCGTGGGAAAATCCTGGCTCAAATGTGCCACATCCTAGCAAGTGGATCAAAGTGATGTGGTGCAGGGAGCTATTGCTGCTCCCTGTAGTCAGTGTGATATCAATCATTCATGAAAAGCACTCTGCTTCCCTGGGAGGTACATGTAGCCTAGTTGTAATACTTGCAGCTTATCGGTAATGGGCCGGGATATACTGTCGAGTGTGGAGATTACATCCAGTGATTCCTTCCATTGCCAAAATACAATGTTGGCTCAATTTTCTAGTTCTGCCTTGTCTGGGAAAAACACTTTGAGACTTAATAAAAACTGAAGCCAAATACTTACTTTGAAATCCTGAGCCATAAAATGAAATCAACAATTGATTAACTTTCCAAATAATTCAAATTTTGAATGTTTCAAATTTGGAACCACAATATTCATTCCATAAATTTGAGAATTCAGTTTTTTGTATATGTACATGGTTCCTTTTACGTGTGTGACTTACATGTACACGAAGTACGTACCGGTACACGTACCGGTTGTAAATTCAGGACACATTCTTCAATGCCAAATAACGCCAAGAGCGATTACATGTATATGCAAAGTACGAGTACAGTCTGCGAAACATTCTAAAATAATTTATTTGAAATCAATGTTATTAGGCCTAATAACATTCTAGGCATTACAGGTTAGGTGTAACAGAGACATAAAAAAATGGTATACTTTTGAACAGTGTTGTAGTCGAGACCGGATAGTCGGAGACCAAGACCGAGACCTGAAGATTCGAGACCGAGACCGAGACCAGCCCCTTCAAGGCGGACCGAGACCGAGACCAATATGGTCCGAGACCGAGACCGAGACCGAGACCGCTGATAATAAATAACAATAGTCGAAATAAAAAAAACAAGACACGTTATTATAGTTGAAAAATGTAACCTTTCTATTCACAAAGAATACAGACCAAATTTTGACCAGTGGCAATGTTTACAAATTGATACATGACACCTTACTTGAGCAAAAAGTAGTTACACTTAAGAAATATGGGCTTTGACATGTTGACACCCAATCGTGACAAAAGTAAAAAGTTCAAGGTAGATGTTTCATCTGTTATAGGAACTCGGATCCTAAACTCCACAGTCACCCCCTTGGTTTCAGCTATGACTTCTAACGGATATTTAAAGATGCAATTTTAATTTTACATTGTGCCTCTTTTTTCCTAAAATAAATGTAGGAGTTAACTTCTAACAAGAATTGTGTACTTGATTTTAAAAAAATGGGAGCTAGAAAATGTTGAATTACTTTTTAAATTTTTGTCATAGAATGTGGACTTGTACATGTAGACCCACAAGTTGCGAGGTGGTAGCCAGAATGTGCCAGATATGGATTTTTAATTTTTTTCTGAACGGGATTTTTAATTTTTGAGGAATAATGGGGTACTTTAAAATGAGCAGCCAGAAAATGGGGTCTCATCATACACTCTCATGGCAACAGTGAGTGGTAACTGGTAAGAGTGTGTGAGTTCAAAGCTGGAAAATCAGGTAGAAAAATTTACTTTTTCTTCAAAATACTGTCCCAAATTAAAGAGAACATTGTGTGGGGTCGAAAATATAACTAATTTGAAGCACCTCATTTATTATCAGAATACAAAATGCAAGTGATTACGCCCACAGGGGTGGGCTAAACTACACAATCCCCCAAAATGGTTGACCCTTATTGCATAAATTGTTACAAGTTTATACTTTGCTTTATGTGGCCGACTCAACAGATAAATGCCGAACTTGTTCCAAATCGTTCAGTGACTGGTACTGCTGCAGTTTTACATGTACTTTGGGAACTTTCCAACGTGCAGTCGAGTCCAAACCGACCGCGATATATAACAAGCTTGATCTACGGGCTAGCAAATGTTTTAAATAACAACGGTACTGAACGAAGTGAACACAAAGTAATCGATCGAGCTGTAAAAGCTACATATTGCCGGTCTCGACCCGAGACCAGCCAAAATATCGAGACCAAAGGGGACCGAGACCAAGACCGAGACCACAGCTTCCGAGACCGAGACCGAGACCGAGACCAGCAAAAAGTGGTCTCGAGACCGGTGTCGAGACCGAGACCGGTCTCGAGACCTACAACACTGCTTTTGAACCCCAAATTTATGGAATGGCCCCCCACGGACAATATGTGTCATACTGTTTAGGATTGTGGGATTGAGCTAATTGTCAATGCAGGTACATTTATACATGTGTGCTTTTGTTAAATTGTTTATTGATATTCCCCCAGGTTCCGTCTGCATTTTGAGAAGGATTCTAGAGCAGAGGTGGAGCGAAGAAAGAAGCAATCTATGCAGCCATTTGAGATACTGCCTGAGGTAATGCTATGATGATGGGAACTTATAAGAGGATTTGGGATTATCCCATGGCTTACTGCCATGCTCAGAGATTTACAAATTATGAACGAGCTGACTGTCTGTAGATCTCAGACAGTTTTGTCCATTTGTACTGTGAATAGGGTCAACATCATCATAGGAAATGTTGATCATTGGGATAAGATTTTTCAGACTTCTGTCCGATATCAGAATTTTAGAATCTGAGAAAATGACATTGACGGGCATTGCATCTTCCAGACATTTCATCCGCTTTGCAGACTTTTTAAAATTGACAATGTCATCCCTAGTGTAAGGAACCTCCTTAAAGTACATTGTACAGTGTACCATTAGCCATGATCTCACATTTTCATTAAACTGTAATACTGCTACATAATACTGCATGAATTAGTGAACATGTACACTGTATACATTTTCCCAAATACATGCCAAAATCCAATACCTGTTTTTGATCTAGAGTGAATTGATTTTGATACATTGTATGGCCCTGATGTTCTAATTAAATTGCATGATGTTGGCTCCAGCAAGCTCACATTTATGCAGACATTGAACTTTGCACTGCACTGTGGAGGATTTCTGTCATTCTGTAGTAATGTTTGAGTCTGTCTGCAGACTCCGTTTTGAACTTTGAGGTTTGTTTCTCCATGGAGTGATTATTATTAAATGTGGTGTATAAAAAAGGCAAGTAGAATGGCACAAACTTTAGCACCTTCTTGAAAAATACATGTACAAAAAAATGTAGGTTATACATGTATTTATACCATTCCCAGAGCCTTCAAAATCCGCCAGGAGCAGATATTAAGAGGATTCAGGAAAGTACCTGGCATAGCCTTTACATGGTTGCTTGTTGCCCACTTGTCACCAAGTACAAAGAATGTGCAATTGGTCTTCTGCAAACTTTTCCATTATTTTTTTTTTGGGGGGGATATTGTGATTGCTCTCCACAAGTAACAAGAAAATGAAAAGCATTATAAAAGCAGCTCGAAAGTCAAATAGCAGGTAAAAAAGTGGACAATGTAAGCTTAAAAGTTGGAAAACATTTTTTTTGCGGTCACCCAAAGCTTTGAACTGCCCATTTTATTAAAACGAAAGATAAACACAATATGACTTAAAGAAAATAAACTCAGACATTCCCTATCCATCAGCTCCTCACCTTGTTGCTGAAAAACAAACCATCAAAGCCTGTATCCTTATCAAATCATTACATGTTAACCAAATAAGCACCTAACAATTAAGAACTCAATTTGACTAGCTTTTTTAAAGCATGAGATAACTTACAAATGAAGACTTTATCATCAAGGTCATCATTGTCATCACCCTTATCCACTTACTCCGTGGAGAATCATTAGAACCTCAGATCCTCGGTTTAAGGTTTCACACCAAACAACATCTCTGTTTGTACTTGGCCACAGCCTCTCCAATTATTTGGACAGGGACACTCCGACTTTCACAGTCAGTAAATTTACTCACTGCATTGAAGCCATGATAGTGTGTTCCACTGCCTGACATTCTATTAAATTGCAAATTTTATTATAATGTCTTTGAATCTTCATTTTTTTCATCTGGTGTGCATTGCCTAAACTGCTTGAATGGCCAAGCAAAGGGCTGTGCGTTTTCGAATAATAAAGTTTTTGTTTATTCTAACTTGGTCTTTATCAAATACATGTACAATGTAAATTATGCGAATATTTGAAATGCGCTGATAGAGCTTACAATTTGCCTGCATTTTGTCGAAAATTAGAGCTTGTTAAAATTATATAAAGAACAGGTAGCTGAATGGCTGATTTTTGACCGATTTTAAAAAAGAAATTAAGAAATTGTAAGCTAATATTTCCCATGGAAGCTCTTAAATCATGTGAGAAAGCGACCTTCAACAAAAGTGTGGTAGTGGACAAACAAATCAAACCTGTCAAGTTATAGGATTCAAATAACATCGTGGACCTGTTTGTCATCTCCTCGAGACAGCTCACGTTTTTTGAATACATGTATTTCAATTGGAAAAAAATGTGCTATTCTGATATTCGGTTGATAATGGGATATTTTACATTCAAATATTCGATATAGTATAGGCCTACTACTTGATTGCTTCACAGTCCCACATGTCCCACATGTCCCAGTGCTGTGTAGTATAACACTCTGAATTTTAATTTGCCAGAGTCTCCGAGGGGATTCTTGACAGCAATTAGTATTAATCCTCAATATTGAGTGCAATAGGCCTATCATCTGCCCTATGGGAGTTTGTGCTACACAGCTCGTACTGAATGGCCACTGTGGATACATGTATGTTCATGTACATGTATTTGTGTATTAGGGGCCATTCAAAATGTTTGATGTTTTTAAATTGCGATATTTTTTTTCGAAATTTTTTGACCTACCCACCCACCCGGATTTTTGATCTTAAAATATTGATTTTCCATTCAATATAAAACATAACAAATGTCCAGTTCAGTGACAGCTGAATTTAGCTGCCGTCCGCATTGTATGCATGGAGGAATAAGAACCCCTCCATGGTATATGGTACATGTACCTTACCAACAACACGGCCCACTGGCAAATATAGGATGGAAGACAAGTGAACTCCCAGAATTGCAATTTTGGTCTTTTTATGTCAAGACTGAGTGATCAGTTGTGGATTGCTTTTCCTGGGGACAAATTTTTTCATTGATGCCAAAGGCAATGGATTGCAAATGTTGAAAACTCAGCAACTTGCAGGAGAGCACTACAGTACAGTCTTTGATTCCAAGATGAAGGGCCTAATGATTTCCAAATTGTCCTTGTACCGGGTAGTATAAAACCAAACAAAGCTGAAAGCACGGTTTTAATATTAAAAATATATATATAATTCTCATCCTGAATATATTATGAAATGCAATAAATTGAGAGATACATTTGTACATACAATGTGTAGGTGATGTACATGTACAGCAGTCACCGCTATATGTGCATACATTATACAAATATTGAATGCTTCGAGTGGTGTAGTAAAACTAGCCTCCTGAGGTGATCCATGGACCATTCTATTTTCCCGAGGCGAAGCCGAGGGAAAATAGAATGGTCCATGGATCACCGAGGGAGGCTAGTTTTACTTCACCACGAGATAAAGCATTCAATATTTGTTTTATAACACTTCACCCACAGATTCTGCTTGATTTTAATATTTTACATTATTTAAATCTGAACACAGTTGAAATAAACTTCAATTTCAATACAAAATTGGTGGAAAATGTATTTCTCTCTTAAAAACTAACCCTTCACGAAATGTTTGAACCCAAGTCTGCGGCGCGCTCTCTTTGGAATAATACGCACTATGCACAACGCGCAACGCGCACACCAGCATGCATTTGCACACAAATACCGCGCCGTGGAAATAGTACTTTGGTTGCTATGCGCATAGTACTTTGGTTGCTATGCGCATAGTACTTTGGCCGTGCACAGAAAGATAGCAAAAATAGAAAGTAACATGTGACTCGCTCTCGGCCAATCAAGACACAGAATCTGTGGGTGAGGTGTTATAATAGATTTTATTTCATATTTTGTATGTCATCACTGGTTTCAATGTGTACCGTGGGTCATCAATGTTTTCAAGAAATTGTAATATAGCCGTATCCCCTCTGAGTTATATCCATTTGCTATTTCCCAGGTTTGCAGCATCGCTAATAATGCTACATGTAGCATCGTGACTTTGCGCGTGCATGATCCCTGGCTATAGCATGTACATGTACACACATACATGTATGGCAGAGCACCAAAATGGCAATCTGGAGGTCGTAGGTTCAAACCCTGCTGCAGTCCATTTCTTTGTTCAACTTTTAAAAAAAAATATGAACAAATAAAAATCTAGGATGGCAAATGATATCATAAATCAAGTACACGTATGCGTAAAAATGAAAATAATATCATGTGCAAATGTTGGTACACCATGCATACCGTACATATGTACAGTGTACATGTGTCCTGGGACGTTGAGAGGCAAACGCTGGGCAACCCAAACATTTAAGCATCGTTTGCATATGTAACAGTACCAATATGTCAACACTTTTTTAAAAAACATTCTTAATCATACTATGTAGGCTACAATTTCAAGAGTTTTATGTACATGTACATGTACATGTACACGTGCAGAACAGAACAGTTCGCCAAAAGTTGGTATCACGTGACCACAACATCCAACTGGTAAACAAATGTCACACTGTCAACATGTATACCGTATCATCATGTGATACACAAAGCACATCCGGTAGAGCAGGGATCATACATTGTACAAATACATACGTAGGCCTAAACATTGGAGATGCACCTGCATGAGGTCTTAAATTCATGACAAATATTTACATGATTTTACAGACGTCATATGGTATCATGATGGCTATTTATTCATCCCGACTATTGATTGTGAACACTTCATCGTTGGACTGGAGTGCTTTTAATTCTTAATGATTTCCGTATTTTCATGACTTTTGTGAAGCAAATAAATAATTAGCCATGTTAGATTTGTATACTGTGTGAAAGGTGCGCTATTGAAATATCAAAAAAGCAAGCATGCATTAATGTGCAGTCCTTGTTGATGCCTTTCTGCTCAATCTTTCATGGCAATGTACCGGTACTATCAAATAGAGATGTCAAGTGCTTCTGAGCAAAAGCTGTGCTTTTGTCAAGTTGCTGAGCTGAACAAAATTTAAAATGTTAAGCAATTAACAAGGCCCTCAGGGATACACTAAAGCAACAAAAGGTCTTGTAAAAGCCCCATGGCATTATCAAATTACGGTTCCATGCATTTATTATGCAGTACTGCTAGCCAAAATTTCTGTCTGAATCATCTCTACTGCAGCATAAGTCAAGTGCGGTATCGTCAGTACAGTTTGCAGTTCACAATGTAACCATGCCTGAATGGTAGGCAACAAATAATCAGAAAATTGATCAAATTTGACATTGACAGAAAACGTGAGGCATTTACACCGGTTTACACCTTGACTTCATCTCTCTTTTTCCTCACATCATTTTTCATTTTTAATGTTGCAGTTATTGCAGTGGGCACGTGCACTATTTCATAAAAAAAAATATATCTTGATCTTGAAATGAAATCTTTTCTCAATTTATCACTTGAAATAGATTCATACATGGTGCCCAGGATAGATGTAAATCAAGGCCATGGTTGTCGCCACATAAATACTTGTATTTATGCACAAGCAAAGAGAGTGCAGTCATTTAATGTACATGTATGAGTCATACAAGTCATGATTTTTACAGTTAATGAAGAATATGCAGTGTGCATTTGTTACAAGGCATGTCAGGAGGAAGATAAATGATTTAAATTTATGCTTGCAATTACCGGTAGGAACAATTCACAATACCGCTAAACCATCGCTAGAAGGTTCAAATCCAGAGAAAATGGGGAAAAAGTCAACATCGTGCGACCCAGAACGGAGGTTCGCCACCATAGATTCCATCAAACATGTCAAATTACCATACATGTAGCTGGAGACAACTTTCCCTTAGGAGGTATACGCACTGAGTATAGAGGGTTCATACGTCAGTGAAGGGCAAAACCCAATATTGATTCCCTTTAGTTTGTTTTATAACCAGTCTGGGTTTGTTCTCTTGATATTCCTTGAAGATGTACGTTTACTCTTTTATATGTACTTTGTTTTGGGATTAACCACGGACATACATGTAAGTGAAACTGACTATGTGCATTGGCAATATTTTTAAAAAAGGTTAAACAAAGAAATTGACTGGAGTGGTGTTTGCACCTGGGACCCTTCGATTTGCCTCTCTGGTGTTCTACCAACTGAGCTATCCATCCCTGAACTATATCCAGTTGGTAGTTGCCCATGGTTTTAGTACTTGTAGCTTTTTGTGAGATACATGTACAATGTACATGTATAGTCTACAATCCGTATGTCATAGTCAACATTTGTCTTTGTACATCTCCTCACAGGAAGCCTTGGAGGTAGATCTAGGGGACATCTACCAGCCTGGCTCGGTCCTAGACATGCCCAAGAGACCCACCTGGAATTACAGCCTGAGCAAGGAGCAGGTGGAGGCAAGAGAAGAGGCAATGTTCCAGGAATACCTACACAATATCTTCAGCAAGTACTCCTCCAGACAACTCAGCTACTTTGAAATAAATTTGGAGGTAATAACAATAAACTGAAATACTGAATGGTAGGCCACTTTATACTTTATCCAGTAGACTGATGGTTCAAAGCAAGTACATGTAAACCTTCCAGATCTTCAAAACCTCTGACAGGTTATGCACTATAGTGCAGGATAAAACCAACAAAGTGTCAATGTTTTATGCATTGTCCATGCAGTACTATTATAATATTACATATTTTGAAGGATGAGACTATATGAAGTAGGGTAAAAGAAAGTGGAGCCAAGTCAGAATTAACTAAGTCTTGACGTGATGCCCCTTGAAACTTGAAGTAAAATGTACAAAGACTGCAGTTGGTCTCCCTGTGCAGTCGTGCGTCTTATTAGGAACGCTCCCATGTAAAAACGTGCAAAGAGATTTAAGGTTAACAAATCTCTTGGTTTTTTTAATTAACAAGTATTTCTGATTAAAAGTAAAGGCTTTACACATGAACAAAAAAAACCTGAAAGTTATTTTTGTGAAAAACATACCGGTAGACCGCTTTCTTGTATGGGTTTTTTTTGTTCATTATCAAAACAGCTGTTAGAACTTCTTTTTTGCTGAAACTGTTCTACAGCTTCTTGTTATATTGGCATAGTTATCACCGTGCAAATTTCAACATTACTAACAAGTTGGCAATTCCTGTGAAATGTTGTTCATCAGAGCACGATCCTTGTCTTCCAACTGACAAATTCAGTACACTACACTCATTACTGGGCTTGAGTTATGTTGGATGCACCAGGGTTCCTTCATGTTGTCAAAATAAAAAGAGACTTTTCATCGTCACATCAGAAACTACATAAAATTGTATAGATATTAATCAGGATGCAGATGCCTTATTTTCGTCCCTACTTTTTTCTCCTGCATCCTTGCCAGACTTGGAGACAGCTCTGGCGAGTCTTAGAGATGTCTGACATCGTCCTCCTCATCACTGACATTCGGCACCCAGCTCTCCACTTCTCCCCGGCGCTCTATGACTACGTTACTAAAGAGCTGCGACGCCATCTAATCCTGGTCCTGAACAAGATAGACCTGGCCCCGCCGTCACTTGTCGTGGCCTGGCTGGCGTACATGAAGGAGCGCTTCCCTGATGTTCATGTCGTCCGCTTCACCTCGTTTCCCCGGGAGAATCTAACACCCAACAGCATCGATCCGGGAAAGGGTGAGTTGGTCTTTTGATTGGAAGTAAGGGAAAGTGATTGGAAGATGATGAGGAGTTCTATCAGCCTTTGGAATTTGTTGGAATGTGGTGAGAATTCATGCAGTTTATCTGCTTCACCTCATGTCCCAGATGTATGTTGATCTTTGGGATGGGGAAGTATGAAGGGGTTTCGAGGGGTTCAATTGATTTAACTGCTAGAAGGCTGGAAATTTAGAGGGGGGGTGTTTGGAGGAGAATCTGGGCTCGGAGGTATCATTAGGAGCTTAGTTAGAAGTTGTAGGAAGGTAATGTGGGATTCAGTAAACTTTGGAGCCAGTTGTCTGGAAATTGTTGGAGTTTGTGAGAATTTGTTGGAATTACCTAAAGTTTTAAAAGCAGACAGTTGCAAGACTTCTGATATTTAGAATGTACTTTTTGTGGTTCTGACAAATTTCTGAATAGATAAGGGGTTTATCAAGAATTGGGGGTCTTTTTACTACTGCAAATGCTCCAACAGTTTCTGCTTATGGTACATGATTTGGATTTGTACTTTTTTAATAGTGTTACATCGCAAGAGACGGAAAGGTGCCTATACTGCAGTGGGTCCTATGCAACTACTCAAAGCCTGCCAGACTGTTTGCCAAGGACGAGGTAGGTAGAACAAAGGAAATGAGGCAAAGAGACAATAACTCTAGGAAACAATCACTTTTTTAAATCTTAAAACAAGGCCAAGCATAGTTTCTTACAAAGCAAAATTCATCTGTGAACCATCCACAAGCAATCTACATTAGGCTAAGAAAAGATACTCTGAGCTGAACAGTTTTCTGCACTTGTTATAAATTGTAATAGCATTGAGCTATGGGGTCTGAAGCCAAAGTCTGAGTTGAAACCGAGGTTTCAGAAACATCCATCCATTGTTCAAATTGGCATTACACATCAAATGTTATTTCAAAATGCTTAACATTAAAATCACATGTACAGTGGACTTAAGCAGTTGGAGTGAAAAGATAGAGGCGGAGCTTAGAGGAGAGGAGGGACTGGCAGCCAAGATCATTGAGAGCACCGAGGCCGAGACAGTACCCGACACCAGCTTCTCAGAGCACACATTCTTCAGGGATGGGGTGCTGACGATAGGATGTGTAGGTAGGAATTCTTGATCATTGTCTGAGAAATTGCCAAGTAACTTGTACAGCTGGTCACAGGATTTCGACTCCATAATCTGGAGCCGACTTCAACAGTCGGGTATTTGGGTTTCCGGTTCCGATGCACACCCCTAAATATGAGTCTCATCAAAAGGCAACAATTTTGTCGTAAACCTAGTATAATTAAGCTCTAAATCCCTTCATGTAAAAAAAATTACAAGTTTGAAAAATTGTGAATATTCGCACTTGTTGAAAGTTATAGTTTAAATTCTAGAAATAAGTTTGACCTTAAAGTGATATTTTGTTGATCTGCTTTCCATTCTGTAGGTCATCCCAATGTGGGTAAGTCATCGCTGATGAACGGTCTGTGTGGCCGGAAGGTAGTCAGTGCATCGCGCACGCCAGGCCACACCAAACACTTCCAGACAATCTTCTTGACACCCACCGTCAAGCTGTGTGACTCCCCTGGATTAGTGTTTCCCTCATTGGTGGATAGACAACTGCAGGTCAGTCAAAGTAGGAGTCAAGTTTATTGTGGTTCAGACTGCATGGTTATGCTTTAATAATGTAATGGCCTTCCCCGTGCTCTTCAAAACATTTCATTTTTTTTCCATTAATAAATATCCAACTGGTACAATGTATATATTCTATTTCAACCCTCCAACCCCCCCCCCCCCCAAAAAAAAACCTCCTTTTTTATTCCTTATGAGAATTTCCACAATCCTCTGAAAAAAACGATGTTTTGTTTTTGACACTGCTTTGCAGACAGTATCCGGAACAGTAGCTTTCCGTATCCTCCAGAACGTAACACTGTGCATTATTACCAGTGGCATATTTGTTGAACTGGAAGACAATAGGGACATCAAACTTAAGGAAAAGAAGTGGAGCATTTAGCTGGGTTGTACAGTCCCAATTAAATCTAGAAAAAAAGTAGTGTTGAGGTTTGGAGGATTTGGAGTTGTTTTTGTATAGCTTTTTTAATAATAATAATAACAGAGTCTTATATAGCGCACGTATCTACCAACAATTAGGTACTCAAGGCGCTGGAAATTATGTCAATTATTAAAGAAAGGTAAATAAAGTTTATGAGAAATATGAGACCCATTATGTAGCACCTTATAATGGTTTACAAGGTGCTGCGGCGCACATTGCAGCCACTGCCAGAAACACCGGGGCAAACCCCTTCTCTTAGCGATAAGTGTTACTGGGTTCTTTAACGTGCATTACACAACACACGGGACCTACGGCTTTACGTCCCATCCGAAGGACGAAGCAATAATGGTAAAGTGCCTTGCTCAAGAGCATAAGCACCATGTTCCCACGGTTAGGATTCGAACCCATGCACCACGGCACACAAGTTGAACACCGTAACCATTGGACCACAGCGCCCCAAAACTTTGGTGTTGGATTTTTTTTATATTTTTTATTTTGCTTTTTGCTTTCTTGCTTCAGTTTGTATCAACTGTCTGGTGTAGGTACTTACATCACAATCATTAACCCTTACCCTGCCAGACACAACACATTGCATCAGGTGTAAAAATCTGTGGGACCTTCCTGCACTGAGCCATCGACTCCAGTGCATTATAATGGCTATTGTGAAACAATGAAAGCTAAGTCCGTGAATGCCACAGTCATATCCTTCTGCAGTTGCTGACCAAAGACTCTGAGGACGTTTGGCCTTGAGACTTTTGACCTTATGGATCTTCCTACACTGAGCAGGCTTGTCATTTTTGACGAGGGTTCTGAGCAGGGTTACTAGCCAAAACATGGTGTGGTGGGTTAGGGTTGAAGTAAGAAAATAGATAATGTTTCACAATATCCTCCCTTCTTGGTCTGGTTCCAGATTCTCTCAGGCATGTTTCCCGTAGCACAAGTCCAGGAACCATACACAGCCGTGGGCTACCTGGCACAGAGGGTCAATCTCATACCCATTCTTAAGATTAAACATCCACTGTACGGGAGCAAACCCAAGGAGGGAGAAACGGAAGAATGGTCAGCATGGGATATATGTGAAGGTAAATATTACACTTTCAATTTCCAGCACCCTACTCCAATTCCCCAGACAGAATTAATCTTATTGCGTAATACAACCTTCCTATGTTCTTCAAAATTCTCTACTGTGGAAAACCCAATGGGGCATTCTTTGCTTACTTTCAGTGGCTATCAAGTTACATGTAGAATAACAGTGTTTAAAAATTCTCTACTGTGCAAAACCCAATGGGGCATTCTTTGCTTACTTTCAGTGGATATCAAGTTGAATGTAGAATAACAGTGTTTAAAACTTGTATAAAAGTGCATAAAAAGTATAAAACTTGGTCTATGGATTCCTTAAATCATGTAAATCAACAAATAAACCACAAAAATGTCAATTGGTTTGCAAGGAATTGGGATGCTGCCAGCATACTGGCATAGGTCTTGATTGCTCCATTGGTGGAGCACTGGTACGGCACAGGGGAGGTCGCAGGTTCTAATCCTGCTACAGTCAATTTCTTTCTTTAACCTTATAATTGGTAGATTCCTCTATTAGAATGGTCGAGAACATTCTCAAGTATATTTTTGGGTACTCATGCTTGTATCAAGCCTGTTTAATATGACGATATTTCACGATACATGTATTTCAATTTTATTTTCATATTGGAAATCGTATTGATCTCTTAAAAAAAATTTGGTATATTGTGGAATTCGATATGCCGAAAAATATTGTAACATCCTTTTGTAGTACCGCTTTTGTAACCACTAAAATAAAGCTAAAGGAATCCCATGCAAACCGCAAACCATAAATTCACTCCTACCGCATGGTTCTTACCTATTATTCGGGCGGAACAAAGTAACTAAGGTACGTAGGGCTGAGTCAATTCGAATAATTGAATATTCGAATATTCGACCTTCCAATCGATCGAATATTCGAATATTCGGTTATTTGGCCATTCCAAATTCCCTCAAAAGCAAAAATATGCCATACATGTACATGTAGTCAACGTACGTGCGCACGTCAGCATGCCATGTATGATTTCTTCACAGGTAAGTCAGGTATTTGACAACAATCAGTTGTTCTTCTGTCGTCAGTAATTTAAAGATTAACAATAACCAGAGAAGCTAGAGTGAAGGATTCCTTGTTTGCATGGGGGACGTATTAAGCCGTGAACCCCAAACACGGCGGGTGGCGTCAGCTATTGTGACTCTCCGACCCTTAACTCGCAAACAGGAACCGAGCATATCTATTACTGGAAGCTTCTTGAAGTCTACAAAACGGTGTACTTCCTAGTCACAGTATTGAGGATAAAAAAATCACTTTTATAATAATAACTCGCACTTTTGTCACCAAGAATTGAGGAAATGATTTTATATCATTTTAAATAAACTTATTCTCAACAACCAAAAACTCCAAGAAAAAACCTATATTATAATGTCTTTATTCAATGAAATATGGGTCTTTAAATTGTAAATGCATATTTAAGTTTATGCAAATAATGGGCGTGGGCGCGGCATACACACGCCCCAGCTTGACACGTGCAAAGCAGTATTTCCTTGTTTGCCCACAGGGGATGTATTATAAGCTGTGTACCCAAAACACGAAGGGTGACATTTCAGCAAAAAAATAAAATAAAAAATCGCCAGCCGAGCTCCGGCGGGCGCATTGTTGGCGGGCTAATTAGGGCACAGGTGCGCTGACCCGGTTCTTTTGTCTGGCTAAGTGCGTGCTCTGGAGATAACTTTCTAACAAATAGGCCACTAAAAGGTTTGGAAATTCCAACTTGCAACATTTTGATACATTTTGTCCAGCTGTGGTTTTCTATGCTGGGAATCAGGGTACGGTGCGGTGAGTTGACCGCAAAGTCTGTCTGGCGAAATAAAATGAGAGCTCTTTTGAGTTTGAAATCCTCTCTGTTGTCTGCCCTTTTTCTTGCGTTTTGCTCGACTTGGAGGACATAAGCCAGAGGTTCCCGCTATTATTACTGAAAGTATAATTGCTGAACTAGTTTTTGAAGTGTTTATGTATGTTTTATTTGTGCAAATATTGGGTGCAATTAGCAGACTAACCCAGCGAACAAAGCTGATGGACAGCGAATGAAAATGTGTTCGATAAAAGGGTGCTCTGATCAGTTGAGAGAACTAGAATATTTTGTACACGTATTACGGAGGCATTGAGGCGAACATCTAACAGCCATAATAAATTTACCCCTAAAAGTAAACAAGAAATTCTTTTAAAAAAATCCCAGAGTCCGTAACGTAAATGAACCAAGGTTTTCAAAACGTTTTAATGTAATGTTGGGGTTCATGACAAGTTTTCTACAACACCGCCACGTGCTGTGGGCAGCATACTGCGTGCAAGGCGATTCCCTATAACCATGTGCATTCGACACGATTGAACAGGCGATGGAAAACTTTGGGGGGAATTGGCTTCGCTGTATCAGTGTAATGTACCGCTTCTTGTGCGACCCTGTGTGAGCAGAAAGTCCTCAAAATAAGTACATGAAAACAGAAAATACAAAGGCCCAAACAGAAAAAAGAAATCAAGTTCTTTGCATGAGATTGCAGAGGCCTTCTACATCGATGTTGACATGCCATTTTCGCGATGTCAATAGCCGATCCAGTAAGCCCCTCCCACTGCGCACGTGGGCAAATTAACACGTGCTCCTCTCCAATGCCACGCTGCATTTTCCTATGCTGCACACATGTACATGTAACACCAACTTGCCAGGATCGCATCGGGGAAAACAGCGGCGGTTTTCTTTTGAAAGTAGGGATTGTAAGTAGGACAACAACAAACAAAAATACGGACAACGGAAACATTACTACTCATGCTAGAAGTTTGATATGAAAAGGTGTCAGGAAGTGTTTTGTGAAGACATGAAAGACAAAATGTCTTGTTTATCTTGTGGGAAGCATCAGCGATTGGTGTTGCAGTCCGGCGTTAAAAAATTGGGTTGGCTTTACTGCAAGCACTCCCAAAGCAGAAGTAATATATGTGTGGCATTATTGCTTGGCATATATACAAGCTACTTTTATGGGTTTTTTTGGCAGCAACTTGAAACTTAACTTTGAGAATACACTTTTGTTGTTAAAAAAAAGTTTTTTCCACCTTTTTATTTCATTGCATATCACCACCGAATATTCTTATTCGAAAATAAATATTCGAATATTCGATTATCGATCGAATAACCGAATATTCGAATATTCGGCACAGCCCTAAAGGTACGTGTATTGGATTTTGCATCTTCCATGCAGTACAAACCACACAATCCGGACGGTCTTTCAACCAGATTGTTCTCAAGTTTGCCTCACCATGACCACGCTGTAGACCATTATTACACCAAGTTAAAACTAAATCACACATTTTCCCGACTCATTCTTTCCGTCTCTTCCGAGCATGTGCACGGACACTAAACACTTGCTTCGTGGCAATAATTGCTGATTAGTTTTGCCGTAAGAAAGAACAGGTCCTTTCTACTGTGCCAAGCTTATGAAATTATATATTTCCAGAAACCAAAAAAACGTCAAAAATCCAACTGTTCAATGGAGACTTTCGTTGAAAAGAATTCATCACTTGAAATGTTCACTCTATAAACGGATCCATTAATCTTGTAAAGGGGTGCTTCACCCTCTTTTGGGAGTTAACATCGTTTTTCGAATAAATTCTTTACAAAAAAATTATATTGTGAGTTTGTAACGATGAAGAACCTTTCTGAACAAGGAAATGTTTCGGACTCCATAAAAAGTATTATTTGTAATTTTGAAACAGTGGTGGGAAATACTGGTAAATTGTTCTCAAGGAAGCACATTCTTGACCGCATAGGGAGTGGGCTGTACACGTATGAATGCACGTGTAGGTTCATACATACAATGTAGGAATGCCATCAGCGCGTACTGCCGGTGACTGTTGAATTGTGGGTTATTTCAAAGCTTCTCTCGCTATGTCATACACGACCATGGTTGTACCATTGGTGAGAAATCCTTGGTCGTTTATTTTTCATGTTTACCCTAATGTCAAAAATACCTCTGGGAATTGGGAATATTGAACATTTTGAAGGTAGCTTACCAACATGTTTTACTACTTCATCGCGTCTTGAAAAAGGCTAAACTTGACTTCGTTGGTTCCAATTGCTGCTGCTTATGGCTCTAGTATGGGTTTTACCTTTACATGCACAAACCAGTGATGTAAAATGGCTTCCTGTATGCCCGCCGCGCCACGCATTGCGTGCTACCATCGTTCTTTATTTGCACATTTTAATCAAACATTTCAAGGTAAATTTTTACGATTTTGGAATGTGGAATTTGTTTTCTAATTAATTGGCAAAGTTTATAAGACAAGTCAAATAAAATTGACGATTTTGTTATGGACATACAGACTATCGGGACAATATCAGGTTATTTCACGTGGCTCTCACAATGCAGTGGTGACTTCGGTGTAATTTTTTTATTCAATTGTTCCATGAATGGAAAAATGAGGTCATCACGATAATATCGCCATATCCGATTTTTTTTTATTTAGAAATGAATGGATATCGAACAGGCTTAGCTTGTATTCATACACTCATGAGAATGTATCTCTACTCAAACTCATACTCCTCAGGAAAAAAATAACTTGTACTCTACTCATGAAAAGTACTCACACCCATACGTACACTCATGGCAAAGTACTCTTACCCTGTCCTTGACTACGGTACACCACTGTTTTTTCCCACTGACAGCATGGGCTGAGAAGCGAGGGTTCATGACCTCCAAAGCAGCCAGGCATGATGTCTACCGGGCAGCTAATAACCTACTACGATTGGCTGTGGAGGGGAGGCTGTGTCTATGCATGAGACCGCCAGGCTATACCAACCAGAAAGGTAAGCCTTGGGTGCATTTCATGCCCCTATTACTGGAAAATTGATCAGGAAACATACAAACTTTTCTTAGCAACACACAGGTTACAGACCAAAGTGTCATCTGATCAATGTTGTATTACTTAAGTCAAGGACTCAGACTCAAGTCCATCTCGAGTTGCAATTTTGTTGACTCGGACTCGACTTGAGTCACATCATCTATAAAGACCCAGACTCGGCAATACTGACTTAGACTAATGACTCATGACTTGTTAGTAAAATAATTTTATCACCCAAGAAATAACTTTATAAACACAATTCCAAAGTTGATTTTCCGAAAGAAACAAATCAATAGCGAATAACATTAAGCAGACAGACCCTACAACACAGTCTGTTAAAGAGTGCGCCCCTCACTATTTACTGCGACAGCTTTTCACTTACATTATGGGCTCTGTGGGCAAGTACCCCCTCACCGGCAAGAAAAGGAGAGTTGGGGGAGACCATCGGGAGGGACATTCGAAAGCATCACTGATGATGCCTGACGCTCATGCTAAGACGCTATGGCTTGTGCACATTTACATGTATAATAACATAAGTCGTGTGTATTCACGCACTTTACATGTTCAAACCAGTATGCACTTGCAGTGTGTCCTGTCCACAGAGCTCTCAAAAGTACTAAATAAATGCGCTCTCTTGTTGGCGCACGGAGCCTATAGAGTATATTTATGCTAAATCCGTATCCATGCACTCATGACTAAGACACGGACTTAACCAAATGATTTGAGACTCAGACTTAGCTCAAGTGACTTGACTACAACACTGCATCTAATAGGTATCACTGCTGACTGGTTTCCAGGTCACGTTGCTTGGGCCACGTCCATTGAGCTGCTAAGCCAAAACACAGAAATTTTCTGCTTAGCAAAAGCTGGTTACCTGCCAAACAGTCTTCAAGTGTAAATTGCTTGTGACTGGTACTTCGCTCATTTATTTCTTAGCGCAGCAATTTGCTGAGCAATATTTTCTACTGAGCAGTTCAATAAAACTTGGGTCCTGGCCCTAATCTGATTGTGTGTGCACAACTTTAACCCAAATCCATCTTGCTGCATTGAGGATGTGTCTCACAAGAGATGGGATTTGCATGGGAATATTCAATCTGTGTAATTGTTTTCTTTCTTTTTCAGAGCAATGGGAGCAACACCCAGAGACCCTGGAGATTTCCAAGATCCAGGAGCAGCACAAGCAGCTCAATCCAGAGGAAATTGACCAATCAGAGTTCACCAGCTCCGGGGGCGAGGAGAGCGACGCTGACATCGAGAGCAACGAGGTGGAACGAGACACGGACACCCGCAGAAGACGGAGACGGAAGGCAAGAGAAGACTCGGAGGGGGACAGGCTCGTAGCGACTAGTAATAAATTTGCACTGCTGTCTGCTGAGTGATGACAATGATGCGTCATCGTGGAGATGGCGAAGGGAAGATGCACAGATTGATGTGCAATGAGGCAGAGCAATCATCAGTGAATGGTGAAGTAAGCAGCTTGGCTTACATTGTACTTCACAAGTGATGATGCAATGTTGAAGGGAAAATGCACCAAGGGACAGTGACGAGTATGTTTGAATGAACAGGAAATGAAGGAATATGTTTGTGTTGAATGGAAGGTTGAGTTTGCAACGTTTACTGGCTGGAGATGGTTGGCGGAAAGGGACAAGGTGTCTTTAATAAAGAGAGAGATGGGAACCACATTTGTTGAGGGAACATTTGTTTGAATTTCCATCGCTCGCTGTCAAGAGATGATGCAGTATGGTGCCGTAGATGTCCTTTTGGGAGCAGGAACCAACACTGAGAATGGAATCGAGATAAGACTTCAAAAAGTCAATCAAGTTATTTGCTGGCACTATAGAAGCACCCACCTTCCTTTAGCTATGTAACATATTGAATTGATTGACTTCACCAAGTGCCAATCTTGCATACAGACATTGGCTTTGATTTGTTGTTGTAATTAACACTTGAATTGGAATCATTATCACTCTTGCCAAAGGAACTTTTGTTGTGCTTGTGTTCCTAAGTTGTGAAGCAGATAGTTTAACTTTTCTTTATTTCTCTGAACTGAATTCTCCATGCTTGTTGATAACGATGGGGTCAGTGTTATTTTCAATCCATTATAAAGTATTCACAGATTTTGAGATTTTAAATGTTCGTAACAATTTTTTGCCAATTAGCACAGGACATGATTGTCAAGCACAGTTGGAATATAAGGTGCATTTATAACAAAATGGGGTGCTGATAAGATACTAAAGAGCTCATGTGGAAATATGCAAAAAAAATGGAAGAGGGTGATACTTTTTGACACCTTTATTTGTGTTCGTTCAGTCTGGACACAGGAGCAGAGTTGAGACATACTCGCACGTACACGTTGGCAAGTGAAAAATGCATGAATTTCTTAGGACAAATTTTCAGCTGAATCAGCCAAAATTGTAGCATGTTCCCTTGAGAGAAGCGCAACTGAACAATTGCAACATGGCGCAAATGCATTGATTGTTAATCATAAACAGTAATATAATACATTTTTTCTGGCAGTATTGTTGTACATGGAACCATATCGCATAACAAAAATGCATAGAGGCACATTGTTTGATATCGGACACTGTTCAGCACAGCTAATGAACTAGGGCAGGGATTTCACGACCCACTCTAAATTGGTATGGCTAGGCTTGGTTATTCCAGCTTTAATAAGCTGTGCAATGCATTTATGGGTAGTACGGGAACCAGGTACCCTTAGTGGAGTAAAACAAGGCTACCCGGGTACCCGTAAAAGAAACCCAACCCCAACATTCAAATCCTGGGAGTTGGTAACGATAACACTGCCATATGGGTGCATCATGCAGCAAGATACAAGTGTGTACAGTACAGGTAAAAGCATTTGCAACTTAAAGATGCATATAAACGTGAAATCTGTTGTATACAAAACTTTTTTTTTTTTCATTGTCTAAGAAGTTACCTAATTGGTAAAGTTGGTTACTGGTACCCAATCCAAAAATCTGGAACCCATTCCTGACATCAGTGTTCGGGTACCTAGGTAAACCAGTTCTGATGCACACCTCTATTCTAGCTTTATTTATAGCTTCACCTGTGCACCTTCAAAGGGACTATTCATCTCAATTAGGGACATTTCTAAACTGTTCTTGCAGTAAGTTTTGTAACCCAATTGGCAAAATGCAGAAAAATATGTTGTATTCATGAAGAGATTCAAATTTCAAGGCAGTGGCTGTTTTTGTATTTTTGTAAAACAAATTGTGGTGTTGCTGTTTATTGTCAGCCAGGAAAAATGCAAACAAAAAGTTGAACTTTTTTTTAATTTGAAAGTTGAACAAAGAAATTGATTGGAGCGGGGTTATTTAAAAACAAGAAATATGTTTGGAAGTTTGGGTTTGATATAACTAAGTGTTTATAGATGATCGAATTGAAATTGCAATGTATGAGCCAGTCATTGAGTGGTCGGGCAAAACCCGACCACTGTCTGGAATTGTTCTCATAAATCTTCTTTCTTTCTTTCCTTTTTTTTTCCGAACAATACTTCTCCGCGGGTTTTCTCCTAAACGGTATATGGTATGAGCTTTTAACTTTCAACATATATCGACCCTCATTCCTAGTGGTGCATATTACTCTGACGTCATGATGACGTCATCTGGTGTCAAATTACAAGAAATTTTTGTTGAAAAAGTGACGATCTTCTGTCACCTATAACTCTTGACCAAAATAATCAATTCTGTTCCAACCTTGATTAGATAGACCATTAAATGATAAACATTTTTGTCATGTATGTGAACTTGCTTGACCTTTACTTCAAGGTCAACCGGAAGGTCAAAGTTAAGTGAATTTAAAATACAGACAGTAGCCTCAAAATCAAAACGAACCAAATTTCTTCCAAACGATTTACAGGATTATGATAAAACCTGGTTAAACTTGAACCCCCATCCAAAGATATTTTTAAAAATCTGATGTCATCATGACATCACCAGGTATCAAATATTACAAGCAATTTAAGGGCCAAATTTGTGAAAATAGTTTCATCTATAGATATCTTTAGAACTAAATAGAATTTTGAGTTTGTTTGATGTTGCGTGAGGTTATAAATGATGCCTCGGGCAACAATTCTTATTCCCAGGCACAAAACTGCTTGACCTTCACTTCCGGTGTTGTTACCGGAAGTGCAATAAAAATTTAATATAACTCGAAAGCGGAGGCTCTTTACTTTAAGCAAATAAATTGTGGAAGGTTTTTAGAACGGAAGAAAAGACACAAAAACAGCATTATGACATCATCATTTGAAAGGGCGTCTTCTAGAGGTATGTCAAATAGGGTTCCCTTTTTTTAAATTTAAAAACCATACGTTTAAATGTAGCTAAACCGCCCTTGGTTGTTTTTTTATTAACTCCATATAACTTTGCAAGGTTTCAAAATTATGACGTCATCAGACCGGAAGTTGCTGTAGTGAGAATTTGAAAATGATAATTTTGTTTTAATTCTATCATTTGATCCCTGTCTTATGACTTTCTTCATAGCCCAAATAATGATATCAGATATATAACTTGTACGTGTACATAAAATATATGCTGACATTTGATAAATTTTTTTTTAAAACAAGATCATTGGTTGTACTGGAAAGGTAAAATTTTCGTGATCTTTTGTTTTGACATAAACTGTGTCTAATGACATAGTTGTTTGCTCGACCACTCTGCGTTTGTAACTCAACAAACGTCTTAACCTCTAGTTTCTTATTGTGTTAATTTTATTCAAGGCTTATATTTTGTTTAAAAACTATATCCTTTAAATCATTTAACTGATGCTTGGAAAAAAAATCACTTATGAGAGTGTTTGAAAAGGCAAGTTATATTTTTGTTATAGTAATATTTTGGGGTGACAATATTTATGGTCTCAAACCAACACAGTCAGATTTAATGAGAATTGGCCACAATTTTGTTGTTTGTCCTCTGAAATCTTAAATGTTTTAATTCAGTGCCTTGGCCACATTGTCCTAAAGAACTACTATCCAATGTGGTGGAAAAGGGGAGGGCATAATTCAAGTGGAATATTGTGGCACAGTGGTCTTGTGTGTCATTGCAATATGATGTGTTGTGTGTCCACAGGAAAGATACTTTGCACTAATTTCTAGTCTCATTTTGAGATTTGTTGGCATTTACTGTTATGCAAAACCATTGATTGTAGTTGGCAAGAGTTTCATCAGTTATGTATAAGCAAGGGCAGTAATGATGAAGAACCTAAACAAGCGTGTTTTAGATGTGTTTTATAAAATAATTAAGAAGGGCACTCAAAGTAAGTTTTCTCTACTTGCTATGTAGTTGGCTACTTAATTATTGCCCTACTAGACATCTTCAGTGTTTTCCCATTGGAGTTTACTTATAAATTAAAGCCTATTTTCCCAATTATACGTACTTTACATGTATTTTAAGAGATTTCTGTCTCTCAAGGAACAGGAATGTATCCTATATAAACGTGCTGCAATAGTTTACCTAAGTATTTGTGTAACTCACGATTATAAATATAATTGTTTGCTCTATATTGTTAATAATAATGCCAAACAGTACTTAATCCTGCTTGTGTTTTCTTGATTATGCAACCTCAATTACCTGGAAAAAGTAAGATTTAGTACTGACAACATCGAGATGTTAATTAAAGTATGTTACACTGCATACACTTATATAATAATACAAATTTCTCTCAAATTTGGAATTTTGTTGAAATATTCTTTTCTCGTTCTCAGACCCAGTTTCATAAAACTGAGTGGTTCTTGAGTCTGGAGTGCAAAAAGGTAACCAGCAGCAGCGGGGGGATTAATACTTTACTGTATCCGCTTCTGAACTGTTTTTAAAATATTGGTGTTTGTGTTGTTTTTTGACGTTAACATACATAAACTAGTCTGAGTATCGCCCGTTATCCACGGAGCCAATTCTGCCAGAAATTGGCCAAAACAATCCACTCTCTCAAATTTTCTGTCAAACTCGCAATAAACGCAGGCAATGAGTACACCACCATCTTTTCCTGAAAAAAACATTGGTTAAAGTGGTCAGAAATTGCCTCAGATCGCACCACAGAGCATCTAGAAACCAAAACTTTTCGGGGCCCTTAAGCGGGCCCCGAACACACACTTTTTGGGGCCATCGTTTTTTTTTTGGTCCCCCCCCCCCCACAAAAAAATTGTGTTCTGGATCCGCCCTTGTTTACATTTTGCTTGCTCTAAAAATAAGTATGTCCTTTGATAAAAAAAAGTCTATGAAAGTGGCCAGAAATCGCCTCAGATTGCACCACAGAGCACCCAGAATCCAGCATTAATTTTGTCCGTCCTTTAGAAAAACCAGCACCCCCTGGCAAAAGTTTGTTCCAGCGGGCTTGGCATACATGACACGCCTTGGCTTGCTCAATTATCTTCAGTTGTTCTAGAATATCTTGGTTATTTCTCTCTGCTATATTCGGGCTTTTCCAACTAACCCTGTGTCTGTGTTATTCAGTTTAACTTGACACCATATGCTGCTTTCCACCTTAAGATCTGTCAAATCCTTACATCCAACTGCTTGAAGTTCATTTTTGATGTACACAATACATCTCCTCTGATGGCTGTATCCATCTCAATGTCAAGAGCTGATTCATCACACCACGATTCTTCCGATAATATACGGTTTCCCTACGTCCACCACAACTTGCAACTCGTTAAACTTGCTTAGCAGACTGTTGGCATTGGTGTCATTCAGGAAATATTGGTGCATCTGTACTTTCCTTTGCCTCATTTGGCAATTTCTTGTCGTTTGGCAGTTTCGTATCATTTGATCTATAGTCACTGTGCTCGGTGTCTTGTGCACATGTGCTTCGCTTGTACTTTCAGATGATCTTGGATTTTCTCCCCTGCTTAAAGATGGTGTACCTGACGTCTGCCTGGTCTCGATATTTGGCGTGTCTTCCCTGCTTGCAGTAGGTCTACTCGACAAGCTCAGTGAATATTGTATACTCCGAGAAACCAATATACTAGGATATCAATTTCACTGAATTCAAAAGTTGCCGAGTCATGTTTTGAATTGAGCCCGAAATCAGCGTGTACGGAACACTCAGTTCTCATTCAGTCGATTGCAGCTACGCGATGTCACGCACTGAACTCAGTCTATATCTATGACTCATTCTATATCTATGAGTCAATTGACAATCAAACGTTTAGTCCTGATTTGGGAATAAAATTACGTCACGATTTAGTAAAGTCGACTCCGATTGGCTGAGGCGCGAGATCGCATAAATCTGCATGTTTTGACATATCAGACGTTATACAGGAGACTTTGCTCCGTGGATAACGCGATGGGTGATACTCAGACTAACCCCACCCCCGTGAAATGAGTCTGTCTGGTTTGCTCATTTAGAAGAAATCGAGAAATGTAGGTGATTTCCAACGATCTGTCAACTGACTGATTTTTGGAAATACTTAGTGCAAAAAACAAATCGGATTTTGTGATCAAAAGGTTGTGCATGTTTTTTCACTTTTTTTTTCTCTCGAAAAGTGTAATATCCACTAAAAAGCTGAAACTCCAACCGATAAGCGTTTGAAAGGGTCGTTAACGTGCAGGTTGCAGGGCGGCTGGGGATTGCAGGCCAGTTAAATAGGCCTAACAATTGAATGTCTGTGCCGGCCAAATCACGATTTGCATGCTTTGGAATATTATAGGGATTTTTGGCTTGGCATTGGCACGAACATTGGAGAAAGGCTAAATAAAAGAAGTGTTTTCGGCATAAAAAGAGTCTGTCCAGGAAATAAGTCGCAAAAAAACGCTCTGTTCCATTCATCATTTTCTTTTAAAAGAGTCACGAGTTTATAGAGACAGTAGGTTGTGCATTGAACCATGGTTGAGCAATAACATGACTCATAGGGGAATACCCAGCGCACCCATGCAGTACACCTCTTTGTCGTTGTAAAAACCCTGGATTTGGGGTATATAAGCCCCTTGCATATGAGCGAGCTAGACGACAGTGGTAAAAATAGTTGCCCCGGAAAGTAATAGTTGTAATTGGATGTATAAGAAGACTGTTATATATACCATGTCACTTGGCAAGAGAATAACGATGAGTCCGACTGATGCAGCAATATGTCTCGTGGTCATGTTTCAGCTTCTTGCGATGTTGACCACGGCGGTCGCGTTGAATCCAACGGGGGAAGCATGTGATGTGTGTGAATGCAAGGGACCCGTAGTCATCTGCACGGGAAGAAATCTTACGGAACTACCCAAAGGTATCCCCAATGGGACGAAAGCACTGTAAGTAATCCCAGTGAGTTTGCACAGGGGGAGGTGGGCCTGGGGTGGGGGAGAAGATATGACGTTGAATTTTTCTCTGGTTTTTGGTATTCTGAAAAAAGGTCAATGGAAAAGGTTTTGAACAATAAAAATCCAGTGTTTTTTCTTGCTAGTCGAGGCGCGGCCGGACGGGCCGGTGGTTGACTTATCATACTGGTAATCGGACTTTACATTCTTCATTTTCATTTTATATCCCAAGAAACCTTCCCAATCATAAACGAAATGCTTTCTTGGATTAAAGATCGCACTATAGCGCTAACCAACCCGATAATTTATTCCATCTGGTTTGCTCTCATTTAGGCCTATAGAAGAATAAATAAACTGTAGGTGATTTCCAACGATCAGTCAACTGACTCATTTTTGGAAATACTTAGTTTCTCTATATCAAATGGTTATGCATGTTTTTTAATTTTTTTCTCGAAAAAAAAGTAATTTCTACTGAGCTGAACAATGTTTTTGAGTGATGTTATTGCTGGCAAAGAATAAAGAAAAGCAAATGATCCTACTGGCCTACGCCTTTTAAATGCATATCAAAGCTTTCAAGAATCATTCCTCTCGAAGATTAAAAGATTCCTAAGGGCGGATCTGGGGAGGAGCAATCGGGGACATGCCCCTCACCCCTCCCCAGATGACTATTTATTAAAAGAATAAAAGCAACACAGGAAATGAAATAGGCTGTTTTGAAATCGACGCATCTCATCTTCTTTTCTTACGATATGTGATTTATGAATACAAACCTATAACCACAGGGGAATACTAGGGAACATAATTATGGGGAACCACGGGTGGACTCCGCCTGGAAGAGAGGTTCACTGCCTGGCTTTATAGAGGACACTATGTAGGCTGGCCCTTTGAGACTAGCAAAAAGAAGCTCTGATGATACCATCAGAAAGCAGGACAAATCACAACTGACATGCCCTCGGGTTCTTTGTTATGTTATTGGAGCACCGTGTGACCATAAGCAGGATGGAAGCCGTGAATCGTACTGTCAGCTTGTATTTCTGTGAATATTTGCCCTAAACTAGCTTTATTTTTAATAGGGTGTAAGGCATCATTTATTTTTTTTAAATGGCGATGGGCTTCAGGACTACGGTTAGTGGTGATTATCTGTGAATAAAATATTCGAGAAAAAAGCCATTCGATTACCCCCTTAAAATTGAATAGAAAATGAAAGATGACGACATAAGCTTTAACTTGATGTGTATTTCAACACCTTGGAGAATTTTTTTTCCCTGATTTTTTTGGAATTGGGGGTATCTATATATATTTATCACTGGGGTCTATTGTAGTTTATTTGCCGAGGAGCCTCTCTGGTGGTCTGCTGTGCCCTTGTGGGGGTAAACTTCCGTTTCCTTTCCATAGTAGAGGCTTAGATCTGGGGGTTCGAATACAACTAGGGGACCACAGTGCCTGAGTTGTAGTTTGTAATAGACATTTCATCACCGGTGATTAGAAGAATGACTCCTTTGAACTTGCAAGGGAAATTCCCTGAAGAGTCCGCGCTTAACATCAATGTGTATAGACCTGAATGAAACCGTTCATAGGTGTGGCGCTTGGCATTGACACGAACATTGGAGAAAGACTCTACATAAACACGGCATAAACACTACCTAGCTAGTCCGGTCCATGAGGAAATAATTTGCAAAATGGTGTTTTATCTCCGTTGTTCTCTATCCGTGCCTTTTTCATTCATTGTTTTTCTTGTAAAGGAGTCACGAGTTGATTACATGCCGCAGGTTGTATCATATGGTTGAGCAATAATTATAGCTGACACACTACTGATAATGTGGTAACCAACGGATAGCGCATCACCAACTGATAATGTCTACTAATAACAGAAATTGACCCCGCAAAAAACCCGCAAAAAACTAGAGATTCGCATTTGTTTTTACAAACGCAGAGTGGTCGGGTAGACAACTATTTTACTGCCCAGTTAAGCTATGAATATTTTTTATGTAAGAACAAAGGATCGCGAAATTAAATCCTTTCCAGGACAATCAATTATTTTGTTTAAAAAATGAATCTTAAACGGTGTGATTTCAGTAAACATTCTATGTACACATACAAGTTATTTCTGGCTTGATAACGTCATTAGTCAAAAACGGGAAGTTAATACTGATTTAGTTCGGAGTGGATGTTCATGGTAAAGTTAACTAACGTATGAAAATGTAGAAAATATAAGTGTATGTATTCATAACACCGAGCGGCGGTTTGATGACGTCACCGTATTTTGAAGCAAAAGGTGAACATTGTAATGGTATCGTTATTTGGGCTAAGATATACGCCATGGATCAAATAATGGAAATAAATTTGAAATATGATCGTTGGCAAATTCTCATAGAAGTAACTTCCTGTCTGATGACGTCATGAATTTGAAACCTTGCCAAGTTATCTGTGGTTTAATAATCAAAGAATATCAAGGGGCGATTTGGTAAAATTTGAACTTATGGTTTTAAAATTAAAGAAAAGAAACACCATTTTATGATTTTGAAGTATCGAAATATAGGTTTTCCCGTCCAATTTCACCAAGTTTTCATTAAATTGAACGCCTGACTCATTCAATTTAGATTGAAATTGAAAGATCTAGCAGATCGTCATTCGACAATCAAAAAGAATCATTCAATGTCATTATCCAAGCAATATTTGATGTCTTCCATCCGTAAATGTACACCTCTATTTCTTAATTAAAGGGTCCAGCAATGAATTTTTCTTAAGATGATACATTTTGTGCAACTTTCTTCTCCTCTAAAATATATGATAACTATTTATTATGACATCCTTTTTGGTTAATCTTATTACAAAGTGCATTGCTTCAAACATTAATTTCCATACTTTTCCGGACTACTGAGCGCGCTGTTGCTGTGATGTGATTTCAGCAGTGGCGTAGCCACGGGGGGGGCGTGGGCGACAGCCCCCCATGAAACCTTGTCGCCCCCCACCAGTCGCCCCCCCCCCAACTGAGATTTTGAGTTTCTAAAAATAGTTATCATTGATCTACATGACGCCCCCCCCCCCCATGAAATGTTCCAGCCCCCCCCCCCCCCCAGCGCGCCCCCCCCCCCCCCCCCCCCCTGAAAAATTCCTGGCTACGCCACTGGATTTCAGGAAGACACTGTTCAGTTTAGGGGTTTTCTTTCAAATTTTTCACCCAAAATTTACTAATTTAAAACATTATTTTGTGAGGAAGGGTTGCTCATTGGCTTACTATCATGTAGTAACACAACAAAGAATCGTCAAAGAAAAGAAATTATAAGAGCAAAATATCCAAAGTTGTAGCAACCTCTTGTACTGAAATAGCCATGTAACATTGATCTGCCCTGAATGACATCAAAGTTTTGCTTTCATTAATATGGAACTTTGCATAAGCATAAAAACGGAGAAGGCACAAGAAAACACTCTTCAAAATGGAAAAAATTGAAAAAATAAAGCTTGAAAAAACAAAGATCTATTTTTAAGGTTTGTATTGAAAAATTACTTTGCATGGGCCCTTTAAATATGTGTTCGGTCTGACATGCGCAAGAAAACATTTAAGAAATGACCTAAGAGAAGTGTTCCCGATGGTACAACCATTGCCAAACATACATGCCCCGATGTCTTGCACGTCAAGAAGTCGTCAAGTTAAAGATGTCCCTTGCTCAAACATTTAAACAATTAAGTAGAAAAGATCAACAGTGCAAAAGAAATTATCTTAGCCCTTTTCATTTAATTAATTTGGTACATCTTGTATCCCTCATGTCAGTAAATTTGTTACATTGTCACCGAGATTTTTATGGATTAAGAAATCTTATTATTTTGACTGACCAAACGATGAAAGTGATTGCCCATATATAAATTAAAAACGAAAAGCATGCTAATACGTTATAAGCGCACCGACGTTCGCTAAGGCATCAACCGTCAAAAGGTTGCAAAGACTTAATTTAGAAATGCTACAAATTAATGCCCCAAACCGAAAGCGAACATCCAGAGCAAAAGCTTGGTTGCCTAGAAATGAAATTGAATGCCCCTAAAATGTAAAAGAAACCCTAATTCGAACACATCTGTAAAACAAAAACCACGCGAAATTGAATGGCCGATAATGAAAATATTAGAAAAATTCGGAAATCGGCCGGGAAAACCTATAATATATCGAGGTAACGAAATAATATTTCGAGGTGACGAAATAACATTTTGAGGGAACGAAATAATAATTTGAGGGAACGAAATAAATAAAAACAATCATCACGCATGCCTGTCCCTTGCCGCACCAATTGATTGTTTTTTCGCAGATGTATCGATGAAAAACGAGGCTAGAAACGATTACTTGTAAAATCGAATAGTACACTGTCAATTCGAAAGTGGAATCCTGCCGGAATCGAAATACAAACACGGTTAATGGCGTTGCTCATTGTTAAACGTAATGATGTGTTCACATAATGCCAAGACCACAAATAGACTTTTGTACGAAATAATGGAACAACTACAGTGTATCACCAAAAGTTGAGACCCAAAAAAAAATCGAACGGAAAAACGGGCGAACGGAATGGTTAAAAAGCAGACTCGAATATAATTAATAGATGAAAGAGAAAACTGCCGAATCGAATGGTAAGACAAAACGCCCCCCCCCCCCCCCCCCCACACACACACACACACACACACCCAGACTTACGTTACATACCTTGTGTGGACATTGCTTTGTTTTCGTGTAGTTAAGAAAACTCGGTACAAAAAATAACCTTACTTAAACTGTGAAAACTCTTTTAACCCAATTTTTTGTCTATGATTCCCTATAGTGTTTCTCTTCATTCTGCTACGGATAAACCTAACCCAAAAATGCCTCTAAACCTGTTTTCCAGAAAGGGCAAAACCTTATGTGGACACGGCTTAGTCCACATAACGTTAACACAACCTGCATTATGTGGACCTCTTTTGTTCACAAGTCCACATAGGGTATGTAACACAAACTCACACAAAACAGCCGAATTGTATGTAAGTGCAAGAACTCAAATACGAAAAGAACAGCGAAGGCAGTAATGGAGTTCCATAAAAGTACCCCCGGCGCCAAACTTTGCAACACGCGGCTGGCATATTTGCCCCCCAAAAAGTTGGTTCTGGGTCCGCACCTTTGACGGCGGGAGACTCTTGAGACGTTGATGGCAGCAAACAGGGTCGGCGGAACCGGGGGGGGGGGGGGGTGATTTTCCCAGGCCAACAAAATGCTCCTCTGGAGGTCATAAAATGTGCCCCCTCGAGATGAAAAGAAAACTGCCCCTCAAACGCACACGTATGACATCATAATGATAGTGCTACAAATAAAATTGTCTCCTCTCTTGTATAATGCAAAACTGCCCCACAAAAACACAAGTACCCCTCTCGCAGTGACAAGATTGTGTACCTTCTCCAGATGGGAAACTAGCCCTCGAAAGCACAAATACCCCTTTCGCAATAAAATTGTGCCCCTCGTGAGATGGAAAATTGGCCTCTACAAAGCAACAGTGCCCCTCTCGTGCTAAAACAAAATGGTCTCTCTGCATAAATAGGTAAAAGAAACACGAAGAGCAAGATGGACAACGTATTCATAATTGTTTCCTCGTCATATAGGTTTATAGCGAAATAAATGGGACCATATCCTTGTTCTCCACTTTCACACCGACGGAAGGCAAGGGCAAAGGCAAAAAAAAGAAAAATTGGTCCCCCCAAAAAGTGGGTCAAACAAAATTACGGCGTGGGGTTCGGGGCCCGCTTAAGGGCCCCGAAAAATTTTGGATTCTAGATGCTCTGTAGTGCGATCTGAGGCAATTTCTGACCACTTTAACCAATGTTTTTTTGAGGAAAAGACAGTGGTGTACTCATTGCCTGCCTTTATTGCGATGTCACATAAAAAAAAAAAAATTGGTTTCGTTTTTGGGGGGCCATGGCCCCCTTTGGCCCCCCCCCCCCTGGATCCGCCATTGACGGAAGGTGCCTCTTTTTCTGAGCAAATGCATGCCCCTTTTCGGTGCCCCCCCCCCCCCCCCGTTTGAAAAACGTTCCGCCGCCCCTGGCAGCAAATACACCGGTCCTTTGCAATTGTTTGAGAACGGGAAGACTCTCTTGTTTTGATAGTCTTACAAACCCTCCTTCCAAATAGTCTACCTGGCAAATACCTTTCAATCTTCTTTTGAATAAATTTACCACTTTTTCTTTGAACACTTTGGTCTTTTTTTATTTTACATTTAAAACAGTGAACTTGGAGAGAATTTCTTGCGGGAGATACCTTACGACGGTTTGCTGGAATTGAGATCCCTCGTCAGAATGTAAGTTGTCCTGTGTTGTAGACCGATGGCTTGTTTCCTCTCTTTTGTTTTAACATCATTATTTTCTGTTTTGTGGGTTCTCCAGTGTTGTCAAGGGGAAACAAAAGTCTATACTGGAGTTATTAAGCGCCCATTGCAGTTGTCGATGATACCATAAGCCTATACCAATCTACTAGTCTGAAACTGGTATTGTAAATGGGCCTTAATATGAATCACGGTATTTAAAAAAAAAGATGATTCTTCTTACTCTCTTGTGTGTTATCTGCCTTTTCTCGGGTAATGATTGTGACATTGTCAGCTGCACTGTGTTTGCTCAGCACGACATCTGCTCTCGTGTAAATATCGAAGTTAATGTCATATCTCAATCCAGCCTTTTTTCACCCTCAGAAATATAGCCAACAACTTGATCGAAACACCGTTTGAATTGCCGGAATCTGTCAGGAATATGTAAGTCGGAATATGTGATTATATAGGGTACGAGGGTGATGATATAGGGTATGAGGGTGATAATGGTACGAGGGTGATGATATAGGGTACAAGGGTGATTATATAGGGTACGAGGGTGATTATATAGGGTATGAGGGTGATTATGGTACGAGGGTGATGATATAGGGTACAAGGGTTATTATATAGGGTACGAGGGTGATTATATAGGGTATGAGGGTGATTATGGTACGAGGGTGATGATATAGGGTACGAGACATTTTATTAATTTGACAAAATTCTATGGATGTCATCTGAGTCAAATTCTTACTGCATTGTTCACGAAGGAAGCTGCTGCGTTCCATTCAAACTTACGAGGATTCCCACAAGACTTGTACACAGTCTTTTTGGCACCTGGGCCACCCCCCCCCCCCCCCCCCCCAAGGAATCATCTAAGACGGGGGCTCTTCACATTGTAGTGAAACTTTTTATAAATTTCAAGTACAACTAAAATCACAATGCATATCATGTTCATTCCGTATTTTTGACAGTATTGCACATGGGAATCAACTTCAAGACATCAAGCCCATACTGAGGAACTGTGTGAAAATGATAGTAGCGTAAGTTAATTGGTACTTTTTTGGTTACAGCCGAATGATATACCCGGGCTACATCCAGCTTGGAGCAAGTTTGGGCGAGAGATATTAGTGTACTACGTGTACTTATTGATTTGTAAAGAACAACGTGCGAGCGCCTCTTTATAGTCCAAAGATGGCCAATACGTCACCACAAACTTCTGGTTCTGGCTCCCTGTTATGCATTACGATACGCGTGGCTATAATTGGTAACCAGCGATGGAACTTACTGATCTTACTCTTGCCTAGCCTCGACTCCATCCTAGTAAATTCTCCCACGCAGAAATGTTTTGAAATACAAACTTGAACTTTCTCCACAGGGATTTTGGGAACAACAGTCTGCAAATCATCAAAACAGATACGTTCAAGAATTGTACTAAACTAGCATGGCTGTGAGTACATTTTCTTCTTCGTGTTTAAGAGATTGATTTAATTTTAATTTTGTATCCCTTCATTGCCTCCAAATCTTTGATGATAAGTATTTTAGGCCAGTTGGCCATTTGTGTCGGATGACACTTTACAATCTTGCACTCTGCTCCAGTTCTTACATTTTGTCGGCGTTCTAGTAAAACCTGATGAATTGTTTAAAACAAGTTGAATAAATTGTGTTTTAATTTTGCTATTGGAAAAAAGATTGGTTTTTTGGTTACAAATCCAATTGAATTAAATGCAGTTTACATTTTGTGATTCTTTATTTAATTTTATTACATTTTTCGGTAATGATTATGTGTCGTTTGATAGTCACAACAGTTATAAGGACATCATTCATCACGCCAACCGTTGTGCTTATTTTTGTGTTTGTTAATTTGTCCCCCATCGACAGACTCTTGGAAGAAGACAGAATAACGGAAATACAACCAAGAGGGTTTACGGGGCTGCGAACCCTTAACACGTTGTAAGCCACCTTTCAGTTTTGTTTTTATATTTAATAAATGGTTTTTACATATATTTGTTTATTGCTATTCCGGCCCCGTTCTCTACCTCGTGGTCCATCGTGTTGTGCTTTCATCTCCATGACGAATCTTAGTTGAGGAATAAATGTATAGCTTCTTAAACAGGGTACATATGAAGCCCGGGAAGGGACAGGGTGGAATTTTTTTTTTTTTGGAGTTTGCTAATTCGTTCGCACGAATTACTAATTCGTTCAAGTCGCACGAATTACTAATTCGTTCGCACGAATTACTAATTCGTTCGCACGAATTACTAATTCGTTCGCACGAATTCGTGGGAACGAATTAATAATTCGTGGGAACGAATTAATAATTCGTTCGCACGAAATAGCAATTCGTGCGAACGAATTAGGAATTCGTGCGAACGAAATAGCAATTCGTGCGAACTAATTAGGAATTCGTGCGAACGAAATAGGAATTCGTGCGAACGAATTAGCAATTCGTGCGAACGAATTAGGAAATTCCCAAAAAAAGTTCCACCCTGTCCCTTCCCGGGCTTCATAGGTACACGTACATAGAACACAAGACCTACAAGTCAAAATACGCCAGCATCAGGCCTCACATAAAAGCACTTTATTCTCCCACATAGAATACTCTTTAAAGGGAAAATACAACATTTGCAAACATCAAAAAATAAAACTACCAAATCATTTTGAAATACCTTGCTGGACTGTTAGTGAATGACAGTGTAAAGCATCCTGTAAAATCATGGCACCTGGTATACTGTCATTTTCAAGAAAAGTGGTATTTTTGTATCAATTTCCAACGCTGATCGGCCGATCAGCGTTGGAAACAACTGGCCTTTTTTCAAATACTGGCCCCAATGGACCAGCGCGCTTGTTTGCAATCAATTACAAACCTATGAACGGGTACGAGCCAGCTAGACTGGTTCCCTGACCTTACAATTCCCCAATGTATGTAAACTGCTCTGTTTCTTCTTATATGGAGTCAGGGAACCAGACTACAGGAAAATGATTGCTTTTCTTGGTTTTTATAGCATTTTCGATCCCAAAACCTCAAAAAAGTCAGTGTAACTATATTTGCTATATATTTCCAACCCCCCAATTCCATCCATTTCTGAAATTACAGTAAAAGCAAATGATGTATATTCCCTTTAATACTGTAGTCAGCGGTTAAAGGACAAACAATCATGACCACCACAATTATGTAACATACGAGAAGCATTATTAGCTGATGAAGCAAACAATTTTTGCCTTAATTAATAAATCAACATGAACATGTTTAATTATAAATGACCGTATAAATCACATGTATATAATAATGCAACACACATATACACATGCATATTGGCATTTCCATATACAAATCGGGTACAATGAATTGACTGCCAATTTTGGATTTGAGAGGGAGACACTGGAGGACACAGCGGAGCACGATATTCTGTTCAGTTGTCATGTACTTTCCTAAGGCAAGCCAAGTTTACCACCAAATTATCTCACGTTATACAAAAAAATACACAGAGGTATATTTATCTAAAATAATAGATAACCAACTGTTGCATTCCTCTGAGTGTTTTCTGCAACAGATGAAGCAAATTTACATGATATGTGATTTTTGGTCACGCCATGTCGTTATGTGGGTGAAGTTACAGTTTACAGCCACAGGGCGCTTTTACACCTTTTTGGCCGCTACATGATCTGACGATGTGAATGACCTATATCTTGTGCATGTACAGGCATGCGGGGGTTATTGACCTAGAAACACATGTGGTGATAAAATTCTCCACGTGGTTCCATGGTGTGATTTATTTTTGGCTAAGTTGCTCCCAGGGTTAATATTATCTTCGTTTTTCCTTTCAAACAGTAGGATGACTAAATGTGACTTGAACGTGTTACGGCCACATACCTTTGGGAGCACTTCACCTTTAGTGTCGTATTTGTAAGTATAGCACTGTCTTCCATTTTTTTTTTTTCAAACATAATAATGCCCAAAATTTGAATTGAAAGTGTCAGTATACGGCCACCAGACGTATACATGCAACTTGGGCGCTAGAACTTTTTTCTTCGAATTTTGAATTTTGGTTGAAGTATGTCCGACAAAAATCAAAAGTTGCGCCCAGGTTTCTTGGTTTATTCCCTTTGGAGCCTGCCTTAATTAAAATTGTGTAGGCCTCGTGGCCTGGAGCATTGGATTTGTGGTCTGTGGGTATAGGTTGTGGGTTCCAGTTCAGCCTGTGGTTATGGTGTGTGTGCCCTTGGGCAAGGCACTTTGTCACTCATTGCTTCTCTCCACTTCTTGTTTAATTATGCAGCACTATTGAAGAGTGTAACTTGGAGGAAATTCAACCTGATGTGTTTATAGATCCAACTACAGAGAATATTTTTTACAAAAGCATGGCCCGTCTGTAAGTAGTGGTACATATAAAAAAAAAAAAAAGACTGTAGGCCTATACGACTTGCAGAAAATAGATTTATTTTACGAGGTAATGAAATAGAAAATTGAGCTGTCCTTTGATATAAAAAAACAGGGTTTGCGTTAACCATAGTACCCACGTGGGGTGGTTTTATATTATTTTGATTATTCCTCGTTTTGAATAAATGGGATATGGGGGCTAAGCAATTGCACACCACTGGCCTTATTGAGATGTACGTGGACCCAACGGGAGGGCGCTATATAGGCCTACCGAGTGGGTAGGCCTAAAGTCTTTTGCATTTACCAACATTTACCAATTCCAAATAGCGCCCCCTGCTGTATTGTATCCGCCATAGAAGCTAACGGAACTAGCGATTGTAGTTGTTACTGAACAACCACAAGGCTGTTCCCAAAATATTTTTGATTTTCTATTGGATGATACAAATTGATTTAAACTCTTTTTCGAAAACTGTAACTTTTAAACTTGAAAGTTATATTCTTAAATATTTGCACTTCCAGTAACACCGGAAGAGTCACATGACCTTGACATATCAGCAGGCATACAGTTTGGTGTCATACCTTATCATATTTTTTAGATATTACTGCTAGAAAATTTCCTCATTAAATATTCATGACATAATAACTTTGGAACAATTGGCTAAACGGTAATGTCAATGCAATATTTTTTTATCTTTGAATGACACTTCATGCTAATAATTATAAGGTATCAACCCCATCAGATTTATAATAAGTGAGATATTAGAGTCTTAATTTAATACTCCTAGTAACACCGGAAGTAATAGTCACATCGTCAGGCCAATGTAATAATTTCTTATCACATTGTTGAGATATGGTGGCCACAAATTAGCCTCATCTTTTTTAATTCTTGACGTCATAACATGAGAACAATAAACTTCACGATTATCATGCAACACATTAATCTTCGAATGTAATTTCATGCTAAATGGAGGTATAAATCCTTTCAGACTGATAATTCGTGAGATCTGATATTAAGGGTATAACATTAATACCCTCGGTAACTCTTACGTAAGGATCACGTACATTACCTTGACATCTTACTGTCTGTCGAGTTTCGTAACGATCCCGTTTTCGCTTGCATAGGTGTGATTTGAAACATAACGTTTTTGATTGACGTCATCATGACGTCACAGAGTTATCACTTTTTGTTCAATGTGAATCTTCTTGCAAACCTATTACAAAAAGAATTTTGAATTCAGCGTGTTGCGTTCGTGAGATTTGGCTATACACCTCAAACCTAAAAAAAACTCATAACAATTCACGTGAGGGTGTCATTATAACGTCACCTCAAATATCACATATATGACATCCCGGTCTCTACATGCAAAGACTCAACCCAATCCGACACGTAATTCAGGAAATATAGGCCTGCAAAGAATGCAACTTTACGAGTGTGTGTCATGTGATCGGCGATGACGTCATCGTACGTCATTTCTTCGGCTCATGTCTTCAGATGGTGGTATGCCAAGTTGGAAGTACACGTAGATCGGATTTTTTTAAAAGTGTCAAAGTGGGGTTGCAGAAAAATCAATGCAGGAAAAAACCCCAGAAATGCCGGATATTGTGAAGCTTATAGGATTTTTATGAGGTCATATACAGTGGTTGGGGTGTTTGATTACTCCAAAATACCTCTCCGGACATAAAGTAGACTTCTATGAATTATGCCTAATGACAACTACTTTTGTAATTTGGAAACGGTTTTAAAGGTGGATAATGCGATTTTCTTACGAGCATTACATTTCGGCCTCCAACGGCAACCTGGCCAGTTTTATGGTCGCACAAGGGTCGAGGCCCAAAGGTCGCAGCCCTGTGTAAAGGGGGTCTAAGTCACAACCACGTTGAACCCTATCCCACCAGCAGGTGCATTAATGTGTATAGCGGGGTATTTCGTATTCTGTGCCATCTTGATACCAGGGAACAGCTAAATATGATAGAATTGGGGATGAAGGCGTTGTGAACTTCAATAGATTGGCTCGTAAAAAGTTTGCAGAATTTTATTGTTTTCTCTTCGTCTAATATTTCTTTTAAAATGTTTTATATTTAGTTATTTGTCTCAAAACAAAGTACGGCAGATCTCTTCGGGTGCGTTCCATGGAGTGAACGAAATCAATGACCTGTAAGTTATCCATATTAGTTATCCGACGAGTGTGAATGGAGCACGGAATAATTTTATACATCTGTTTCCCATTTGTACGGGGCAAAAGGTGCAGTGCAACCACCCACCCACCCACCCACCCAATTCATGGGCGTCGCCAGGGGAGTGGCAAGGGGGGGGGGGGGCACTTTTCCATTGGAAAAGCCCCCCCCCAAAAAAAAAAGGGGGGGGGGAAGGAGAAAAAGAAAAGAAAAAGAGGCGCGAAGTCATAGTGTTGTAAATTGAATGGGTTGGGGGAGGGGGGGAAAATGTCCCTGCCCCCTCTAAAACTGATAAATCGAGAATGTGTTGAGATATACAGGCATTTTTTGGCAAAAATATGTTTTGCCCCCCTCTAGAAAAAAAATCCTGGCGACGCCCATGACACCCATCCATCCATCCAGACTTCCATCCAGACTTGTTACTAGCTCCGCTGTTAAAGGGAGGAATTCAAAAAATGTTTTGGAAGTCTGTTGGCATTTTCGAAAGCGTAAACATTTTTTTTTAACAAGTGGGAAAAACAATATTTGGAGTTGTAGGGAAGGCAACTTGTTTTAGATTTTAATGACAGTATTTGTCATCAAATGGAATTAATTGCGTCATCATGGGTAACATTAATCCATCCATCCATCCATCCATTTATCCAGACTTCCATCAATCCATTCAACCACCCACCCCCACCTTCCCACCTACCCATCCACCCACCCACCCACCCACCTACCCACCCACCCACCCACCTACCCATCCATCCACCCACCATCCATCCACCCATCCACCCACCCATCCATCCACCCATTCATCCATCCATCCACCCACCCATCCACCCACCCACCCATCCATCCACCCACCCACCCATCCACCCATCCACCCACCCATCCATCCACCCACCCACCCATCCATCCACCCACCCACCCATCCACCCATCCATCCATCCATCCACCCACCCATCCATCCATCCACCCATCCATCCATCCATCCACCCATCCACCCACCCATCCATCCATCCATCCATCCATCCATTCATCTAGACTGCCATCCATCCAGACTCAAAAAGATAAATCACACAAAACAATGAAATAACACCTAAAAACACGAGGGCAAAATTATATTGCAAGAATAATATGTATAACACTGCAATCTTTGATCTTCGATTTCAGTCGACTTTCCCAGAACGAAATCGTTTCTGCTGGTCTGCCAGAGGATGTGTTTCGCAACATAACAATAAATCATCTGTAAGTGTAACGGCGCAACAGAAATTTTTATTAAATTTCTGTTCCTTGAAATTGCAAAACAAAGTGTTGTTTGTATTTGACGAATTTTTCTGTAATGCGAGTGAACGGCGGGGCGTTGAAATCCATTTAACGACAAAGTAGTATGACTTATGAACCATTTTAAATTAACTGCCTGTCTAAAACTTTGTAAAACGTTTTTCCCGATCCTTTTTTAAACTTGTGTTATGCATGATTTAAACTAGGGATCAGTTTGTAATGCTGACGACAATTTCCAAATTCAGTTGTTTATGTTTACTTTTAGGGATTTGTCGTCCAATCGACTGACTTACATTCCAACTGGACTTTTCAAGTCGCAGACTGCTCTCCGATTTCTCTACTTACAGCGGAACCAAATCAGTGTCCTAAATGATAAGGTGTTTGCGGGGCTTCACTCGCTGAGAGAACTGTGAGTTCGCCCTTCAAGTTTATTCCAAACTACGTTGCTTTATTCCAAGACGTCACTGCTGGCTAGTTGTTGTAGCGACTGTTCACGCAAAGGCAGTCCGTCCAGGCCTAGACTTGATGACAAGTCGTTAGATTTTATCCCGTATTTTGTCTGTGAACGTCAGTCGAACTCCATCTGCGCGGCTTGTATAAGACTAGTAGTAATCGGCTGGGTAGTCTGGTTCCCAGACCTGACAATTATTCCCGACGCTCACGTCTTAAATTGTAGGTCAGGCAGCCTCCGTGGCTAAAAATAAACATGACGACATTAATGGCCCTTTTTCAAAGCGCGGCTTCGTTTCCGATTTCGCTTTATCACTTGTAGCTTTTAATGTTCTGATCAAATCTTTAAATAAATCACTTGCTTCGTAATATCATACAGTTATGATAATACAGTTTGATGTTTTTGTAAGATAACATTGAGTAATGTTGATCTGGAATCTTCAAAATTAGGGAACCAAATAGCACTGTTAGCAGGCGGAGCCGAATAAAGACCGAGTTTTGGAAAATCTCGGTAACGGTCGTCAAATTCAAAATTGTACATGACGCAGCAAAAAGTTCGCCCGTACGATCCGAATATATTTGATGCACAAAATTGTCGTTGAATTTCAAGTTTTCTAAATGAAAACAATGAATATTAATTATCAACTCATCTAAAATAAAATTAATAAGCAATTAGCAGTTAATTAAACCTATATTATATACTCGGAAATACTCGGGCGCTATCCGCTTGTCGACGAAACGACTTCGGCAAACTTCGAAAATTTTCGGAAAAAGGAGGAATTCCTCCCGTTTTAGTCACGTGACGTAAATTGTAATACATTGTATTACCGGAGGCTACCGGACCTAAGATTCATCAGGAATAGTCGGAATCTTTTGGTCTGGGAACCAGACTATCGGCCGGGTTGCGATAAATCTAGCGACTTGTCGATTATGTTCTCGCACCGTTATTCATGAATGCAAGCAGCGCAATACATATGCAGTGCATTTTTGCGGTGAGATCCAATCGCGCACCGCTATGCAAATGAGGACTCATTCATTCTGTTACATGCGGAGTTCTTCTCAATACGCTAGGGACATGTTTGCAGGTCTGGCGACATTTTAAAGACCAATACACTCATCTTGGTCAATTGTGTATAGAAATAAAATTGATCATTGCGATATTCTTGATTTATTGGGAAAACGTTCGTTGACGTAATTTGGGGATATAATATGCAAATTAATACGTAAACAATGCTCACAGGTACTAGTCAATGACATGTACTTTATGTCTGTGTGTTGTTGATTTATTTTTAATTGAGCGAGCCACATTTTTTTAAATACTTTTGCTAATTCGGTTACTTTGTATTGAACACTATTTTGACTTCCATTTTTTTTTCCATTTTAGTATGATATTTGACAACCCAATCACTGAATTAGCGGACTGGCTGTTTTACGCGACCAACCTAACAAACCTGTGAGTATGCACATTTTGTCGTCCATGAATGTAATTTCGTTATTGTAGGCCAAAGCTGCAAAAAAAAACAAAAAAACAAAAGCTTTGAAATAATCTCCAAGAGTCGTAACACATCCTTACTAAAATTCCAGGAATCTGTGTGTGTGTGTGGGGGGGGGGGGGGGGTCTGTCTGGGTGTCTGTACGCCGATTATCTCCAGAACCGGGCACAGTATGAAGTTGAAAATCGGCGGGTGTGTTGCTCGGCACCACAGAATGTGCAGTGTCAAGTTTGAACTTTTTTGCAGTTTGCAGGCGACTGAGCAACCATCACTGTAGGGCGATACCATTGTCCAGTATGGGTGTATATCAGTGCCGGGGATGGCCTGGCGACATGTACGAAGTGCGTTCAACCTGTGAGTGTGAGTTCAACCTGTGAAAACAACACAATTGAATCGTGTGCGTAGTGCATGATATGAGCAGTTTGAAATTGCCCCAACCGAACAGGCGCATTTTTCGACGGGCCCTGCACTAGTCTTCTCTTCTATAATTCCAGGAATCTGTGTGTGTGTGTCGGTCTGTCTGTCTGTCTGTACGTCGATTATCTCCAGAACCGGGCACCGTATGAAGTTGAAAATCGGCGGGTGTATTGCTCGGCACCACAGAATGTGCAGTGTCAAGTTTGAAGTTGTTTGGACGAGCGGTTCTCGAAAAAGCTGCAAATAAAGTATATAGCCTAGACCACCAACACTGATGTTCTTTTCAATTGTTTACGTCATGTTTCAAGCTAAAGCGCGCGTGCTCAATATGACACAACAATGAAAAAAGGACGGGCACATTGTAGGGCGACACCATTGTGCGGTATAGCACTGCACACCATGTCTCCGTACATACATGTACGTGAGTGGCATGCGCGGGCACAGGGCACGGGCATGCATTTTGTAGTCAACTGAGCAACCATCACTGCACTGTATGTAATATGATGCGCACTGCCGTCTTTATTTTCAAATGTTTACGTCATGTTTGAGCTAAAGCGCGCGTGCACAATATGACGTAACAATGGAAAAAGGACGGGCACATGCATTTGGCGGAGTCCTCACTGTAGGGCGATACCATTGTCCAGTATGGGTGAATAGACCGCCAAGCACTGCATACCGGCGGCATATACACGTACGTAAATGTGTGGCTGCGCTGCGATATTTTTTTTTTACAACTATCTGGGGTACCCATTTTTCAGGCGACTTGAATCAAGGTTATAGGATTGTATCTTAAAACGTTTTTTTCAGTCGGATACTACTTGTATAGCAGCAAATTCCTTTTCTTTTCCTGATCTGAGGCTCTGGAGGATTTAAAAAAAAGGGAAATAAAGTCCGAAATCCGTACTAAGTTGAAAAATAGTAGCCTCCACTCAAGCCTGGTATAAAAACCAAGCCCCATAGGAAAGCGCACAAAGTACCCCAGATAGTTGTGTAAAAAAAAATATCGCGCACGGGCACATGCATTTTGCAGTCGACTGAGCAAACATCACTGTAGGCGGTCGACTGAACAACCCTTACCGTAGGGCGACACATGGGTAAACATCAGTGTCAGAGGACTTACTGTAGGGCGATACCATTGTCCAGTATGGGTAAATATCAGCGCCAGCAAATCAAGACATGCGTTCAACCTGTGAGTGTGCATTCAACCTGTTAAAACAACACCATTGAATCGTGTGCGTTGTTTGTATGAGCAGTTCTCTGCCCCTTCCGAACAGGCACACTTTCGACGGGCCCTGCACTAGTTTTGATAATAACACCATTTCATTATTTTGATTATTTGAATATTAGGTACATATTCCAGACTGAACTTTCGTCGATAGGGGAGCGGCCGTTCGCGACCGTGAACCACACTCTCCAACATGTGTGAGTATTACATTACAGCTCCAGCCTTGTTCCAGCATTACAGTGTCAATTGGTATATAGGGGCCTATGTATGAGGTATTCCTGTATTAGAAATGTTTTAAATTGAAGAAATTATCTGTTCGTTTTTCGTGGAAACGATCAGAGAAGCCGTCCTATCAGCTTGGTGACTCTTCACTTGACTGTGTGGATTAAATCAAACTACTTGGATGTACATTTCAAAGCAATCTCTCGTGGGACAAACACGTTCAGGATTGTGTCACAAAGTGCAATAGAACTGTGGGCCTCGTCCGTTTGATTACGGGTGGATTGACTTCCAACGTTGCCCTTCATCTATACAAGACTCTTGTTCGACCTATTTTGGATTTCTGTTCGCCCATTTGGTGGGTGTACAGCAAGAAGCATACAGCTAGAGTCCATTCAGCGGAGAGCAAGCAGAGCCATTCTGAAGCAAGGTTATCAGGAACAATCTTACGATGATCGCATTAAGTCTCTAAGTCTTATGACTCTGAATAACCGTAGAGATATTTTGAATATGTCTTTCACTGGTTTTTCACTGCTAAACTGCTGGTTAACCCATCGTTTGATTTTATGAGTGATTTTGTGAGCACTTTTGTTGTTAACAACAGGCATCTTGACTCTCTAACTTTCCATCATGCTAAGGCTAGGACAGATAAATACAAATATTCCGTAAACGTGCGATTTCCAAAATTTTTCTAGTTTTGACCACCATATTAGGAATGATATCATCACTTCTCCTTTTAATGTTTTTAAAGCTAGCCTCGGACAACATTTTTATACTGTACCGTAATTCTTATTGTTTAGTATTGTTATACCACTGTCTTGTACTATTCCATTTTATCCAGGATTTTAATGGGAATTTTAGATTATGACTGTGTTCAACTACTTTTTTCGCCGTTATATAGCTTTTTTTTGGGGGGGGGGGTTGCATCTTGCATTTTTATCCTAGGTTTGTTTTTACTTGTCAATCAAATTATGCCCACGGTTTTAACTCTAGTTGCATTTTGGCTGTTTTGTTCTTTGACTGTTTTTTTTCTACATCCCCAGTATTTTATTGGGTATTTAGTCTTTTGCGTATTTGTTTGTTTGTTTATAATTTGCTTGTTTGTTGATATATTTCCGGGTGGGTTTTTTTGATGGGATTTTTTTTTATTGATCATAGTCATTATTTATACTGTATAACATTTTTCTTTCTTTTTTTCTTTTGGTCTGACACATCTTTGATGACAATTTTTACAAACTTTTGTCTAGACCAGGACAATTTAACTTTTTATTATAAAAAGATTTTTAATTATTGTCCGAAGATATAAAATAAAATAAAATAAAAATAATGACTTTGGTGTTTCAGATCAATTTACGGCAGTCCCTTGAGGAAAATTTCCGATGCTGTCTGGCAAGATCTCGGTCAATACTCTAACGTGTAAGTCAATTTACTGCTCAACAAGAAAAGGCAATTTTGGAATATTTTTTTCCTTCCTAAATAGACTCCCTAGCAAGACAAGGAATTGGTAGGTTCAAAACAATGACGAAAATTCCAGGTTAAGGTCAACAGAGCTCAATATAGTGATGTAATTTATAGAAGTTTGGGTTAAACTTGTTGGGCAAAGTTTATAACACGTACTATACATGGTAGGAATTACAATAAGATACTTTTTAGACACTTGCATGGTGGTAGCAAACACGCCGGTCCTTTTCAATTTTTACCTCATTTTAAAGCATTTGCTAAATGACACAAACAATAGAAAAGTGCAAATGTGTTTGCTGCCACCAAACTTCTCAAAAGCCTCCCATTGTTCTTAAGAGTGTTGAGGTCAAAGGTCATCTAGGTCTTAGAGGTCATTGTCAAATATGCTTCAAATGTTTCTTCGTCTATTTAATTAATTTTGATGCTTCGTAGAAAGAGCGATACTTTGCGGTTGGGTTCATGATGTCTCTTCATAAATTCCAGGTCAAAGGTCATTTCAGGTCATTTTTGATAAAAACACACACCTTTGATCAATGACTGTTAACTTCAATAATTGCTCAGAATAGAACCGTTAAGGCAACAGGTGTAATTCGTGGAAAGTTTTGTTTTTATGCAACGCCTTTAAAAAGGGAAAGTGAACATTTTTGTCACCTCCAATCTGATCTGACCTGACATGATTTGATCTGCATGACCTGACTTGACCTGACGTGACCTGACCTTACTTTGCTTGACCTGATGTGACCTAACCTGAGCTACCGTGGCCTTGACAGCACACAACTTCCAGAGTCCATAGAGCAAACAAAACCAAACGGACACAATTGGTGGACAGTTGCATTTTTCGCCCGTCAACACATTGAACGCCATAGGGAACCAGCCATTGTAAAAGTATCACAGATCGTTTTCCCTTTTTGTTTCTTTAGAATAATTGAAAACACATTGGAGGTCGTACCATTCACAAACAGAACTGACCTCAAAATGTAAGTATCGATGATTACTTATGGTAATATGAAATTATCTGAAACTTATTGACCTTGATCGGTAATCAGAATTGCCTCATACTGGAATGTTAAAGTGAGCTTTTTGTTGAAAATTTATTTGTGAAAATATTTCTGTAGTACTTCTTGTATTTGTTAAGATTAATGTTAGTTGTCCGTTTAGCCATTGTACTTTTGGTTTTCTTTTTATTGTACTTTGCTTAACTTTATTAATTTGAAATGTATATGCGGGGCCCCGGTGGACAGAGTTGTCAATGACTTGACTCGAGTCCGACTCGAGTCACAAATTGTGGCGACTCGACTCTTCTCGAATTCCAACGGGTAACTGACTCGACTCGACTCGAGTCCCTCATCAGAAGACTCGACTCGACTCGAATCGAAGGTTAAATGCACCCGAATCCCAAAACTGTTCCAAAATATGTTGAACTATCCTGGAACTAGACTATAAACGCATTTCCACGGTAAATCAGTGTGCAAATGCTATGGACAGGTGCCTGAAAAAGAAAAACAAAACGAAAACGAATGGGGCTGCTTCGACAATTGCTAATAAACACATGTTTGGAAGCGGGGCTGAACACAGCGAAACGAGTGGCATATAATACACAGTTAGTAGTAGTTCATAACGTAAGGTGTAAATGTTAGATGTATTTGAGTATCACTTCTTTTGTGTGCCCGCAATCAGCATGTGTACTCCTCAGCGAACACACTTAACAATGAAATCTGTCTTCAGCTAGCAGCCGCTGAAATTAAATCGCCGAATGAAAAGAAGGGAAAACCAATGATTGAAAATAATGAAAATAAAACAATGTAAACAAAATTTAAATACAGCTATACAAATTGACATAGGCAAGCCCAAACTATGATCACGTGCAGTATCTTTTTTTCATACTGCTTCTGCATAATGAGTGCTTCAATTTAACGCATAGAAAATAAAGCAAGTCCAGATTTTTGTTTTTGACGATCTTCATCCAATCCCACTAAATGAAGAGTTAAAACCCTATTCGCAAAAAAAAGTTCGCTTGTTGGTTCTCGTCACTCAAAACCCCGTTCATGTGTTTATTCAACACGAGAACGGGGTGTTAAATACGTCCCGCCAAATATTAGTTAAATACCCCTTTATACGCGCAAAGGCTCCGGAAGCCAAACACCGAGCCGAACCGGCGCTTTGTTACTTGCATTGCATAACAGCTCCACAGAACACCCCTTCACTGTGCTTCAACCACCCAACTCGTAAAAGTCTTAAGACATGTAGAGGAGTTTTTGGGCGGGGCCTGCAGAAAATGGGGTTTCATTGGCCAAGATTATAAGAACCGATGTGTGTACGTTCAAAACGCATTAACACTACCAGCACTGATTCGGGGGCACGGTTTGACAGGGCGTCTCACGACGTAAGACTGCCTGTGGCGTATTCAGAGCGTATCAGTGGCGTATCTGGGGGGGGGGGGGGGGGGGGGGGTACCCATCTTCCAAATCGGGGCGCTCTTCAAAACTCATCATTATTATGCATACTGGAAAATGCCGATTTTCACGGCGCATTGTAATGGTTTTGGAGCTTGATTTTAACCATTAAGGAAATAGTTACTGAACAAATATCTTTCACAAAATCATCTGGGAGGGGGGGGGGGGCAACCCTCTGGATACGCAACTGACTGGCCTTCCCTTGCGAAGATATGTCGCTATTTGGAGTTGGCATCTTCCAAAATGAGGGCGCATCTTCCAAAATGAGGGCGCTCGAAAATTAGTATGCCAATTTTCACGGCGCGTTGTAATGGTTTTGGAGCTTGATTTTCTTCTTATTGGGTGGGTTCAAGTCAGAACGCTCTAACCGTTTATGAAAAAAGTTACTGAAAAAAAATGTTTTTCAAAAAGATATCCGCCGGGGGGGGGGGCAAGTTGCCCCTGCCCCCCCCCCCCCCGGACTGACTGCCTTGCCCTTGCAAAGATGTAGTTATCGGAAGTAGGTCACACCACTTGGATTCCATAATTAAAGGTTGACACGTCTCACTCCATGCCATCGAAGCATGACTGCCCCCGTGCCTTAAGCAGCAGGTCAACTCACTAAAGTGAAGCAAGGCTGCTCACTCAAACACTGACGATGATGCTAACTGACTCTGTCATATTTTGTCGTTGCTTTCTTCCAGACAACAGGTTGGTGACGGATTTGCACAAAGAATAAATGTGTCTGAAGAAGAGGCGAAGCTATTGAGCATTTCGGGGTTTAGGTGTGGCATGTCCAAGGACAACAGCTGGCATTGCACGCCATGCCCACAAGGCACATACGGAACCTATTGGAGGTGTGCTGCATGCCCGCCAGGTAAAACAGCTAGCTAATTCGCAGCTTCCAGTGGCGTAGCCGGGGGGGGGGGGGGGCGACAGCCCCCCCCCCCCCCCACTGAGATTTTGAGTTTCTAAAAAAATTATCATTGATCTACATGCGCCCCCCCCCCCCATGAAATGTTCCAGCCCCCCCCCCCCCCCCCCCCCCCTCCAGCGCCCCCCACTGAAAAATTCCTGGCTACGCCACTGGCAGCTTCCATTACAAAATGGTTGGAAGAAAACTGCAAAGTATCTAAACCTGACGTGTATAACGCTATGGGAGAAAATGGCTGGAAAGATCGATTGAAATACACATTGGGAGTTGATATTTGGCGGCAATCTGTCTGTTTGGCTTTTTTTAGTTTGTATAGGCTACATTGTGTACAAATAAATTTTCCGATCTAAGATGTCTCTGTTATAATTTTATCATTAAACAAATTTTGGCACGGATTTTGTTTCTCCTTTTCATACAGGCGGATTTTACCAAATCAAGACGGGGCAAGTGGCTGACCGTTCTCAAGGTATCAACTGTCAGAGATGCAACAATGGCACCTACATAACGCCTGAGGCGCACCCTGGAATCAGTCCTGCGAATTGCACGGTGTGTCCTACAGGTACCAATAAGAACCTCTTCGCTGGCTTCCGAGCCTGTCCGTGTCTGGCCGGCTTCTACCGTACTGACCGGTTCGGTAAATGCAATCCGTGTCCAACCGAAGGAGTCAACTGCTCAGAGGAGTACCAACACCTCCTGTCTGGCTTCTGGTGGACCTGGGACTGGGGTTTATCGGATGACAACTACCTATCCTACGAGCGATTCGTCCAAAATGTGCGGACTGAAGATCTCAACTATGACAACACAAGCAAGAGGTTTGGGGGTGTGTTACCCAAAGTGCATAAATGTCCTCGTAGTGAGTCATGCGAGAATGCTGTGCTGGGTGGTATCAATGCAACATGCGAGGAAGGCTACACGGGTTGGCTTTGCTCCCAATGCAGTCCGTACTATTACCCTTGGTTCGATCACTGCTTCGAGTGTCCCAAATGGTGGTGGTTCCTGCTTGAAGTCATTGCTGTATGCGTGGCCATTGCTCTGATTGTCATCATCATAGTTTGGCAAGTGCGCAAGGTCCGAAGAAACGGTCGGTCTGCCGTCAGCCTGCTGCTTGCTCGAGGGAAGATCCTACTGGGTTTCTACCAGGTCATGGGGGAGATATTCTCAGCGCTAAATGAAGTTGCATGGCCGAATATATTAACAAGCGTTGGCTCTGTCTTTAGACTGTTGGAGGTGAACATCATGCGGTTGCTTATCAGTCCTAGATGCTATGTCCCAAACTTCACTTATCCTAGTATTTACATTGAGCTCTTGGTCGGCATTAGTTTTGTGTTGTTCGTTCTGCTTGCCGCCTGGTGTTTTTACAGCTCCAAGAAGTGTTACCTGAAAGCAAAGAAAACACCGCGTGCGGAACGAAAAACTCTTCTATCGCAGACCAAGCAGATGTGTTACTTGTTTGTGGTGATGCTGCTCTTTATTTCCTATCCAAGCCTATCTAGTGTTATCCTCACATTATTGCCCTCTGGGTGTGACCTCTTCTATGTGGATGAAAAGGACACCCTCAATGTGACCAGACTTCGAGCCGATTACTCGATTGATTGCCAAACGCAGCAGCATGTTCAGTTCACCTACGCAGCTGAGGTCTTTCTCTTCTACGTTGTTGGGTTTCCCTTGATGTTGTTTCTCCTCTTGTGGTGGAACGTCAGAAAACGGAAGAAGACCGGGGCTGTCGGTGGTAGACGGGAAAGTGAGGATCAGCCTTTGCTCGATGTTGCTAGTCAATGTCGTTTGGATGCCGGTCGTGTCGCCAGTTACAGAAACGAGTTGCCTGATGAGACAGATGATGAACTCCTACACACGGAACCGCCAAGCCAGGCTGAATTCAATTGGGAGAGTTTCCTGTGCGAGAATTACAAGCCAAGGTTCTGGTACTGGGAGATTCTGGAGCTGGCCCGCAAGATTGTCCAGACGCTGTTTGTGCTGCTGTACGGGCCCGACGATCACTTCACCATGTTCGCCACCATCGTCATATCGGTGGGCTTTCTGCTCCTGCACGCTTACGTCAAACCCATGAAGGATGCTGCCGAGCATCGTCTGCAGATGTGCTCGCTTGGTACCATCTTCCTGAACCTGTTGGCTGCGTCGCTGCTTCTGTTGCCGAGCGAGGATGCTCAATCCAGCCAGAATAGAAAGGAAGTCCTTTCTGTTGTTCTTGTCCTGATGAACCTCAGTATCATCGTTTTTGTCATCGGTAAGAATCTATTCACATCTATCTGTTGCTTTTCTATAATCTGTTAACATCTTGCAGTTGTCGATAAAATTGTGATTCAGCTTTTGTTTGGTGTTGAAATTTGGTCTAAGGGCTCCGCTGGGCTCGTGGTTCTTAAAATCAGAATGTTACATTACAAAAGTACCTTCTGGCAACTATAGTTACAAGAAAACTAGTTTCTTTCTCTCTGCTTTCATCGCTATAGCTAGCTTGATCTGGACCGGCGTGAAGGCTATATGGCGTCATGGATGCTTGCATCACTTAGGATCGTGCATCGCTGTGGCGTGGGGCTGGTGTTGTGGACCTCGTCATCGTGGGCTAGAGGTGAACAACAATGCCTCCGATCGCAGCAACGAACAAGATTCATGACAGTCAGCTTTGAATACTAGACCTGATTCAGTATAAAATCGACAAAAGATACTTTTTAAGAGCAAAGACACACGGGATTATGTAAAAGAAGTGATTGTTCAGCCGTTCCGGTAAGTGCTTCAAACAGTGGAGCATGTTACTGTCAGCTCACTGTGAAATGAACCTTCATTATTTTGAGCAATTTCGTTAAATTTTTATTTTTTACATATTTATGATGCTGGAAAGGTTTAAAATAAGACTAAAACAATAAGGTATACCTGCTCATCAGGTGGAATATAAAAGGTATTTCCATCATCAAAGGATTAGGACACAATGCGCTACATGCATTTTATGAATAAATATATGAACCGTGTAAAGCCCTTAACTGTGGTTATGCCATTGGAACGGAGGAAAATCACTTCTTTACATAATTGGCAACTTCTCAGCAACCCAAGTGCTGCTTTCATGATTTTTCAGTATTGAAATAAAAAACACTCAGCTTTAATCTGATATCAAAAACATAACAATTCACGGATCACTTTTCTGAAAAACTAGGCAAATGTTTCAGGGTTTCATATGTTTGTTTGGTCACTCTGTACGGGTTGAAAAAAGTGTACAAAAGCTATGGAGAGGGGGTGAAAAAAAGGAGGGGAAAAAGAATAAATCCTAACAAAGTTTCGGCTGACTAATCAGCTCTCTTGCCGAAACGGCGAAGGAAAAAAATAAAAATAATCAAAGTAACTACATACCCAGACATCAACTACGTATGTGTATTACAGTCAGTAGTTTGATTGCTGTGAACAGAATTTGAAGCAGTTGGTATTAATGCGGAGTTAATGATTAATGTGTGGTGTATATTATTTGTAAAAACTTTTGTAATAGTAATATAGTTACCAAGTTTCGTGTTTTTTGTTTAAAAAATAATTCAACACATCTTTCTTTTACCCAGATGCCACAGAGTGTTTCTTTATCAGTTTAAAAAATAATAATAATCAACCAGATGCCACAGAGTGTATGTTAGTTTAAAAAAAAATAATAATAATAATCAACATATTTTATACCCAGATGCCACAGCTGTAGAGTGTATGTTTATCAGTTAAAAAATAATAATCAACATATTTTATACCCTGATACCACAGAGCGTTTGTTTATCAATAAAACAACATTATAATGAATATATTTTATACCCAGATGTCACAGAGTGTATGTTTATCAGTAAAAAAATAATAATAATAATCAGCATATTTTATACCCAGATGCCACAGAGAGTATGTTTATCAGTAGACCTAGAGGTTGATGATTAATGTGTGGTGTATAATATTTGTAAAAACTTTTGTAATAGTAATATAGTTACTACGTTTCGTAGTTTAGTGTTTTCGTTTAAAAAATAATTCAACACATCTTTCTTCTACCCAGATGCCACAGAGTGTTCTTTTATCAGTTTTAAAAAAATAATAATAATCAACCAGATGCCACAGAGTGTTTGTTTAAGAGTTGACCTAGATGTCTGATTACTGTGAATTTAATTTTTGTTTCGAAGTGGTGGATATCACTATGGAGCTAATGATTAATTTGCGGTGTACAGACCTACTATTATTTGTTAAAAATTATGTAATAATATTCTGCCTTTACATCATGAAACGGCATTTGCTTTTTCTCCTTTTTTTTCTGATTTACGTTGTTTCTGTAATTCATGTTTTGCAGGTATAATTCAATATCCAGATATTAGTTCACCACTGTACTTAAGATTAGACTGGCAGATTTAGCTTGAGTGAAATAAGTGAAATAAGCCCCGCCCACTTCTTCCTCAGGCTGAATCTGCCACTAGTGTGTGTTTGTATCATGTTCCTTGCTCTATGTTTGTATTAATGCTTGTAAAACTCTCGCTCAGATTCTAATAAAACAAGACAAGGCAATTATAGTAAAGCTAGTCTCAGTGCGCCAAAACTAACATTCAATCCATCCATAATGGCAATTGAGCCTTTTATGTATAATGAGTGTAGTGGTATGTGTAAGAATGAAGAGACAAATAGAATGTTCCATTTTACGAGGGAAAGCCGAATGGAACGGAAACCGTTCCATTTGTCACCGAATTGAATTATTATTTTCATTACACGAATGTGAAACGTTTTGTTGTATTCATCTCAAATCCTCGTCAATGGTCAGAGCCAGCGATAGTGTGATCGTACGATGTAACTTTTGTATTAAACATTGTAATAGAGCGGCTAAGGGAAGATTCTCACCAGAATCGTGCACTTTTTCAGGAAAGCACGAAACTTCGTACAGGGGGACTATGATACCTAAGGATCATTAAAAAAAATGAACCCCCCCAAAAAAGCCCCCCAGTGGCCGCCATCTTGAAATCAAATATGGCCGCCAAGATACTCAATTTTAGCAAATACCTTCCTATCTACAGTACTTAGGACTGTAAATGAAGCATCTTTTACCCACGTTTTCAATATCAGGCAACATGCTGCAATCATCAGAAATTATGTCAAATGGCCGCCTTATTGGATTTAAAGATGGCGGCCAATAAGGGGCGCTAATTTGTGGGGTCTTTTTTTTTAATGGTCCTTAGGTATCATACTACCCATGTTCGAAGTTTCGTGCTTTCCTGAAGAAATGCACGATTATTCTCCTTAGCCGCTCTACTATTGCAGGTCGGTCGAACTGCGGCATGAATGACAACATCATCCGTTTGTTTTTTCAACGGAGCCCGCATGCTCCGTAACTATTTGTTCAGACGCTAGTGATGGATAGTGGACAGTGCATAGAGCGCCCTCTCTAATGGCACAACAATTAGACCAGCGCGCCAACTCGCACTAACGTCTCCTGGGCAATGCCGTTTCAGCAGTTTAACTTTTTCTTATTTTCTCCCTATGCTTTCCTGGGGAACCAATCAGCGATCGAGAAAAGTTCAATGGCTCGCCCGACGGTTGTACTCGCTATAACACATGCGGTGATCAAGCATCATCGCTTTCCTATAGAACCAATCAGCGATCGAGAAAGTTCAGTGGCTTGCCCGACAGTTGTCAACATACGCGCTATGCGCGGGGGCCATTAAAAGGCGCTGCCGTTTTGTTCGAATTGATACAGACGGTCTTATTTTACATAAAATGGCCACTTCCCGACTTCTACGAAATGACCAAGACGTTTATGCGCAGCGCAGCGAGGGTGCTACATACGCAACTATCGCTCTTGATTACTGACGTCTTGGGCCAAGACTAGCCACAGTGCTGAAAAGCAAACCACAGAGCGAGCGCCAAAAATGATATCAAAAAGCAAGTAACCTTCATATAATTATAGTTTGTAATTATACATTAGGTAGGAGGAAACCCTCCTATGTATTCAGGATTCATTGCCCGCTATTCCAGTCCTACATTCGAAGTCCGAAGGACAATGGAGGGACCGGAACCAGTCTAGTAGTTCTGTCGTCTGCTTTTTAATAACAGCGCCCTCCATTGGCAATAACATTGCTTGGATTACATAACGGCAATAAAAACAACAATGCGAATGCATGCACGTTAGGTATTACGAGAACGTGGAACTGGAAGGCCTACCGCCTAGCTATAGCCTGACTTCTAAGTATCATACGGTGGAGCGGGTATGTAAGAATTCAAGTTGAATGCGATTTTGAAGCATGTATACTTTTTAGCTGTACTATCATGGTATAATTGTCACACTAAAGCAGTATTCTGCAGTGTCCACGGCGCCTGCAGATGCAGTGGCGCCGTTCGGGATTTAATTGAGAGCCACAAAAAAATACCACATTGGTGTTTGCAGACGTGGAAAGATTTTCATATCTGGCTGTCACTAATTTTTCCCTTCAGTGACCAATCAGCCATCAGAAAGTGATAATAATGTTCTCTAAAAAGTCAAATTTAGTAGGGAAAATATTGAAGCTGTATTTACTGAGAAAACACTTCTCATCCAGTCTCATCATTACGGTTTGTGCAAAGGGTGAAAAGTAATGGCAGATATGGGAATCTTTCCGCAGACGTAAATTAAGTCTCTAATCTCAGTTCTTCTCCCTAAAATAAAAGAAACGTGCCATGGCCAAGTACCACCAGCAGTCACTTCACTGGTTCCGCAAAGGTCTCCGTCTCCATGACAACCCATCCTTGCTGGCTGCAGTCAGAGACAGCCAGGAGTTCCGAGCTGTCTTCATCCTAGATCCCATGTTTGTCAAGTCTGGTACCGTCGGCATCAATAGATGGCGCTTTCTTCTCCAATCACTGCAGGATCTTGACGACGGACTGAAGGGTCTGGGCAGCAGGTATATTTTGACAATTTAGAAATTAATCCTCTCAGGAGTACTTATTGTTCTGTTTGTAAAGTTATCACTGTTACGCCTCAACTGTGGCACTGTCACAACATCCCAACTACAGTTACGATCGTCCCAATCTTAGTTAGGTGTCTCCCAACTACAGTGTACTGTTGGGTCTGTCCCAGTAGTTGGGACCTTTGCCATAGTTGGGGCGTAACATCACCAAGCAGTTTATAAACTTTGACATAGCAAGTAGCCTCAAAAGGGGAACCCCATTTATATCTACAGCCTTTGTTTTCTGGGCCCCAAGGGGAAGAATTGTATTTGTTGTTTTTTTTATTGTGGAAACCAGACTGTGACTTTGTATCTTGCTTGGATGAACAATGGCCCAATTCCTCACTATCAATCAAACAATGTGCATTGACCAATTAGATCATGACTTTTTGTCAGGTGACACCGATAGATTTTTTGAAAATTGGTCACGATTAAGTACCATGAACAAATCTACATGGGCCACAAGTGGGTTGGCTTACATCCCAACTGGGATTGGCCCACTATACGCACTTGGTGTTAAATACCAGTATGCAATTCAGGCATTGTTGGCATTGACTATCCTGTCCTGTAGGTTGTATGTGTTGCGAGGTAAACCAACGGAAGTCTTCCCTGACATCTTCAAGAAATGGAAGATCAGCCACTTGACCTTTGAACTTGACACTGAGCCCTATGCAACGCAGCGGGACGAAGCCGTTGAGGCCATTGCTGAGAAACACGGAGTGCAGATCACAAAGAAGTCCTCACATACCCTCTATGACATACAGAGGTGAATGTCATTATGTCAGCAATGAATTTACCCATGAATGCTTTCTTAGTAATATTTGTGTTCTTTCATTGTGTCATCTGCTCTGTGCATGGAATCACCATTCACAATGTAGGAACTGAAAACAGTTGTTTTTTGGGGGGTATCCTTGAACACAAAACTTTACACAGGACAGAGGAATGATATTTGCTCTAAAATACTAACCCCCAACTCCATTTCTGAAAATTACAGCAAAAGCAAATGTTGTATATAACATTTAAGTCCCCAAAAGGACAAGGAACATATTAATTTTCTGGAAATTCCATGCAAATAACTGAACCCATTTTAACTAAAATCTACATTTGATAACATTGTGGTTACTCCTTAATGATTGCATAAAACCTTACAGCGCTGGGGCAGTTTTGGGCAGTACAGAAATAAGTGGCCAAAAAACGATCATTTAAGTGGGGGCTTTTTATGGATGTTCTGTTTTGTACATCTCTCTCTTTCTGATATCCATAGCATAACGAGGGCCAATGGAGGCAAAACCCCGATGACATATCAGAGTCTTCTCTCAATTGTATCCAAGATGGCCGCTCCTCGAAAGCCAGATCCTGCACTGAGCAAGGAAGATCTTCAAGGTAGGATAACGACACGTCAAAAGCACTCGGAGACAGATGGAGCAAATTCAGCTCATTGAACATTATATTGATCCACTAGTGGTTGATTCATAACGGAACTTACATTTATGCCTGCAACAAAAACTCTGCAAATATCTCTAGTCAAACCATGGTCAAAATGTCATCTTGAAACTTCTGCATTCTGGCTCCCCGCTGTGCATTAGGATGCATGCAGCTATTGGTAACCAGTGATGCAACAACCTTGTTAGGCATGGTCAGACTATGGCCAATCATAGTTCTTGCTCAAACTTTGTGGTTTACGGTCAAACTTTGTGGTTGAACTGTGGTTTACCAGCTTGGACTTGGGTGAAGTTAGTTAACTTTAGTTAACTTTAGTCCAAAGGCTAAACAATTAGTGAAAATTTGCCAATGGGTCAGAAACTTGGAAAGACCTTCCTGTTTCTTAACATATGAAGGGAGTTTCTTCTTCAACAATTGGTCGCAAAGATTGAAAGTCCAGAAAACAAAACGAGTATCTACAGATGTTCAGGTTTCTTGTCTTTCCAGATTGTAAATTACCAGTCACCTCAGATCATGACAGCCAATATGGAGTGCCGTCACTGGAGGAGTTAGGTCTTGATCCTAAGGATGCTGGCCCAGTTCTCTTTCCAGGGGGAGAAACAGAGGCAGTCAGAAGGATGGAAGAGCATCTGGAGAGACAGGTTTGTGAAGATTTCTTTCCAGAGGGGTGATTTTGCCTAATGGAAGAGCAAGTGTGTGTTTAATGTTGTAAAGATTTGTACTGCATGGACATGCATTTTTTGTTGCTTTGTGCTTTGTACTTTATCTATTAAAAATTACATTGTGACATTGATTGCTAATTGTATTCTTGAAACGTGTACCATTTCCTATTTATGCATCAGCTAAATAATGTCGTCGGCTTGCCTTGCTGTCATATCATCAAAAAGGTTGAACTGACAGCAATGCTTGAGTGTTTTACTGCTTTAACAGTGATATCATAATGCACAATTAATGTTGTAATAACTCTCAACCAGTGACCAAGGCCAAATATGATTTTGTTCGCCCCAAAGAACACGATCTTAACAAACTGTCCTGTCTTTAACAATCTGCCGTGCCTGTAACTTATGCCTCAAACTGCCGAAGCACTCTATGGTTTTATGGGTTCTTCAGGGAACAAATACATAATAATACAATGTTATATGAGTGATAATTAGTTACAGTCTTTGACTCACATTTTAGGAATGGGTGTGTAGATTTGAGAAGCCCAAGACTGAACCGAACACTCTCAGCCCAAGCACCACGGTGCTCAGCCCCTACCTGAAATTTGGCTGCCTGTCACCGAGGTTATTCTACCACAAGATTCAGGATGTCTACACACGCAAGGTAACGTAGGGAGGTGACTGCAGCAAGCCTTAAACACTCACTGGCAAGTCCTGAAATCTGGGAAATTCAGAATTTGCAACTTTTCAAAGTTTCAGCTGTTTTCGGCCAAATTCTCCCGTTTCGATTTTGGTTATCCATTCTGCCATGTTTAATCTTAAATAGGAATATCTTAAAGAGCATTTGCAGAAATGTCCTGCAATAAAATGTCTGAAGTCAAAGTGTTTCTGTTAATGAGTATTACGCTTCTCTCTTTCTGAAAACTGTGGGCATACTTTCCTTAAAAAGACAAAAGAAAGGGACTGATTTTGCAGAATGCGTATACCACACAAGCAGGCTCTCTACACTATATGGCTAAGCTAATGCTAATAAATCTAGCTTGGGTTTAGAAAGTCCCAATTCTGTATTTATTTCAATTTCTTAACCTGTGTACTCTTGCTAATCAACAGAAGAACCACAGTAAGCCCCCAGTCTCCCTCCATGGCCAGCTCCTATGGCGTGAGTTCTTCTACACCGTAGCTGCTACTACACCCAACTTTCACAAGATGGAGGGTAACCCAGTCTGCTTACAGGTTCCATGGGACACAAACCAGGAGTATTTACAAGCATGGAAAGAGGTGGGATCACTGAAGACAATCCTCCTATTAGCATGCCTCTGTGAAAAAAAAAGAATTAGCATTAGTTACCTATAAGACCCCTCTTTTTTGTCACCGTTGCTATTTTATGGAATTTGACCAAGTGGTACTCGGACTATACTTTCCTTTCAAAGGAATTCCTGAGAGCCATGAATCAGAAATAAAACTTCGCCAACTGTCACTTTAGGGGATTTCAAAAGATGGAGGGTCCTACTAACAATAACTAATGCTGAAAAATCTTTAATGAAGGATACAGATATTAGATAACCTGTTCCTGATGAAGAACATGAATAACACTAGAACAAACTCTTCTCCCCTCCTATTATTTTGCTTGTGGGGGCCAAAAAAGAGCAATTGCAGCTAGCAGTCGGGCCTGATCTGGGACACTGGTGCCATGTTGCCAGCGCTGATTTTAATACCTTATCTAGAAGAATCGCACACTTTATAACCATGAAATTAATGAATCATTCAAAGGAATCTGCAGTTGCCAAAGCAAGTTTGATGAGTTCAAACAAGATTTCTTTGATTGAAAATTGCTAGGAAGTATTTCATGAATTCATTTTCACACCAACAACCAATTGATATACATAGAAGTTAATTCTGCTTCATCTTAAAAATGCACACAAATTTGAAAAATGTATCTGTAGGACACTTTGTGTCACAAGCTATCATTGATTATTTTGACTGGAGAGTTTGCAGTTCAGGGAAGCGGTTCTGAACTGGTTTGTATAGGTAACAAAACATAACTCCATGTACTGCTATAGTGGTAGGCAGTTTTGTGCCAGCATTACAGACACATACATTGTATCTTTCTTCTTGTCTCAACTCAGGCTCGTACAGGTTATCCATTCATTGACGCCATCATGACCCAGTTAAAACAAGAAGGCTGGATCCATCACCTGGCCCGTCACGCTGTGGCTTGCTTCCTGACAAGAGGCGACCTGTGGATCAGCTGGGAGGAAGGACAGAAGGCAAGCTGCTTAGCAAAAATACTAAGCGAAAATATCTGTTAGGCAGAAATCAGCTTAGAAACAGTCACAAGCATTAAGGGCTCGTCTCAACTTGTATCCGGGATGAGTTCCTGGCAAGTTGCGGGTAGAATCATTCACTTTGTCCAGAAGAAGCTCTGCACTTGTCCCGGACATGTTCCCAGGACAATTTCATTAGAAAATGCTTGCAATTGACTCACCAACACTGATAACTTCATTGCTAGAAGATTGCGGGGACGTTGTTGAGAATCCTGCAACTTACAACCGATACAACGTCCACAACTTGTTCAGGATTCGTCCGGGATATGAATTGATAAACATGGCAGTTGTGTAGTTACAGACCCCTCATTTGTTTAGTCCATAAAGTGGTTTTGTTTTCATTCCAAAATGACTTCCACAACCATAGGTAGGTTTGTTCATCGTGGTGACCCTATTTATGTAATTTTGAACAATATCTCTTCATAGAATATACATTGTTACAGTTGATGTTGTGCGAAACAACATCTTTCATACTTGTCTTGTTCAATGCCAGCAGGTCTTTGAGGAGTGGCTCCTTGATGCTGATTACAGCCTGAATGCAGGTAACTGGATGTGGCTGTCAGCCAGTGCTTTCTTCCATCAGTACTTCAGAGTATACAGTCCCATTGTGTTTGGCAAGAAGACGGACAAAAATGGAGATTACATCAGGTAACAAGAATATAAACTGAGTTTATACATTATAGATTCTATTGGAGTTAGATTTTGTGTTTTTTCTGCTCTAGACTTAATTAAATTCTTTCCTGACTTTTGGTTGTATTAGTGATTGTCTGTTAAGGTTGTAAAGATTAGCATTATCAAAATTGTTTTTATGCTTATTTGCTTTGTGTTCCAACTATTCTTTTGCCACACTAACCAACACCTGTCTTCACAAAAAAAAAATTCATCACAGATATTTAAATATAAACCAATAAGTGGTAATCTCTGTATTCACCAATGTCCAACTAGAGACTCGTTTTAGTTGTTTGTCAAAGTTCAGCCATTATTGTATTACTATGTATTGTAAACATGATTATTAGTTGTGATTTTTTTCTGCAGAAAATATCTTCCTGTTCTGAAGAAGATGCCATCCCAGTATATCTACGAGCCTTGGACGGCTCCCCGCACAGTGCAGGAGAAGGCAGGGTGCATTGTGGGTACGGACTACCCCCGGCCCATCGTTGAGCACAGCGTGGTCATGAAACGCAACATCGAGAGAATGAAAAAAGCACGAGCTGAAAAGTATGGCAACAACAATGGGCCACAGAAGGCCATTTCCTCTCCAAAGACGTCAAGTGGTAAAGTGTTCTTATTTGTAATAAGCATTTGTAAAAGAAAAAAAAAGGGTAAAAACAGGCTTGCAGCTTTTCCTCGGATCAGCTGATTTCCTCTTTTTCCACTTCACACTTATGACATTAAAAAAATGACAGAAAACCACTACAGGTATATAAAGTCTTGTAAAGCTTGGGATTTTGTCTGTTTTTTGTTTTTTTTTACGTTTCTGGCTCTCCTAATTCACTAAATTCACAATTACAACAATGGAGCCTTTTAATTCACTCATTCTGTCGAAAGTGTTGCATGTACACTGTCAACATCACCAATGACAGACTGTTATGTGTACATGTATTCAGAGGCAAGATATAAACCCTTGTGATTTCATATGTTTCTCTGTCTCATTTGCAGGTGGCACAAAAAGGAAGAGTAAATCTAAGGACGACGCAGGGAGTTCTAACAAAAGAACCAAGAAAATGACTGACTTTTTCTAGCATGGACACTGGACCCATCGAACCCCTCCCCCTCCCCACTCAAGAACCACTTGATTCACAAAGGAGAAGGAGTCCATTTGTAGTTCCACTGCAGAACACTTGATGCACCTGCATGCTCAGTGCTAGAGATTCCACTGCTTTACTTTGAGGTCAAAATTGTACACAGTAAATATCCACTTGTATTTATTCTACCAGTCCACATGGATGAGAGTTATGATGGAGTCAGTCACAAAACCTAAGTCATCACAAGTCACCTTATCTCAAGTCAAACCACTCAAGTGAACTATCATGAAAATATTCCTTTGTCAATGTTCATCACCTATTACTGGTGGTCAAACTCGTGATTTGACCAGTGATATGACTTGATAATAATGGGTACTTATATAGCACTTTTTAACTATAGACACAAAGCGCTTTACGTTATCATTACCCTGATCATTGGGGCAATGGAACATTCCAAATACAATCTCAGCTCCCTGGGTAGTATACAGCTAGATAGCCATTTTGGCAGCTTAAATCAATCACAACCATATCTGCCCTCACAGGTACCCATATACTACAGGGTGAGGAGAAGCAATGAGTGACAAAGTGCCTTACCCAAGGGCACATGCGCCTTAAACAAAGCATTTCAAAACAAAGCATTTTAAAACAAAGCATTTCCATAAGGACTTGTGACTGACTCGACAGTATATATCTTCTTACCTTGTCTGCTATTTTTTTTTCTACTAGGTAACATTTGGAATGCTAATATATGTTTCGAACTTGAGGTGTTCTGTTCATTTTGAGCGCCAATTTGAAAATGTTGGTGTTTGCAAATGTCATAAAACAGTGCTATTGGGTTTGTTCTATTATTAGCGATATGAAACTAGATTTGCACAATAAATTATTTCAGATAAAACTTGCTGATGTCTAAGATCTCAGTCTTTGTCCACAGTAAATGCTCCATCGAAAATGTATGTAAAAAAAATCAAACATATTCACTTTTGTTTAGCAAGAAATGAATGTTTTTTTGGTCAAAACCTCTCAACTAAAATTAATTAAATTGGTTAACATAGGTCAAGAGATTAAAATGTTTGGTTATAAGGGCTGCTGTCGTTTTAACATCTGTGAAAAAAATGGGCTTGCTTTAATGTAAAAACAGATGGCAAAAGTAGTCAAAATTACATTGATCCCCCATTACAAAAAGTCAGATATTTTCACCGAAATCAATTGCACGGATGCAGCAATATTGACAAAAATATTCTTATCGCGTCAAAAAGTTACTTCTGATTTGTTTTGGACAAAAGTAATTTTTGGACAAGTTAATATTTTTTATGTAAGATTAACCCCTTACAAGTTTAAGTTTACTTTTGGTTGAAAAACAAAAATTGCCCAATGGTCCCTTACAGGCATCCCATAATGATGACTTGACAGGGATGCCATTCAGAAGAAGTAATGGACTGAAAATGGGGGGTCAATTGGTTAAAATATTAATTGTTCTTAAAAAAAAATTGCCAAAATCCTCAGTACATTAATATCAAAGTATGCTCAGTCTTACATCAACAAAGTTTTACTACCAGTTGCAGAGAATTGATTTTTGGACTAAATTTAATTAAAAATGTAATCCAAGTCTTTTGCAGAAAAGTAATCCTGCCATCCAAGTCCTGAAACACATTTCTAAACATTTTCTGGATAGATGTGACAAAAAACGGGACACAGAGTTTGGACCAAATCAGTCAAAATAATGAATTTTTCTTAAAAAAAAAAAAAAACACCAAAATTACCAGCTATCGATATTAAAAAAATGCAAGGTTAGCGCCTTACAGTTTTGGATTTTATTTTGGTTGAGAAATAGAAATGCTTGAAATTTGCCAGGAAGATTCCTGAACGTTTTCCAGCTAGGCATGCCTTTATAAAGAAAAGAAAAAAACTTGTTGAAAATGTTTGACCCGACAAGTCAAAAATGATATTTTTTATATTGAGACGTCAGAAAAGTGGTTTTGGGACCAACTACTGTTAAAAATTTAAGGTTTACTTCTTGCGATTGTTTGTTGAATTTAATTAATTACAGGAAAAATAAATGACATGAAACCTGCTGGGTATATTCTTTTCGGTCCGCAAACCAGTCTTTCTTTAATCTTGATGCTTATTCCAAATATAATTTCAGAAAAAAACATCTGTAGAAACGAAACCAAAAATATGACTTTACCCTCAATAAATCCCTTAACTTTATTCATAAGTACCTGAGACAGTTTACCCATTCGTATTGGTCGAGAGCACGTTACGTGGTTGGATTTAAACCGCCGGCTGAGTACAACACCGCTGCGTTCTGCGCCACGTCGCGCAGTTCAGCGCCACATCTCGCAGTACAGCGCAAATGTCCATTTGAGGAAGTACCATTGACTAGAGTGGCAATGCAGATGGTTTCACAAAACAAATTCAATAAAACTGTTGAACTAAAAGTCAGAAATTAGTGGGGGTTTTTCCACTTGTTTTTGGCTTAGGAACCGAACGGTATTTATGAATGGGAATAAATGTGCTTAGCCGGTTATATCACAAATACGCAAAACCGGCATGAGGCCGGGCCTGGTCACGGCGGATGACCCACGCCTTCGGCTCGGGGCAGTTATCCGCGTCCAGTTCCCTCGCTGGTTTTAAACGAACTTGTTTAAAACTGACCACAAGTTCCCTCGATTAATAAAATTACATCAAATTATCTGTAGAAAACCAACCATAACGAGGACTTTACCCTCAGTCATTAAATTCTTTAACTGTAATTGAAAGATGATTTAGATAAAAGATATACAATACAGAAAAGATAAATAGAAACCTTTTTCTACGAAGAAATACTTATTAATCCACACCATAAATTATTATTACCCGTCATAACTGCATAATGTTTGATATAATTATTAAATACACCAGCACCCTTTGGACTATAATTAAATCTAATAACTATTTTTATTAGAGCCTACAGGGAAAAAATGACTTGACTGAATTTGCATAAATTGTATACATTATTAACACCAATGTCGTTTTCATGATTACATCCAGAAAGCGTTTTTGGGTGTTCGGTTTTTTCAAGCTAGTGAGAAAGACATGACATGAAAAATGATTTCATGGATTCTTCATAAGCATAATATATTCTGGTGTTGAATTGAATTCAAACAATGAATGTTTCAAATGTGTGCAATGGAAAGAATCATTTCATTCGTTAACACATGGAATGTTCCATTCCACTCGGCCCATCTGTCACCTCATGAATTTAGTCTTTAATGCACTCGTAAAGATAATTAGTTGTATACGGTACTATACTTCACTGTAAAAATATCATTCAAAAGAATATAGTCTTTTTCTTCTTCTTGCCTATAGCTGAAGAATACAGAGAATACGTTAGCAACAAACTTAATGCATGCTGGTGTACTATTATAGCGTACTTCACTGTCAAAATATCATTCAAAAGAATAAAGTCGTCTTCTTTTTGCCTATAGCGGGAGAATACACAGAAAAGATGACAACCTTCATGTTGTAGTTGCCACTATAATGTCATCAATTCGACAAACTAAATAACACTGTAGAAACGATTCTTAATTTGCAACAAACTAAATGCATGCTGGAGTCCTACTTCACTGTAAGCGGATCAGTCAAAAGAAGTCTTTTCCTTCTTGCCATTAGCTGGAGAACAAATGACAATCATCCCGTTGTCTAACCTAAATGTCATCAATTCAAAAATAATACTAGAAACAATTCTTAATTTGCAACAAACTTAATGCATGCTGGAGTAACCCAAAACGTTTCCAAGGCATTTTCATGAATTGAAATAAGCTTAGGAATGCCCGTAAGAATGGGATTACAGCACCAATGATTGTCTCGAACAATAGCCAACAAAACAACTACGGATTGTGATTGTCGAGGGTGCAGTTGGGTCATTCAATCAATTGAGAGTCATCAAACGTGTGACAGATTTTCCGGTTTCGTTACTCAAATACTTTGTCATTTGTCATTCAAGTATTATGTGGAAATTAAGACTTTTTAATTTGTTGGGTAGGTAGCTTGCTATTCACAATCACTCTTAAAGGATGACTGCATTAAAGAGTGCATCAGGATTATATAATCATATATGTCGGATGTTACAGGGGTATGTGGACCATGAATTTATAGAATAACACGGTCTTTACACAGAGTTCATACCATGATAAATTCGGCGACCAGCTATTAAAGGCTATTACTATCAGGCCAAAAAAAAGTCTCCGGTTTCTGGTATGCTCGTGCGTCGCCGTAGCCATGCGCGTCGGCAAAATGAAAAAGTTTTTTTTCAATGATAGATGATGTCTCAAAACCGCCAAACTCACTGGTTTGACTGGAATCCTGCTGCTGCACAATTTTAACGTGTTTTAATATGGGGTTATGATCGAGAATAAGCTTTATGTGGCCTCTCTGGACTCCATATATTTGCACTAAGTTTAGTCGGGCACCATTTAGTGCAGTCATCAGCCGACATTTGAAGCAAAAAAAAACAGGTAAAAAAAAAAGCCGCGTCGCCGCACCACTTTTGGGGCAAGCTCCATACCAGAATCCGGAGACTTTTTTTTTGGCCTTAGCTTCGGTCCAAAAATTGGGCCACCGGTATCAAATGATCGAAAAAGAACAATGTTCATAGCGATATATGGCAAGGTATTCACTTCTAAAATTGGGGAATGTGTGATAGCTTTGCAGTGTGAGCGGTGGCATTTTTTAGGCGTTAACGCTTTTATTTTATTTTTCAAAATGGCCGCCAATATGCTTGAACCTCATTAATTATATGTTGTAACAAGCAATTGGGCCATTTTTTTGAAAAAAAAGTGATAGCACCCAAAAAGCTGCTACCGCTGAAATGCTCTCACACATTTTCCAACTACCGGGGTGCATACCTTGCCAAAAATCACAATGACCATTATCCCCCACATTTGATACCGACCAAACCCCCAAGCTGATGGACTGAGATTGAATCACTGCATACTATCACGCTGACGCGCAGTTAGTACGTATGCATGATCCTCTGACCAACAGGGTTACTAAAATTCGCACTATATGTGACGTGTATGATTTTGGTGGCATATCAGAAATATAGATTTTCGCTGAAATAGCCTGTATATGTTTTTTTCAGACTGTGGCTTCTAGTTCCTCCTTGTTGAGGGCAGCATACTTGCTGATCCGTGGGTTTGCGTTCATTTCTAGCATATCGTCCGGACGCACCACTCCTCCCATGGTGGTACCGTGCCGACGGTGCACGTCCGCTGCCTCTTCACGGTGCTGAGTCAAAGCTGGTCCCCAGGAATCCAGGGGTGAGGTGATGATGCGCAGGCGCTGTCAACAGGCATATGAAAAGGATACCATTCAATTATTGTAGCCAAGGCAACTAAGGCACACTTGGCATGGATGCAATGAGGGTATGTGTCTCCTTTTATAATTTTTTTTTACTGCATAAACGTCATTTTCCCCCACATTTTAAGGATAAAAAAGACACACAAAAAACCCAGATATCAACAGAGCTATTGCACAACGACAACCATCCGTAGCAAGTCAAGGGGTTACACATGCGTAATATTTGCACATAGTAAGATATGTTTAACAGGGTGCAATGATGAGAACAAGATGTGCTCGTTCAGGGTCCCTGCACGTAATACAACATTCCCTAAGCTTTCCCTGAGAAATTCCAAAAATTCCATGAGAAATATAACTTGAACTTGAGTTTGCTATGTTAAGAAGCGCATGTAGCACAGCCAATAAGCCTCTGCACTGATGACGTCACACTTTGTTTACATGTGCACTTTCCTATCCCCCTATGGAGCCAGTGGGGGCCCACGGTCCACTGAGCACCACAGGATAGCGCACACATAAACAACGATGTGACGTCATCAGTACATAGGCTTATTGGTATTGTTATATCTGAACTGTAATATTCACTCTGCCAAGTGCTAAAAAGCCACCATAGCCACTTGGACACATGGCAACAAAGACGCCAAACAAACAAAAGCATCCCTGAGTTTTCCCTGATTTTTGGTGTTTGTCAAAAATTTCCTGATTTTTCCTGACTGGACAAAATGAAAATGGAAACTCATTTTCCCGGTTTTCCCTGATTTTCAGAGTGGCTGGGAATCCTGTGACAGAAATGTGGGCGGGGAGGACTCTATCCCCATAATGGACGTGTAGGGCTATCACTGCACTGCTTACATCCATGAGACTGCCTTTCTCCCTGAGAAGATCAAAGACCACTCGTCCGGGGATACCAACAAGAGTTGTGATCATGATGATCCAGCCTATCGCCTTGGCCCACGGTGGATACTCCCCATTGTATTCTGGCTCCGTCCAGCTGACCCAGTTGAAGACCAACACAATCTGACGCGACAAGAAACGTACAAAAAATATCACATCTATCACAAACAAATGCATTATAGCATGCAAGTCATTTCCAAAGTTAACATGATCAATTAAGATTCTGTTAATGATCCCAGAAAAAAGGGTGCACATATGCATTCCAGAAAGTTCCGAGTTTAGATGATGGCCAGGGTCCTCTTGCAAAGACTTTTTTTCAAAGTAGTTTTACAGCATGACAAATGAGTTTAAACATAATTGCAGTTGTTTTTTACAATGAGACCAATTTTTAGTGTGGTGGGCTGAGGGATTAGAAAACTCTCTTCACAAAAAATGTTAAGGCACATTTCTATGTACCTGTAGACGAATACAAACAATTTCAATCCTCCTCAGTTCTTATTTGAATGATGACAAGGGGAGTAAAGTACTAGCTCAAAAAAGAAGATTTTCGAGGCTGGGGAACTCAGGCCCAGGAACAGATCAAACATAAACTGATGATGATATAAGTCAACTTACTGCCATTGACGCTGGTGTCAAAAACACCCAGTTGAGCAGCCACCACTTGAAGTGCAGTGCATCCACGAAGCGGTCCCCGATCATGGTGCGGATGTCGTTCATGAAGCGACGGACGCCGTAGCCCCAGCTGAGACCCGCGGTGATGAGGAACGCAAAGAGCACCATGGCGAAGTTGGCACCGTAGTTGTCCAGGAGAGACATCCAGTAGGGTCCAGTCTAAGGAGGGCGATGGGGGGAAGGAGATAGCGAGATCTTGGGTAAAATAGTTAGCCAGAAGAAGAGGTAAACTACAGATGGAGAGATGAGTCAAGACTCAAGAAAGTTGAATGCATATACGCCCGACAAAGACAATGTCTATAAGAGCCTACTGTGGACGGCTATGCATGTCTTGCAATGGAAACGGACTTTTTCATATCTTAGCAGTCTAAATTATGGCTGTGGGAATTAGATGAGACACTACTTTTACTTATCCTCCAGGATTCGTACCAATTTAAGTAGTTTCAGCAGGCAGACTAAAAGGGTGGTGCTCCAACATTTCTGACTGGTAAAACTAAAATTTTCCCTCCCCTACCATGTTGAAAAATCTTGATGTTCCAGTGAGTTCAGCAGAACTTTTGCATTATATACAATTACAGTGTATATTGCATTCATTTTACGGCCTGCAAGCACTGGTTAAAAAAAAACGGGATATTAATATTTAAATGAAACTTCCACTACTAGACCAAGGATATTCTGTTGATACCAAATTTTGGGGTTTTTTAAAGAGTTTGGAATTTATATCTATATACAAATTTGTGTTGACTAAACAAAACCACAAAACAGGCTAGAAAGTCTGCAGATTTAGGAAGTAATTATTGAACAGGAAAACGAACGGCATCATATTCTAAACAATGTTGTCTATTTTGCCACAAAAGGTGTCATTGAAATACATTTAACTGTCAGCTAGACAGCCAACACCATTCACATGATAAAAGACTTCAGTTATTTCATAAAATCTGTCTACGTGAACCTTTTAAAACTTTTCTCAATCATATTGATTGCGACAGTACAGTTCACTTGACCTCCGGTAAACTTCAGTATCAGTCCATAACATTTACGTGAGAAATGAAAAGGATTTTCCTCAAACTGTGAAGCAAGGAACGCCAAAATAACCGGTTTGGTCTATGACGCAATGAGGGTCCTAGTGGTACACATTCTTCCAACTCGTAACTAAACCTCTCTATTAACCCTAATGTACCTGAATCCTTAAAAATCCACACCCCTGTTGTGGAGGATTTTGGCGGATTCAGAATACTCCATATTGAAAAAGTTGCGGGATTTTGATTGATCCAGGACAGTAAGCCTAGCGGTACTGTAGGATTTTGATGGATGGATTCAGGATCTCAACAGTTCGTCACCGACACCACTAAGTAACACCCATCTACATACCAGTAAAAACTAGCAATCGGAGAAAACGGCTACTAAAGGTGAACGCCTTCTAAAACAACAATTTGCGTCAAAACGACAGAGTATTTTCAGTTGGGTTTCTAGTTGTGGACATTTGATGAATTGAATTAATATAATCTGCTGTTTTTCATCCGTTTGTGTATTAAATAAACAAGAAATAAGAGAAAAGATGAGTATTAGTTCGTGAAACCGAAAAGGCTGCGAAACTGTTAAATTTCGTTTTCACGAAGTAACAGTCTTCAATGTATTCAACACGAGGAAAGTGCAACTTCAGGTCAGCGTGCGCGCGCTCATACAACTTATTACAAGAAGAGTGTTACTTCGTGAAAACGTTTTTGCTCACTTATGAGCAGAGTGCGCGCCATGCATTGCAATGGTAAATGGAACTTGAGTGTTACTTCGTGAAAACGAAAATTGTCACTTTTGCGTAAAAGTTGCCATCGGATACTTAGCGTAATTATTAAAGTATAGCTCTTGAAGCTTTGAAACTGCGTGCAATGGTAGGCCTTGATGAATAATGTTTAAAAATCAAAAAAACTGAAAATCGAAAAAAATATGGTTTAACACGGTAGAGTGTTACTTCGTGGTGTCGGTGACGAGTTGAACTCATTGGCTATATGTGTTTGGTGTGTATGAGGTTTAATGAACATGAGATGTAAGTAAACTTCGCACGGTGACAAACGTACTTGTGTTATGCAGCTCAAACTGCACAAGAAAAGCACCAGGCACATTCCCAGGGTGACGTACGTCTTGCGGTGTGGTGGGAAGATGTTGGGGAATTCATCGACCAGGCCCGTTGTTAATCTTTCCACGCCTACAAACTGGAGAGGGGGGAGGAAAGGTCACATCAGGTGATGAACAACTATTTAACCCTTCATTTCTTACAGTGAGAGGCATTCGGTTATGTCATGGGGGAAATTTAAAAAAATAAAAATAAAAAACAGAAGCATTACCGACAGATGCCACATTTACCCAAAGAAACTTTTGATTTGTAAAATGTTACGAAGGCGAAATCTAGGTTGATATAAATGTACAGGCAGACATGGTGTCATGTGGTATGGGTGGCTAGTGCCTAAAGCTCTCGCCTCTCACCAATGTGACCCGGGTTCGATTCCCGGCTCGGACCATCATGCGAGTATACAGTTATTCGTATTGTCCTGTGCAAAGAGGATTTTTCTCCGGGCTCACCGGTTTTCATCCCTCCGCAAAAATCAACACTTTCGATCTCTGGCTGTGCTCCGTGGTCAGACATGGTCGGAAGGCGGCTGCATAAGGCGCCTAAATGTCTTGGCTCGACCACGTTGTATAGCCGCGTCCTTCGCAATTCAGCTTCTCAGCTGCGAGTAAGGATGACCAGCCTCCCGAATTATTAATATTATACAATTATTATTATAAAGAGGGTTACAGCCCCACTGCCCCCTCCTCAAGACAAAACGCGACACCAATTTGAACTCACAAAGGAATTCCCTGCAACTTTGCTTTGTCATTTTGTTGACATCTACAAATTAATCAAGTCAACCGCCTAAAATAATCCCAACGTACACCAAGGCGTAAAATTCAGTATATCCTTACAAATGTGGAAAATTAAATTTGGTTTCTTCAATTTTTTTTGTTATTATCATTTATTGACAGCTTATTTGTAATTCACTGCTTCAGCATTTTATGGTAATTTGTATTTCAATTTTCGCTGTCATTCACATGTACTTAATTGCTTTTTGAAAACACATTAAAAGGTTGAACAGTTTTAAGGTTGAACAAAGAAATTGTCTGGATGGGGTTTGAACCTGCGACCTCTGGATTGCCGTTCTGGTGCTCTACAAACTGAACGATCCAGCCCTGTGTTGGAGGTTGCCCATTGTTGTATGCGTCTTTGTCGAAGGGGCGCTAGTCAGAAGCCGTAAACCAATATATGCCAAGTACCTCTTGGTATTATCCCGGGTTTGCAACATTGCCAGGATCGTGGCTTTGGGTTCGATCCTTGCCTACTGTCACAATTTATGGCTTCTTATACTAGCGTCCCTTGAACAAAGACATTGACAAAATGGGGAACCACCAACATAGGGCTGGATAGCTCAGTTGGCAGGTGCAGGTCGCAGGTCCAAATCCTGATCCTGTAATTTTCTTGTTCGACCTTAAAATAGTTATAATGCACCTACTTAGTTTCCCTATGTGGTTTCTTTGGTGAGCACAATCCTTAATTCCTTACACGTTGAAGCAATTAAGGGTACGACTGAAAATTAAAAAGCGGGAAATAACTCTGGAAAATACCTGGCTGTCCAGACCCAGCGTGATGAGCATAAAGAAGAACATAATGGACCACAATGGTGCAGCTGGCATTCTGGATACGGCCTCTGGGTAGGCGACAAACGCAAGGCCAAACCCTGTAAGAATTAATATACCAATGAAGAACTTGACCGGGAGGGATTGGAACCCACAACCTTCAGATCACTATGTACCAGTACTAGATCCAGGACTGCATTATGGGGACATTTTCTATTGCTATAACGGAAGTTTTGACCAAGTAAAAATGTTTGACCTTTTGTTACTATTATACTGTGTGGATTGTATAAATGTTGTTTTAAATTGAATTGAATTAAACTGAAATTTGCCGGGACTCTTTAGTGCCCCGCCCCCGCAATGTTTTGCTTTTTAGACTCGGGCCTATATCTACTGTACAACAGTATAGTGAGGTGCACACAACATCCTTATAAGTATATGTAGTCTATAACTGAGCTATCTGGTCATGGTGGGATCCATGACTGACTGACTGTTACTTGTGAACTAGGCTTGCATTTGTCTCACCTTGGCTCAAAATTCGGACTTTACTCTTCCATGAGGGCCAGCCTATACAGTCCTCTTTGCACCTATCTCACTGACTGACTGACTGACTGACTCCCCGACTCCCCGAATGTCACCTGTAAATTAGACTTGTATAACCAAGCGCTTTGGTCCATAAATTGACGCAGATGACTACCTAGTTCCCTGTTACCAAATTGGTCTAGGACTAGCTTTGATTACTAGGCTGGTCCCCTAATGCAGATGATAGCAACCCAAGCTTCACCTTGCCTGGCAACCTCCGAGACTTCTTTCCCCTGGACGTGAGCCATGTAGCCCAGGATGGAGAAGATAGCAAAACCTGCCAGGAGACTGGTGGCTGAGTTAAGGAGAGTCACAATCATGGTGTCCCTGCATCACAGAACATTAGTGGGAATGGAGTACAGTATTTGTAAGTACCGTGGCATTACTTATTATTTTATTAGTTATTCATCTCTGTTTAAATTACGTTTTGTTTTATTTGTAAGACTGACCATGCCATTATTTTTTGTTAGTTTTTTTGTGTGTTTTATGTTTTTTAAGTGTTAAACCTTGCGTTGAGGTTTGTAATGCTTCTTTTTTACATTATGTTACATATTTTAACATTGTTCAAAAACTGTTTTCTTAACTTTCAGTGTCTTTCTGGCTAACCTTGTGTTGTCTTATTGTTATTAATCTTTGTAACTTGCTTTTATCACGCTTTTTAATTTTTCTTTTAAATTTTATTTTAAGTAAGAATTTTCCTTTTCGAGTTTTATCAAAATACTGGGCTAATTTTGCTTTGTTTTTCATATGTTGATTGAATTTATATTTTGTAATCCTATATTAGGTGTTTTTATATGTTTATATTAAATTTTATTTTATTTTATTTTATTTTAATTTAATTTGATTTAATTATTTTTACAGGGCCCTTAAGAAAAGAAGTTTTGATAAGGCCAACAAATTGGATGTAATGCAAAAGTAAACGCACTGTTCGTATAATTGCATTGAAATGGTTTTGGAAAACAGTGCCTGCTATGTACCTTTTTTTATAAGAAAATTAAAAATATAAAACGATTGGAAAATGTAACCTGTAGGAGTTGTTATGGAACTTGTTGTAGGACGCCAAGGTATGCAAACCGCCGGTACCAACACTGAGAGAATAGAAGATTTGCACCACTGCATCCAGCCAAACCTGACCACATCAAAATGTGAAGAAAATAAATCTCAAAGATATATCACACTCATGAGCCATATACCTGTAACACAGAACTTTACATTACATTTATTTATGGAAACTCAGCGTGAAAACAAACAAAAACAAAACGGGAAACAAAAGAAGCATGCTCAACAGATGTTTAAAAATACAGTCATGGACAACTCACAAAACCTACCATGAAGCATGCCGAATTTTTGTTTTTAGGAATTGTTGTTGTTGAAAAGTTAACATGAACAATTAGTACTAAAGCATACCAAATTGATTTTTAAATTAAACAAATTGCTCAATATATTTTTTTGTCTTGAAAAATAAAGCGGTGTTGTAGAACCCTTTATGAAGGATAAACGTTTCTTCTTTGGTCATTCAAAAGGCAGTGATACTGAGAACCAAAATATCGTTCATTTGTGCAAACAACGTCGTCAATTATGTGTTGCAGATGCTACAAAAGTCACAGGTGTGAAATTCTCAAAACGATTCAAGTATGGTACCTTGGGCTTAATAATGTACTCCCAATGAGGAGTGATGAAGAAATACACCCCTTTCTCTGATCCAGGTAAAGTCAGGCCACGGACCAACAAGATGACCAGCACTACGTACGGAAAGGTTGCAGTGAAATAAACCACCTAAATAGACAAATCAGATAAAAAATACCTCTGTTTCTCTACATGTCCATAACTCTACCCTTTAAGTACACCAATTATTATTACTTATAATTATTTCTTGTAAGGAAACCAATGAGTCCTCAAAAGCGCTCTGGGCACTGCAGCTCACAAGCCTGAAGGAACCTGTAGAGAAGACTCACTTAGAAGAAATTACAGTTTAAGAGGTGGGAGGAAAAACCCAGACTACTACTCTGGGGGAAACCCACAGAATCAGGTAGACTGAAAACCCAATCCACATGTTGGCCTAAGCGGGATTCGAACCCTGGTCACAGCGGTGGGAGGCGAGGAAAGTACCACTATGCCAACCTAACTCCCTCGGGATGGCTGCTGGGGTGAGATTCGGGAAAAATGAAACATCCACGAAATAGTCGGCAGAGGTTTAGAGGGTTGATCACCGAGGTCCCAAGAGCATCGGGTCTAAGGCATAATGTTTGTACAGCACCCCTAAAAACCCATTCATGTATATAAACTTGTATAAAACCACCTTTATGGTAAAACCTCAGGAATTCCAGATTTTGCTTTCCATCTGTTGAAAATTGAAAGTTGAGATGGTTTTCACTTCACACTGCATTCTTAAAGTAATAGATTAAAATGCTGTGGTAAATGAGACATGCATTAGGAAGACATTTCTGGTCCTTTCTTTTCCCAGCGTAATTTACAATATTATAGGTATGAGCAGTGGCGTAGCCACGGGGGGGGGGGGGGGGGGGGGGGGGGAGAGACAGCCCCCACCCCCAGTCGGCCCCCCCCCCACACACACACACTGAGATTATGAGTTTCTAAAAAAATTATCATTGATCTACATGACGCCCCATGAAATGTTCAGGCACCCCAGCACCCCCCCCCCCCCCCCCCCCCCCCCCCCACCCCACTGAAAAATTCCTGGCTTCGCCACTGGGTATGAGCCAGCCATGGGTATTCCTTACATATATTGCCTTTTATTTCCTAGTTGTATTTTCTGCAAACTGAATGGTTCATGTTGGTACCACTTAATAAACCATTCTCCCTGGAAACATAACATAGGTCAATGTTTACCTTTCCTATGGATTTAATACCCTTGACTTGGCATAAAAACACAACCAAGTAGGAGATCATGAGGCACAGTAGCAGCTGCCAAATGATGGAACCTGTTTCGTTCATACTGGCCGATTCCTGGACAACTGCTCTTCTGCAAGCAAAACCATTTGGAGCAAAAGAAAAAAGGTTAAGAGGTGGGAGTTATTTGACAACCAATGAAACAATTGCGCATATTAGATTGGCTTTGTACCAAATAATGCAAAATTATGAATATTTGCCTTTTGTACCTTTGTTTGGTTTAAATCACACATACTGCTCAAATAAGAAGGGTGCGAAAACAACTCAGTGGAAACAGTCAGTGCGACAGTTCCGGATCACTTGATTAAAGAACTTAATGCAACTGTAACAAAACTTTTCGAGATTTATTTAATCTACATTAACACCTCTTCCTGTGTGAAAACCCCCCAAAAATTATCAAACAAAACTTTTAACCTGAACTTGTAACAGACTTACATCCAATACTCCTCGCTGGGTGATTTGCGCATGGCTTTCAATGGGTCGGTGTATTTAGTTAAGCTGAAGTTTCCGGAGTCCAAGACTGTGATGTTTAAATCAGCCAGTTCATTGTCAGTGAGGTTCGTTAACGGCAGGCAGTCATTGTCAGAAGTGATCACGCCTCCTGCACTCAAGCAGTTTACAACAAGGTCACTGGAAATACCAAAGAAAATAACGGTATGATTAAGGTCTGTATCAATACCAAGTTGAACGAGTAAGAAACTGACTATAGAGGGATGTGAACCCGTAACCTACGGATCCAGAACAACGTGGTACATGCTTTTACCAACTGAGCTAGTTGGAACATTGCCGGTATAGTTTTTCAGAGGTAAATGTAGCAGGTTCGAATCCAACTTCAGTTAATTCTGTTGCTATGTCTTATATTATTTAAAAGTGAACCTACTCAATTTCCTTTGTGAATAATTTCATGACTATCAAGCTCTTACTATGTTTGGGGTGTAGATGTATTATTTTTACCTTCAGCATTTGAAAGAAATGATGGCGTTTGATTGTTTTGCTACCTACACTTAGCTAGGTGTCTTCCAGGGCTTATGGTTTGATTGGTTTGCTACCTGCACATAGGTGTGTTCCAGGGCTTGCCGCAGCCAATCCAAGGCAGGGAGGATGTGAAGGAGATGAAGAAATAATAGAAAGTGTAGGTGATGACGACACCGTAACTGATAGTCAGATAGAAACACACAAGGAATTGCCCGTAACTCAGACCTATGTGTGGGAGAACAAAAATAATGAAAGTTAAAAAGTTCACAAGCTGACCTAATTACCAGAAGCAAACTTCAGTAAAATAAACATTTTCACTTCAACTTGTTGTGCACTGCAATTCTCAACTGGGGAGTCAGGTTGGCGCAGTGGACATCACTGTCCTCGCCTTCCACCTCTATGGCCCGGGTTCGATTCCCGCCCCGTTCCACATATGGATTGGGTTTTCCAGTCCCTACCTGAATGTTGGGGTTTCCCCCAGAATAATTGTCTGGGGTTTTCCTCCCACCTCTAAAATGGTAATTTCTTCTCATTTTCTGCTATCTACAAGCTTCTTCGGGCCTATATGCATCTAACTGTGCATATAGGGTCAGTATAAGAAATCCTAACGGGGCTTGGTTTCAATACCAGAAATAAAATAATAAAATAATAATCTATGGTATTTTGAGAAGATTGAGCAAAAGTAGTGTAAATGTTTCATTGGGCTATGAGTTAAGCTTTTGAAAGGTCATCAAAGGTACAGATTTATACAGAATTCTTTGAAAGACTGACACTATACAAGTCAATTTATGGGATTTCAGTGTTTTATTTCAGGAACCCACTCTCACAGTATTCAAGTAAAACATAGAGATTTCCAAAGATACAACAAAGACATAATATTTTATTGCTCACTCTGAACTTGAAAAGCTTTTTGAATACACCTGTGAGCATTGGAATGTGCAGCAGAGTTTGTGACTTTGCTTGCTTCAACAGACTTTAGCGGGAATCTTAACCTTTGAGAATGGGCAGGGCTCGCCAGCAGGTCATCAGGCCCAAGCTGCAATACTGGCCGAAATTAATCTCCATGAAGACCAGGGGCATGCCAGCAAAAGCAAGACTCAGGAAATACGGAATCAGGAATGCTCCTGTGAAAAACTCAACACAAAAAAACAGACATTTAATTTTTTTTTGGACAAGTATCTACAGCATGATCAATTAAGACAAACTGTTTGGTGAGTTGGGAACTTGGGATCTCTGTTGTAGATTGAGGATTATTAACGATTGGGTGGCTGATGGTGTTTTCATTTTTCAAGTGAAAAAAAAGATAACAACAATGGAGTCTTATATAGTGCACGTATCTACCAACAATCGGGTACTCAAGGCCCTGGATATTATGTCTATTATTAAAGAAAGGTAAATAAAGTTGATGAGAAATATGAGACCCATTATGTAGCTCCTTATAAGGGTTTACAAGGTGCTGCGGCGCATATTGCAGCCACTGCCAGAAACACCGGGGCAAACCCCTTCTCTTAGCGAAAAGTGTTACTGGGTTCTTTAACGTGCATTACACAACACACGGGACCTACGGCTTTACGTCCCATCCGAAGGACGAAGCAATAATGGTGAAGTGCCTTGCTCAAGAGCACAAGCACCATGTTCCCCGTCAGGATTCGAACCCATGCACCACGGCACACGAGTCGAACGCCGTAACCGCTGGACCATAGCACCCCATAAGATGGTGGATGAAGGTTGAAATCAACAAATATACGAGAACAAAGGCTTTATCCCTCAGCACCTATATCATTACCGTGTAATTATTATCTGATGAATCAAAAACCAAGTCGATCAAAATATTTCAATATTGGGAAGAGCACAAAATCGCGCACAGGATCCATTGCTGAATATGTAAACTGTGTTTGCCAATCCGCTTAGGAGAATTTGACCAATGAGAGCTCTTCCGGGGAAAACATTCAGCCAATAGGCACCTTCTTTGCTGAAGGATGCTTTTGGTGGAAGGGAGGCATGGGGCCGTATCATAAGTCTGACGTCTCAAAGGTCCGACGACTCATAAGTCCGAAATTTCGACTTATGAGGCGTCGGACTTATGAGGCATAACATTTATTTATTCCGCCTCATAGGTCCGACGCCTCATAGGTCCGACGCCTCACAAGTCCGACGTCGGAAAAAACGACGCGTCGGACCTATGAGGTGTCGGAACTATGGACCGTTACAACAAAAGGTTGTCCGACAAGTCAAGAACGAGATTTAACACAAAAATTACAACGTTTAAGTCCGCGAAGTTGTCTACTTACGAACGGCGCACTGTGCACAGCATAACTGGCTGCAGATCAGTCCGCCAGCGCGCAGATTTTGGCGCAAGGGTTGATGCTTACGGGCGTAAATCTGGGGGGGGGGGGGGGGGTCTGGTAATGTCAATGTGTAATCGCTAACTCTAACAATTAGAGGCGCTATCATTCTGACATTTTACGCGATGTTTGTATTAATTAATAATGGCTGTCGGACTTATGAGGCGTCGGACTTCTGAGGCGTCGGACTTATGGAAAAAAATAAAAGTAAATTTAATTGTCGGAACTACGAGGCGTCGGAGCTTTGAAAGTCCACCTTTTTGGCGGGCTTCCATTGGTCGATGCCGAGACCCATGCGAAGTCACGCTATGAATATGCTAATAACGCGCCACGTAACCTTTTGTGGCCAAATCGGACGTGGTTTTACGTACCGTTAACACTCTCCTGTGACGTCACACTATTGTCTTTTCTCGCCATTATTTTGCACGAATGGAGCACGAATGGCGTAGCCACTTATGTATAATTCAGTAATTTCACAGACTCACAGCATGACACTTAATATGTTTTCGTTCTCTTTTTTTCCCTTCAATAAAACAAAAAGTTCTCTAGAAAAATGGACAAAGCAGGATTCCAACCAGGGACCTTTGCATCCATAGCTCATCTTGTTAACCATTATGCTACTGTGGCAGCTTTACGACTGCCGTTCTTTTAAATGCTTTAAATGATATACACTAAATAATAATAATGATATGACGTCATTGTCCTTTTCTCAGAAATAAACAAAATTGATTTTGCCATTTTAACAATTTCAACAATGAATATGGACAAAGGCCTTTGTTGAAGCAATAATGAGGAATTCTTGGAGGGTGTTAAGTAGGTCAATACATATGAAGCCCGGGAAGGGACAGGGTGGATTTTTTTTTTGTAATTTGCTAATTCGTTCCCACGAATTACTAATTCGTTCCCACGAATTACTAATTCGTTCGCACGAATTACTAATTCGTTCGCACGAATTGCTAACTCATTCGCACGAATTGCTCTTTCGTTCGCACGAATTGCTATTTCGTTCCCACGAATTGCTATTTCGTTCCCACGAATTGCTAATTCGTTCCCACGAATTACCAACTCGTTCCCACGAATTAGTAACGCGTTCCCGGATGCACGAATTGCTATTTCGTTCCCACAAATTAGGAAATCGTGCGAACGAAATAGCAATTCGTGGGAACGAATTAACAATTCGTGCGAACGAGTTAGCAATTCGTGCGAACGAGTTAGCAATTCGTGCGAACGAATTAGTAATTCGTGCGAACGAATTAGTAATTCGTGGGAACGAATTAGCAAATTACAAAAAAAAATTCCACCCTGTCCCTTCCCGGGCTTCATAAATACACTTGGAAGCACGCCGTTCGTAGGTGATGAATGGCCCTCGAGCTTCGCCCTCGGCAATTGTCACCCACGTACTGACGTTTAAACAACAAGGTTGAACACAATACAGGGGCGTAGCACGGTCATTTTTATTTTTTGGGGGGGGTAATTTTTTTAAAAAGGGCACTTGCACATCCGTTGTGAAATGTTGACAGATTTTTTTCTCCGGACACTTGGCCCCCGTAAAATCAAAGGGGGGGGGGGGGGGGGGGGACTTGTACTTGATGGGGGCGCTGTTCAAAACCGACAATTATGCACACAAAGGGCCAATATATGGTGCTTTTCAGGGCGATACATGTGCGAAATTCTGTAAAAGGCACCCAAAGCGGCAGATGCCACAAAAAAGGCACCACTTCTTTTTTTGAAAAGGGCACTTGTTCAGAAAAAAGGGCACTTCGTAAAAAAGGGCACTCTTTACAAATTATTAGGGGGGTAAGCCCATTGAAAAAAAGGAAATTTGAATGGAAAAAAGGGAGTCTTTACCAAATATTGGGGGGGGGGGGCCCTTACCCCCCGAACCTCGCAGAAATCTTCGATCAAGCTCACAATCCCTGCTCGCCTACCCCTCAACATCGACAAGGTCATACGGTCAGCGAGCGTTTTCATCTGCAGCTCCCACCCTCTGGAATAAACTACCCAATCACATCAAGGATGCCTCAACACTGGACACTTTCAAAGCTAATCTTAAAACCCATCTGTTCACTGCAAATTATATATAATGTTAGTGTTTTCTCTGTTAATTGTTCAGCGCATTGAGACCCCGTGTAAAATGCGCTTTATAAGAACGGTTTATTATTATTATTATTCAAATGATTTTTCCATGACTTTTATGTCAGCTTTACTGTTGACTAGTATATTGACGTTTCTGCATCAATAACAGCGATTTATTTTCACTGACATGACATTTTGAATTCGTTCTAATATTTCAATTTATCATTTAAATCAACCTGAGCATATTTTTTCAAAACCAGAACGTTCAAAAAGTGATGATTTTTGGGAGTGCAATAAGTTCAGTGCTCCATCTGTGGCGTCCAAGTACGTACGTCATCGGATTAACTTGCTTTATATATCAACGCACGATGCAAAGCCTCCGCAATCGTAAGGCTGATCTTCTGTCCACAACTCGTTGTGAAATTCTAAAGACACGATCGGTCGAGGCAGGGTGGAGATTAAGACGGAGCCTGCAAAACAAAGCTTTTCATTGGCTAAGACTTTAAGGACCGTCGTGCTTCGTGCAAAACGCCTGAATACTGCTAAGTAAAAAAGTCAGTTTGTGTACGCTGAGCTCACGCTCAGCTCCCCCTTCCCTTCCCCGCCCCCTCCCCTTCCTCAGTAGTGTAGGCTAAGCATTGACCCCGTTTTCTCGTTGAGGATCTTCATCGAGGATCATATCGGTAACCTCGACGAGGATCATAAAACGGGGCGTGTCTGAGGCGTAGTGACGTCATGGGTCGATGGACAAATCGATCATAAGGTGGGGATTAGCGATGAACTTTATTGCTTGAGGATAATAGTACAACAAAACGGGGACAAAAGGCGAGCGACGATGCACGCGCGTGCGCAAGTGAACAATTTTATATATATTTTCTATATTTTCTATGTTTTTTTTAGTAACTTGCAGCGTCAGTATAAACAAAAGAGTAACCCAATTCATGGATGAAGGCGGTTATCGATGAAACTTGCGACACGACATGGAGATATTAATGGGACCAATTACATAAACATTTAAAATTATACCTGTATTATTTGCGAATGGGTGTTATCGTAATATATTATAAGTAATAAAAGATGACTTATAGCAGAGAAACACGTGACACGCAAAAAGAACACAGTATCACACTGAATTTGAATTTAAAAGTACGTGTATTTGGTTTTACAAAACACAAAATCAATAATGTATAATGAATCGTACACAACAAAGAAGAGATAAAATTACATTGGGTATTTTAGAGCCTACACTTTCGAAATAGCATCCAAATTGGTTATATTCGTATGTCAGTATAATTATTTTGTTTAACATAAATTACGCGTGGTCAGTCGTCCGATGGTTTAACATTTTACAGAAACTTCAAAGCCAACTTTTGATCGGAATATCTCTGGAACATTGTTTAAAAATAAAAAAAAATTATTGCTATTTTGTTTTTGTACACACACAACAAACTTCCAATTAATATTATTCTAAGCATGTATCCCACTTCGTCTGTATACAAATTATTTTCGTATTTATAACGATTCATTACTGTACAATCGTTTTGTTTACTACACGCGTGACATGTCATCCGTAATTGAAATTTTGAAGAAAATTGACTGCAACGTTTGATATGACCGTCACGCGTGTAGTAAACAAAACTATTGCACAGTAATGAATCGTTTTAAATACGAAAATAATTTGTACAGGCCTACGGACGAAGTGG